TGAATATATACTTACTTTTTGGATCTTTGCTTGTGGCATACGTAACAACAGATGTTCCATCAATTTTCAGGTAGTGACCCATGATAGGACCGTTTTGGTTTAGGGAAACGAACTGTATATTATTTCTGCGGTACCACTCGTCGTTCATCGGCTTAGTGATTTCCTCAATGCTTTCCTAAAACATTAATTCTAAGCATTATCATTAATCCTTCATTCTAGCAAGTTAATCAGATTTTTTTTCGAAAGGAATTATTTAGAAAATAACAGTAACATCGTATATCCCACCACATAAAAGTGCACACTGTGTTCGAAAGATGACTGTAGACTAATTTCATGTGTTTCGTTTAAGCCAAGTGTGCATTAAGTATCTGTTCGGAAATCAGGAATAAAATGCTTTTAGTTAAGGAGAACTCACAGCGCGTGCTGTTTGTTAACCTATCCAGCTTAGAAAATATGGTTGTATCGTGACTGCAACTCTTTAGAATGCGCGATAAGCTGAGTTGGGGGTGTTTGATTACATATCATAACAAAGTTGCCTTCCAGGAGCTATAAAAAACACACAAGCCATTTAGTTACAGTGGTTTAGGACCGTGTGATGTTTTCCATAAACCTCAAAAGAAAATGGTAAATCCGCAGGATACAAATAATTTACTAGGCTTCACGTTCTAAAAATCTTGAGCTCTCCTTTTCTCTTTTTTTGTCTCCTTTTATGGACGTTTTATTTTTCCGGCTTGTTTTGCGTGACAAGGGTTGTGTATTATGATTGCATTTGACATTTTGCGCGGGAAATCGGCGCGCGGCAGACCAAATTGACTCCCTTACGCATGCCCGACGTTTGACAGCCATGTTTCTGCCGTGTCGGAAAGTTTTGAAGTGAGTAGTAGCTCGTCAGAAGATAAACACTTAGCCGGCCCAGATGAAAAGGAAATAAAGTGAAGAACTCTCGAATCTCTGAAAAGTACTGTAAGATTTTAAGTTTACCGTTCCTCGTTTCTCAAGCTAAGGTGAACTAGTGCTTGGAAAATAATGCAAACTTGCTGCCTTCAAGGGAGGCTTTGCAACCTTTGTACTATTCTACGGAAATTCATGCATCCTTTGCTCATAAGAGAAACCTTATATGAAAAATAGGCATTTTTGTCCCGCTTCAGTTTACCGATAGTTTTCGGGTGGCTTTAGATTTTCAAATTGAGGTTAATCCATGAAATTTGCGTGTTAACTTCAAACTCGATCCGCAACTGTGGCAAAACTTAATTTGACTGTGTTTGATCTTTATTTCTTAGTAGTATTCTTATAAACATGTATCACCTTTTAGTTTTATATCTCCGTTGTTTTTATATGACCATGTCTTAGAGGCAGGAGATCTAAAAAATATCTATTATACATGATATTTGCCTTTTCTGTGTCCAAAACTTTCGAGTTATGCAAAGGTAGGTGAAACACTCCTCTCACAGCACAGAGGAAATCACCCATCAACATACGGGCCCTTACGATTTGAGAAGCTTAGTGGAGAAAGTTTCTCACTCACCTTTGCTGCTCCGTCGTGTACATCGGGGTGTCCTGTGTGAAGTATATGGTCAGAAGTAGAATCATAATTGATATTTTGCGCAAGCTATCTCAATGTTTACACCCTTGCACCGATACATCGATCGAGAAAGTACTCAAAGCATAGGTTCTGCGTAACTTTAGAAGTATTCAAGTTGTTTTTATAACTTTTAGATGTGGTAGTTGACAGTTATGGAAAAAAAATCGTGGCGAAACATGACAGGACGTACTGGACAATTAAGAGATATTAACCAAACCTTTTGCCACGGAGGGATTCAACGACAACTCCAGTAACAGGAAAGTCCAACCAGCCATGAAAAGAAACGATAAGCTTTTTCCAGCCATTTCTTAGTTCTGAAACACATAAAAAAATAGATAAAACTGTCGAGTCTTTAAGTTTCAATCGTAGTGTAAAACGTATTCAACTTACAGTCCGGCAGAGTTCCTGAGTTTGAGTTTATCCTTTAGCCTCAGTTTATCCTCAGATAGTCCCGAGAGTAGGTCCTTTACTAAGCCTGGCTGATAACGAGCTATATTGCCCTCTGTCAAGCAGGGTTTTTAACCATGTCGTGTGAGGTTATGTCATATCATTTCATGTCAATTGATGTTAAATCATGTCAAGTCATGTCAATTTATGTCGAGTTACATCACCTCAGTAGTCAATTTATGGAACGCTTGTCAATTTTATAATGGGCTGTTTTCACACAAGTAAGTCTTATTTCATCAGCCGTAAGTGTGACGCAAGGCATTAACATTTTTATGCTTGTTGTCACAAAATGCCGTGAAAAATGCGAAAAAGCCATCAAAGAAAATGAACAACCAGCGTGGCTTTGTGTGAATCATGTGTAAGATATTCCTTCCGTTTTTCGGTCGCCTGCTTGAATGAGAGATATTTTCTTAGTACAGATAAGAATCGGAAAGTTATATATGTCGAATGCAAGAAATATTTCTGGAAAGAAATAAACGTGTCTGTAAAGAGTGGTGTTTTCATACAACAGTGAAAAATTACAGAGGTGACTTACCTGTAAAATGAACCCGAAGGCAGCTCTATATACAAAAACTCTCTTAGTCATAGAAAGCTTTGAAGCGAAACCGATAACGCGATAACCACAAAATGCGTAGCCAAATAATTAGAGAAGTTATTACATTTCTGCCTTCATTACCAGAAAGCAGAATATTTAATATGTTTTTTCTGGTCTGCTCTCTATCGACCGTTGCCCTTCGGAAAATAAGCGGAGTTCAGTAATTTCCCTCAAAATCGATTTATTTTCTTAAAAAGAATGATACCGATATAGGTCCTCTCACTCATTTTTAGCACTTTCAAGTTCGACAACTTTTGTGGCCAAAAGTCTGGCATTACTAAGCTAGTTCCCCTTACGAGACTGTTGCAAAGACCTTGAAGGAATTTTTTCGTTACTAGGGGTCACTCACTCAGCATGCCCGAACTCTTAAAATAAGGGTGTCTTCATTAATAACAGACACAGAACAAACTGCGTGTGAACAACATACAAAGTAATTTGTAGAATCAAATTACAGTCGTAAGCTCTATTTCAGAAAGCATTCTATTGCAGAAAATAATTATTACCATATAGACTTGTGAAGTTTTCATAAGCATATCGCTAAAAGACAAAATTGGTATCGAGCAAGAATTTTCATTATGTTGTGAAAAGATGTTTAATTACGAAGAAGGATGACTTCACGATAAGACCTAGTCCAATAACCATTGTTTATCTTTTTATCATTTGCAGTGTAAATAATCTCGCGATGATTTTATCATAAATCCCTTACTTGCCCTTATTTTACGATTCATGTTGATTTCTGTACAGTGGCTCAGCTTAGTCAGTAACAAGTTCACTGATACCCAGTTCTTTGAAAATTCGGCTGCGAAATCGGAAGCCGAAGGTTTGATAGGGAGAACCGACTACTCTATTTGTCTCGCCGCATTTTTCCAAAATTTGGATCATCCCTTCATAGCTAAAACTTGACTCGACACATAAAAACAAGTTATTCTGCCCTCAAGAACAGGTTGTATATGTCCTTTAGACAGTTTACACGTAGTAGCATTTTGAGGTCCCCTCTCAACTAAAAAAGAAAAAGCTACGGCGAAAAAAGATAATGTCCAAATTGGCTACGTTTGCAAGTTCCTATGTTTGTTTATCGTGTGAAAATTAAAGCAATAGAGAAAGGTCATAGGAAGGGCATAGATGGGGGGGGGGGGGGGGGGTACATTATTTCATTATGGGCCGATTCCCGCATTGACATTTTGACGCTCATTGTGACAAAATGCCTTGAGAAATGCGAAAATTTAATTTAAGGTTTCTACCAAGAATAAAATCTAACGAGAAATAAGATAATTTCCAAACTCCTTGCGTTTACCAGTTCTTATGTTTGTTTATTGCGTGGAAATAAAGGGACATAGGAGAGTAGGAGAGGTCAGAACATCGTCAGGAGCCTCCATCAATGGCTCCTATGTTGAAACGTTTTTATTTAATTGAAAATCCCGTAATAGCCAGCTGAATAAAAATGGTCTTTTATTCTACTTTGAATACAAATTTAATTGACAGATTTGATGTTAAGCTAAGGAATGGTGGTGACCTGTTTGATTAGAAAACTTACAAAATTTGGTTTACGACGCTTAAACCTTAATGCGCCATGCGTCTTTATTTCTGCAGGTTTTATGACAAAGTGTTAGTGGCTTGGACGACACGCGGTTGTAAAGTTGTTGTGGAGATGGAAGGCAATAGAGCGGTTTAAAGTCACTGTTGGAGGTAAATATTCAACATTCTTGCTGTTACAAACAATGGTCTGAGCTCACTGTCCTAGGTCGGCTGGACTTTAGATATTCAAACTACTAGTGTGGGAAAGAAATCCCTTGTCAGGCTGATATTAGCTAAGAAAGTTGGAAAACAAGTAAGGAAATGGACAGTAGGAATGACATGAAGGCGAGAAATAACGATTATTTTAAAATCTTTTAAATCCAAGAATGTTAAACTTTGTTTAGGGAGAGTACTGTATTTGAAAAATGGGACGACGTTTTGATTAAAAGACAGAATATTTTATAGTTGCGACGTTTGATGATCAAAAAGGTTCGATCAGTTTTCACCTTCGGAGGGGTCACTTATGGAATCGCATTCTGCTAGCTTTGGAGATAAACTAAAATAGAATAACCCTGATCTGACCCACATGTAACAGATGGGGTCGTTTACACATGTTATTCCCGGCTGAGAAATTTGATGAAAGTCCGAAATTAACTTCAGTTTGGGTTGTCTAGTTAGTAATCCTAGAGTGTCGTTACCTGCAAACTTTCCTTGCATTTTTCAATGGTAGGGACGCCCGCTAAAATCACCATAAATACTTCGTATGTAATGTTGTCTAATTAGTAAATTGGCATGAGGCACAGGTGAACTTCCACAAAACCTTCAAATGTTTTTATTTTCTTATTGTACTATTGCATTAGAAGTTGCTAATGATAACATGGTGTTTAACAGCTTTGGGAAAGAAGTGACCGCAATTAAGAACTACATATATAACACCTTACATGCTAGTCGTGCTTAATATTTTAACACACGCTAAAATCAAGGCAAACATAAACTCTAATTAGAGAAAAGAGACTAGATGATTTTCGCGGTACTCTAGATGAGGAAGACTCCCAAAAACGAGCCCTTCGCTGACATGTAGTATTGACCAGCCGCTGTTGGCTTCACAGCGATTGTGTCGTGCGCACGCAGATAAAAGGCGCCGCCATGATAGCGACAGGCCACTGTTGTGTCTTGTCGGCCAATCACGGTTGTCATCTTTTCTTCGTGGTTGATAAAAATGCGATGGCCAGCCGTGTCCTGATTTCTGTTTCCAGAAAAGCACATTTGGCTGTAAATAAAGTACAGCCCATCTCTCATCACCTCGACGCGGCCTACACTGGAACGATAAGCAATCTTGTTTCCATTTTTGTTTGCCTTGGTCCATTGCGTGACGACATCCGTTTCTTAAATTACAGAAAGAAAGTCACACAGTCAGTATGACACTGGTCCTTAACCTTTTACACGCAGGCAAATTTAACTATCACAATTCCTTTCTGAGGTATGCGCAGATACAATTCTTGAATGGAAATGGCTAGGATCTTTTATTATTAAGGGTAAGCAAGGGGGAAGTATTAATATTTATATGAATTATCTTTTTTTTTCCGACAAGAGAGTCAGTCACTTGAATCCAGTAACCCTCGTTTGCCCAACTTCTTCTTTTTCGAGGTACGGTTGTGCGACATTTACAGGATAAATTTACCAACCTACTTAGCATCCGTTCTTCGGTATGTCTCTAACGATTTTCCGTCAAACAAATATTTCAGAGATTACTTACTCTGCAGTGCATATCTTTTTCCATTGCCATAAAGAAGTATGCTTTCAGGAATCTACAAAAACAAAAAAAAGAGACGTTAAAAACGACACAGAATGATATACATAAAAGTTAGATTGAAATTTCCTTAAGTACTGTTAGATCTAAAACTCTATCAAATCGTTTGTACTGTGAAAGGCAGGCTTGTAAACCTTTGTTTTTTTTCCATGTTTGTGAAAGGAATTTACATTTATCGTCATCGATCGAATTTCTATAACAAATGAATAGAGGGGGTAAGTTTCTAGAGATACTGTGGTGCTGCGTTGGTGGGAGAGTATAACAGAGGTGAAGGTGTCATTGAAATTGACAGGGTGATTAAGTAATATCAACTAAGTTGATCACGTAAATTGGCCACCGTAAAGAGTTTAAAAGCTGACGTTTCGAGCGTTAGCCTCAAAAACTAGCTCCTAGTTTCTTCTATTTACGTTATCAACTCAGTTGATATTACTTAATTGCCCTGTTAATTTCAATAACACCTTCACCTCTGGCATTTGAAAAGAAAACACAATTACGTAAAGAAGCAGAGCTGGCCAAATTCCGCTACTATACTCGATCCGACTTGGCTTGATCAGTCACCAGCCCCCTCAGCGGCCTTTGATTAATCCCTAGGACGCGTTGAGTTCCAGGGCCAAACAACAACCGCTAAGGTGACTAAATCATGTTTAAAGTAAAAATATTAGACTGTAATATCAACACTTTGTTAACTAATGTTTTATCTAATCATTTCGGGCTTCCCATTTTATTCAAAGGAATAAACTGCATGCACTAAGCTTTCGTGCTTACCAAGGATTGTCGTTCGCCTGGGAGTTCTGTGTAAGTAAGGATGGTGAACATTGAAAAAATCAGTATTGCGCAATTATATACAGTCAAGAGTGCTGTCAAGGACAGTGATTCATGCGAAAAAGCTCAACAAAACTAAGTGAATCGAAGATTCCTACCTTAAAAAATCAATAATAGAACAAGAAGTGAAACTAAACAGAGAACGTTAAGATGCTCGAAAAACTGCAGCTATGAAACATGTATTATATAGGTTTTGACTTACGAGAGCGATGTTTCCTGCTGCCGTGTTTATCCACCTCCTGACGACAAAAATATTAAGAGCAAAGATTCTTTTAGCTATGCCAGCAAATCGCGTTTTTACACAACTTGAATAAGTTAATAAACGGCTTAATTTAGAAGAACTATTGCGATTTTCTTCAATAGATTTGACAAAAATAGATTTATTTTAGTACGAAGGAAGCTTGCAACTGACCATTTACATTTCCTTTTCATCTTTTCCAACTTCAACCTTGTTTTTTTTCAATTTAGTATGTTCTACTTATTTGGGTGTGTTCCTTCCGGTTGGAGAACTAACATTGAGTAATTTCTTTATTTTTGAGGGAAATCATATTTACCTTGCCTTGGTTCAGTTAAAAAAAATTGAAGCCAATTCATAAGAGGAAAAAGTATGCTACGATGATTTTTTAAAGATAATTTCAACAAGTTTGCGTTTGTATTTTTAAACGTCTTACACTGAGATTCTTACAAACACGTGGCAACAGTTTAGAGGCAGTTCTCTAAAAATCTAACTTTGCACTTAGATATTCTTTTACATGCTCGTGGTCGTCGAGATTTTTAACAACTGCATTCAGATTTTTTTCCCATTTCGTTTAAATCTCTGGAAGCTCTTAGATCAGGAAGTTAAAGCGATTCTTTGATTTAAAAATCTTACAGTGGCCACTTAAGAAGAAATTGACTCAGTTTTGACAAGGCAAACTATTTACTAACCTTTCCTTCAGCCACGATTCTATCTGAACTGGCGACTTGTTCTTCTTCTTTAGCTTTCAACTCAGTTCTTGAGTGAAATTCTTTATCAAGCGACAACACACGCTTGAAAGAGTACACGCTTAATACAAAAGATAGACAAACAACGATTGACAAGAAAACGCAGAAATAGATCAACCGAGCTGGTGTCTGAGAAGAGCCCCTCTTCGTATTCTGTGGATTCTCCATTCTGAACTGCGATAATCTGACCAGGGCGGGTAGATGAAGTGAATGAGCGGTAGCCGTCGCACTGTACTAGTTATATACCCTGCTGTTTCCCCAGACAGTTTCAATTAAAGGCTATTATCGCTTTCCTTTGTCAAACCAAAAGTTACAAAAATAGATAGATAGATGAACGATTTCGATTCAGAGGGAAACAGCTTTAGGGAACTTTTTTTTTGTGTCTTCCTGAGTTTCTGTTCTCTACTCGTTCCATTCAATAATTACCGGTAATATCAGTTTCCACTGTGTAGAAACTATGTAGTAAGGAAGGAAAGATTGTCACGGTAGAATGGTTGCGGTGTTAATAAGACAAGTCTTTTGAAATCTAAAAGAATGTTGATATGTGCGATCAAAATCGATTCTCACCAAAAAATTTTTTATTTTATCTCTCTACTATACTCTGTTATACTTTCAAAATGAGTCGGAGTCCCTAGTGAGTAATGCATTGATGATTAAAACGAGGTTTATTTATAATTATTTCCACTATTTCCGTCTGAAACGAAAACCTGTCTTACACTTTTGGCCTTTGCAGGGAAAAATCAAAATATCTTAATTGGATTTGAAATAGCATCTTATCAGACCTCAAATAAAGTAACAGTGCCGGGAATCAACCCAAATATTTCAGGGGGTAAGTTTCTAAAGAAACTGTGGTGCTGCGTCGATGGGGATATTACACGATAAACTGGTTTCATCAATTGAATTAATAATGTAAAATACAAAATACAATAAAAAGCTCATGATACACATTATTATTTCTAGAGTATTGCAATGTTCTATTAAAAGGAATCAAAACCACTGAATAAAAAAGTGAAAGAAAGGGCTGGCTGCCAATTTCGGAAGTTTTGAACGAGGACAAAGGGCGCTTTTCGATAGATATTCCTCTTTCAGTTTCTGGGCAATTCAGGGACAGTTATCAATGGGCAGTAAAAACACATTTACTTTTCAAACGGCCGGAATTCTGGTCAAACTCGACAAACGTAAAAGTCGGATGACCCATACAGTCCCGAATTTTGTTTTTTCATTTCCATTTCGGCCCAACACATGGCCTGCTGTGCATCAGAGACCATATAAAAAATTTCAGGTTTCTGGCGTAGTCGAACTTAGCCGGCATGTCCCTGAATTAGACATTTGCATATTTCCTCCCCTGAGTTACCAGAGTTCCTGTGTTTGTTTATCGCAGGGAATTTAGAGGAAATGGGAAAGGTCATTTTATCGTTAAGAGCCCCCAATATTAAAGTCTCTTATTTCAAAACATCCGTAAATGATCTATAATTCCACTTTGAATACTAACTAAAACTAACAGATTTGACGTTGAGCTGTGGAAGATGGTGACTAGTATAGTTTTGAAAAATAAGAATTTAGCTCACTACGATTTAACTTAACTGAAAGTGCCATGCATCTTTATTCATTACAGATTTGGGGAGAAAGTGGTAAAAAAGCTTGAGTGAAACATGTTTAAAAAATCTGGGACGCAACTGAGCGGGTTGAATCCGCCGTTGAAGGTAAATACTCAACATTCTGCTCTTTACAAGCTAACACGTGTGGGGTGTCACTTTATGGCAACTTTCCTCAGTCTTCTTTGACGGCAGGGGCGCATGCTCAAATTCCTCTAAATATTTCTTAATGTCGTCTTGTTTGTAATTTTGCTTAGAACCAAAGATAAACTTGAGCAAAATGTACACATTTCGTAGAAACCAATCCCCTCCTAGCCCCAGCCCGCGCGGCTATTCATCATGAGATTGACTTTCGCGCGGATCATGCAAATAAAAGGTGTGAGTGCGAGTTCAAATTTAATGGCGAGTACGTTCTTATGCCAGCTATATTCCAAAATCGTCCCGTAAATTGCCCTGTCGTCGAGTGTCCCGTATTTATTACGTTACTAGTATTTCCTGTTATTCGTATTTCCTGTTATTCGTATTACCTGTTATTCGTATTTCCTGTTATTCGTATTCCCTGTTATTCGTATTCCCTGTTATTCGTATTTAATGTTATTCGTATTTCCTTTGTTATTTCCAATCTTGTAATTAGTTGTTTCGTTCCTAATGTATCTTGTTCGTAATACTTTATTAAGAAACTACTGGCAATGACATGTAAATAGAAGAGTTCGGTCGAGTCGTAAGGAAATTAAACTCCTCCTAAATGTATTACCGGTCGTTTGGTTATACATGTTTTTATTCTGCTTATGGTGCTATTGCATTAGAAGTAGAATATCACATCATGGTGTCTAACAGAAAGAAGTGACCGCAAGAAAGAACTACAGGCTTATTTTCTGCTCTTTTTAATACTGTGTTGCACTAATGACATCTGAAATGCTTATCGTTGTTAAGGTTTTAACGCGCGTTAACGAGTTTTCAAACAACAAAATCTGGGACAGTTCTCAGTAGAGAAAAATAACCTGACGTTTTCGGGTGGTTCTAGATAAGGAAGACTCCGAGAAATGAGCCCTTTTCTGACATGTAGTATTGACCAGTCGCTGTTGGCTTCACGGCGATTTTGTCACTCGCATTCAGATAAAAAGCGCCGCCATGATAGCGACAGGCCACTGTTGTGTTTTGTCGGTCAATCACGGTTGTCATCTTTTCTTCGAAGTTGATAAAAGTGCGATGGCCGGCCATGTCCTGATTTCTGTTTCCAGAAAAGCACATTTGGCTGTAAATGAAGTACAGTCCATCTCTCATCACCTCGACGAGGCCTACACTGGAATGATAAACTATGTTGCGTCCATTTTTGTTTGCCTCGGTCCATTTCGTGATGGCATGCGTTTCTTGAATTACAAAAAAAAATTACGTAGTGGGTATGATAGTAGTCTCTATTGCTGTCTTCATGATTAAACCTGAATGTGATAAATCCTTTTGAGACAGGCACAAATCATTTAGGGAATTAAGAAGGATTTCCTATTCGTAAGGTTTCCTAGTAACATTTGGGGAAAGGCTGGTTTGTCTTTACCATATATTAGCATGAATTTTCCCTTTTTCTTGACTAAAAGTTGAGTACACCTAACAATATTTATCGAGATATAGTTTATTTGACATAACTTACCTGGCAGGATACTTGTATCTCCATTGCCATAGAGCAGGATGTTATCAGGAGTCTACGAAAAGAAAACAAACACATCTTGCCACAGAAATGATGAACAAAACTATTTTTAAGCGAAATTTGGATTTAAATCGTTTACCTTGTAAGAGGCAGAGTTGCGACGTTTCCTGCTACCGTGTTTATTCACCTCCTGACAAAGATATCAAAACGAGCAAAGACTCAGTAAGCATGGAGAAGAAACCGCGTTTCGACACAAACAATAACTTCATAGTAGACTTGAATGGGAATAACTATCATGATTTTCTTCTGTAGATATGATAAAAATTGCTTCATTGTGATAGGAAGCTCGATAATCATTCATTTACATGTCCACCTCATCTCAATTCTGTAACCGTAACCATCCTTGTGCAGTCTGATTAATTTTTCCTTGTTTATGTGTGATTTATCTTGTTGAACTAAAATTATGTTATGTCTCTTATATTGAGGAAAATCGCAAAATCATCGTGAAACAATTCAGATAAAAAATTAAAACCCATCTAGAACAGGAAATAGAACTCGACGATAATTCTTTGGTAATAATTTCAACAGTTTCCCCTGTATATCTTGGCCTCCGACAAATCCCTTTATTACCAACACGTAGCAACTTTTAAGACGCAGTTCTCTACAAATCTAATTTAATCACCTTCATGTTCTCTCTCATACTTGTGATCGTCCAGACTTCAGATACTGCGTACAGTTTTTCCAAACTTATTTTCTTTTAGGAAACCCTCAGATCAGTGAATTGAGGAATTTTTGGTTTCAAGCTCTTATCAACAATTCACTTACCTTTCCCTCAGTCACCTTACTATCCGAGCTGGCATAGTGTTCTTCTCCCGTGACTTTCAGCTCGTTTATCGAATGGAATTCTTTATCGAGCGACAACACGCGCTTAAAAGAGTAGAAACTTAATGCAAAAGAAAGACAAACAACGATTGACAAGAAAACACAGAAATAAATCAACCGAGCTGGTGTCTGACGAGAAGAGCCCCTCTTCGTATTCTGTGGATTCTCCATTCTGAGCTGCGATAATCTGACCAGGGCGGGTAGATGAAGTGAATGAGCGGTAGCCGTACTACACAAGTTATATACCCTGCTGTTTCCATAGATAGTTTCAATGAAAGGCCATATCGTATTCCACAGATAAGGAAATTTGTTCGTCTTCCTCGCTCGGAGGATTAATATCAGTTTTTTTAAGAGTTCTATTTCAGTGTCGGTTCACAAAGGAAGGAAGGAAGGATTGACTTATGATGGCTGGGTGTGGTGATGATAACATGGGTCCTTTAAAACCTGGAAGAATGTCCGTTTGTGCCATCGAAATCGATTCTCATTGTGTCAACGTTAACTTACTTTTATTTACCATAACCCAGGCTGCTTTCAAAATGAGCCTGACACATCAGTGTCCCCAGTTGTATATGAAATGCATTACTATTTCCGTCAACAATTGCCCCTCTGGCCACATATGGGTAGTCCCATCGATCAGGACATATTTCAGATGAAATAGGGGTATTATAAGCAAAGTCTTAGTGTGAATGATTTTTGCATGATTTACGCTGAAAGCTTTTCAATATCGGTCAAAATCACAGAGAACCTAATCTAAAAGATTAGAAGTTTATGAGAAAAGTTTACGATCGCATAATCTTGAGTCTTAAAATCTATCAAATATTTTCGCTCGGGTGCTATTGGTTTAGAACCGAATATTATCTGCTAGAACTGGGGAATGGCGGTGCTTCCAATACGGTGGAAGTCTTCTTTTAAAGTTGATTCAAGTTAGGAGAGAGAGTTTTGCTAATGTTACAGAAGATGAGGGAATTTATTTGTTCATGAATTCACTGCAAAATTAAAACATCCGCATTCCACGGTAAGCCCTTTGAAAACGGTTTGTTTCGCGCGCTGAAAAGTTTCCACGATCAAATTTTCAGGCTCAATTTTGCACCATCATTCCACAAGGACAGCAATTGGTCGATAAGAACACAGCACTCTTGTGTTTGACGTTGTTGTTGTAACAACAATTAGCTAGCAAACAAATACAAAATCCCTCATGAGATATGAGTGTTTCAAAATCACGCCGGAATACCGGAACACGACAGAAGACCCAGATAAGCCTGAAAACCAAAACCAGTAGGAACACTGAAACAGGCAGGAAGACCTGAACAAGCCGGAATACCGCAAAATGCAAAAATAATGACAATAAAGAAAAAAATCGAATAATGTATACAAGAATGTATAGGAGCAGGCGATAAAACAGGATGAACGCATTGCTGATAAGCCAATGGGAAGATTGTGACATAAGTCACACAATATTGATACGGGCGTGACATAGAGTGACCTCCTACACCTGAATCATACACAAAATTCGCTACGTTCTCGAATGAGAGCTTCAACAACAACAATATCAAATAGTTCATTCTGCGCTTAGGCCCCTGACCTAAACTTTCGACCAAATGAGGCTTAGTCATTTTTGTGCACGACGCCTTTTTAACAGCTATATGTACGATTGGTGAATGAAATAGAGTATTCCAAGCTTAGATACCAATGGACCGCTGAAAGCAGAAATTAGACCGTAGACTTATCTAGTAGTTTCAGTTATTTTACCTCACTCACACGTTGATACTGTATTGAAAGCAGGTTTTTTTTTAATATTTTTTTTTAGAAAATGGTCAGAAAATCCACGAAAGGAATTGTTGTATAACACGGCGCATGGTAAGCTTTTAAATAAATAGCTGATTTGAAGTAGGATTAGTGGCAGGTTGGACGGAATTTTTAAGTATTATGGTAGTTTGTGACTGTATTGTGATATACATTCCAATTATTTGACTGAGAACACAAATTTTAATCCATTTTCCACCAATCTGGCCACTAGCAAATACAAAGACAAGACACTAAACACATAATAAGTGAAAATGCCCACAGATCAGCAGCAATGTTAATATTTGTATGATAAAGTAATGAAAGCTTTGAGGAAGTCTATCGTCATTCGGGACATCCTATCCTTCAGTTAAATCAGTTCGATTCACCAGAATACAACAAGAACGCTCCAAAGAAACTGGCACCAGATTTCATGCTGTAATGTCGAACGTACGGTATACGAACAGAGATGGTGTCGTTGGCTTTGAGCAGAAACATTCCACCGTGGTATTTGGTACTAAACTTCGTCTTGTCGGTGAGAGCGCTCCCCACACTTTCCAAAACCCTTTCATCGTTGATGTATGTGTGGTGAGCCATCACGTTAGTCCGAGCATCGTGATAATACATTTGGCTGTATATGAAGTAATGTCCGGCTTTGACGACTGTAATGAAGCCTCTGTCGTAGTGAATATAGCCCAACTTATTACGTACAACCCAGTTGGTTATAAGAATACTTGCTGTGTAAAAAACAATCACAGTAAATTTTGGCACAATGACGTCACAAGTCTACTGTGTCTCCCCTCCCTCTTCCCGCTATTCTCTCTGTTCCCTTACTCCGCTAGTTTGTAGAACGTCAACAGATGGTTAAAATTTTTATGCAAAAAGAAGAAATCTTATTCCCTGCGGTAGCAAAACTTGAAATAATTATCAGGTAACAACGAATATGCCTCCAGTTCTGCTGGACTAGTTAAGCTTACACAAGAGAGCTTGAGCTATCTTCTCTTGACTTTGAGATATAATGATATTTTAATGATAAACTGCTACTCACAAGGATTTCTTAGGATTGTGTTGTCTCCGACCAGGTAGATGCTTTCTCTAACCTGTCCAAAAAATGTAGGTCTGCTAAAGTTGCAAAGAAGGTAGCCTTATTTGGTAACAGAACATAGTAGCCTGGTGAAAGGCCAAGAGAATGTCGGGTGCAATATCTCGATCTCTTACCCCTAAGGAAAAATTATGTTACGAAAGTTTCCCCGGCCAGGCATGCTATGTGTTCTCAAAATGGGTGTAATCTATTCACAATAGAAACTAAATCCAACGATATTAGACGATATTTAGTAAAATCAAAAATGCCTTACAGGCTCTTGTGGTTGTATTGTCGCTCCGTGACCTAAGAAATTCAAGAAAAATAGTTTATTTCGACTTTAAGAAACAACTGATATCGCTCAGTTTTAAAAAATAAATGCACCTCCTTTCAAAATTTCCGAACCATTAATGACTAGACAGCATGTATATACAAAGAATGCCAAGGGAAAGCACTTTGGAAGTTGTACTTAAACGGGCTGATTTTGGTAGGAGGGCTGTTTGGGTGGTGCGGGCCCAAGTTGATAAACGACAAACGACGAGCACCAGTTTTTATTGTTACTTTTTTCTCTCCCTTTTTTTTCAAAGTTTTGGCTCTTGCGCTTTGAAATATTCCAAACTTGGTCTATCTACACGGGGCATAAATTGAAATAGCGCTATAAGAAATTTTACAACTTGAGAGGTGCACACCTGTGGCTAATGATCGATTGGTCGTGTAATCATGTAGGGCAAAGATACTGAGATTTTGCGTCTTCATAGACTCGTAGAAAGAAATTCGATGTACACGAAAGGATGTTCCTTGCTGGACTCGCTCTGACCAAGGACAAACGATCGAGACGTCAGCTTTAAATTCTCTTTGCTGTGGCAAATCCACGTTATCAACTTAGTTGATAAAACCAAATTATATTGTAACAACTCCAACTGACGCAGCAACACAGTTTCTTCAGAAACTTACTCTCTTTAGATACAAACTTCTAACAGAAGTTACCTTATTCAGATTTCTCTAAATTTACGACGCTGGGTCTAGGGGGAAGAACAAGGAAAAGAAAATCCGCTTGGCCCGTATTAAAGCCGCAAAAGAAAACGGTGCAAAAGCCGAACAGGAATCGTACAGAACAGGTTAACAATCCTATACAGAACTACTTTTTGAAAGATACATTGTACAATCAAAAGGTGAAATATCAAGAATACCTGGGGGACCAATAGGACCGGAAGGGCCTGGTACACCTGGCGAGCTGAGTTTCCCCGGGGGCCCTACAAAAGAAAGTGAAAACCATAAAGTACAGACACTAAGTTAGTTAGCTGTTGCTAACATATAACAAACACCCTTAGAGTCTTAAAACCAACTGATAACATGAACCCAGAATTGTTTTCTGAGTAATAGATTTATGCAAGAGATTATAAACTCTTGATTTGTAACATTCGACCGGAAGGACCTTACCCAATTCGTCACGTGACTCTTATAATAAACAGTAATTTTCACCGAAAACAGTTATCAGAACCACTTCGCTCGAAAGATTATACTACCTGATTAAATGAAGCTATAAACGTAACCAAGAAAAAACCGGATGGTCCTTGAATTTATCTGAAAAAGCTCTATCTACCAGGAGGCTTATTAGCATTGGCTTTGAAACCAATAGAACCCATTTTCAAGAGGATGTGAAGAATATACACCCAAAAAATAAAATTCTAGGAAAACAGTACCTTGGAGGCCAATAGGACCAGAGGTCCCAGGGGGGCCGGGCGGGCCGGGGGGGCCGGGGGGGCCAGAAGGGCTTAAAGGACCAGGGGGGACGGGTATCGCCTGCTCGACCCGTCTACTCGGTTCTTCTGAAAATGAAAGAAAAAGGAATAAAATCTACCTTGAGGCAAATCATGATCAAGTAAAAATATTCCAAACTTTGAGGTAAAGTGCATAAATGAAAACATACGATGATACACCCTCAGTAGGCGAAAGAAGAAGCTTACAAAGAGCCTAGTGCCGAGTAATGATTAATTGGGAGATGTAGATGAACCTTAAAGAAGTATATTCGACCTTGACTTCCCCGGTCGGGGGGGGGGGGGAGTTAACAAATGGACTGAGTGAAACACAGAGACAGATAAACAGACACACAGACATGCAGATAGAAAGACAGACAGACAGTGAAAAGATAGCAGGTTTTCAGTTAGATTCTTGAAAACAAGAACACATCCGCGGGCCATTATCAAGATAGAATATGGGTAAATAGGTAATTTTAAGCACCCCAACGATTAGGCTAATCAGTAAAATTTACAAAGAGTTTATTTTTTGCGCAACTTGATACAAAATTTAGCGAAATTTTTCGATACTGAGCTCTTCTAAGTACACTCCAATGCCTGTACATATGTTGGAAAGTATGATCAAAGTTGCCTTTATTTTGAAGGTAGGCAAACCTGAGGATAGAAGACCTCCAAGCAAAAACGCTCCAAAGAAACTGCCCTCAATATCCATGAAGTAGTGCTTAGAGTAAGGTATGTAGACTGAGATGGTGTCCTTTTCCTGCAGTAAGAAAACTCCACCATGATACTTGGTGTTATACTTCCGTTTGAGACCTATAACGCTCCCGACACTTTCCATGACCTTTTCGTCATTGATGTACGTATGATGACCCATTAGCGCTGTGGCACCATCATAATAGTACATCTGACTGTAGATGTAGTAGTAGCCTTTTCTCTTCACTTCTATGAATCCAGTGGTCGGGTGATATTTGATGCTGCCTTCTCTATGCCTCTCGTTCCATCGGGTTCTGGTTTTAGATTCTAGAGATAAAATCGTACCTAGTCGGCTAAACCATCGCATTAGTAATTATTGGCATGCATTCGGTACACTGTACTCATTATGGTTTACATATTACGTAAAAGACAAGGAAGACACTTGCATTATAAATTTGAACTGTCGGCTATAGATGAAATATTAACTGGATCGTTTGATGTAAATGACTCCTTCACTGTCAGCAAACGTTAACTCCTCCCTTTTGCGTTTCATTCGAGCTTGTAATAGATGCATTTATGCTAGAGACGTTAAAGTTGTCTAAGACGTTAAAGTCGTCTCGAGACGACTTTAACGTCTTAGACAACTTTAACGTCTCTAGCATAAAAACGGCCAATCCGTGGAACTGCCACTTAAAATTTCTCAATGACCTAATTTTTATGATTGGATGCTTTAAAGATTGTCGGAAACATGGAGACGCCCCCACGCGAGAACAATTTCGTTACCTTTTGAAACCAGATACTTTTTTTGTTTGTACAGTAATTTGTTGATTGATGGACACGTAAAATTGAACTACAATAATCGCGTGCACATTAGACTTTGATCAGTTCTTCTTTCGAAGCGAAGACTAGGTTGTGTTAGTAGGTTTTACGATACGAGATCAATTTTGTTATATCAGGATGAATTAATTAAACGAATCAATTGACAAATCAATACAAGTTTCGAAGTTTATGACAAAGATTTCAGAATCTCTTAAATTCAAAATGGTTCCATTTTGTGAGGTGACAGCCGAAAAAAAATGAGTCGCAGCTTTTACTTTTGGAAGCAGTACACACGAAGCGGTTTTTCAATCGACTTATCGCTACATGTGTCCCCGGCGGTAGATCCGTTTGCTCCATTGGTTAATATTCTTATGCTTTTCTCCACCTCAACTCATGAAATCTCCTCTATTTTATATACCTCTAGTAGGAGAAAGGCGTTCCTTTTAAGTGGGACAGTCTTGTGCACCTTTTTACTGACTTCTTACCAACCGAGCGTGAGGGCCGTATTACGAAAAATTTGGCTCGAGGTCGAGGTAAAATGGACCGAGCGCAGCAAGATAGGTACAAAACAACCGAGTGCCACTATTTCCCAGTACGGTACGAGCAAGTGAAGCTAGTAGTTTATTATATGCCACTCGGACCAAACTTTTTTACTTTGAATTGGCCAGCTTTCACGACCGTTAATTTCCTATAGTAAAGAAGATCAGCCTATGAGAACCTTCGACGTCCAGCGAAGGTTCTCATAAGCAAATAAGCGGGCAATCAGTCGTAACTATGAAACTAGCTTTTAATAGTAAATAGAAAAATGAGCCAAATTCTTTATTACTCGTCGTCCGCACTTTTTGTCCATCACCAACCAGATGAATACTTTCATGGCTCTAAAAGATGAAAAAGACTGTGTTGATAAGGAAGTAACCCCACTTACCACTCATATTGCCCCAACGTGCTGGTGCTTGAAGAGTGATAAAAATAAATAAACCACTTCGGGTGGCTGGTATGTCGGCCGATAATGCCCGCTGCTGAGATATCGTCAAAAAATTAATATTTGGCCGAAGAGCCAAGCTTCGAGGGCAAATGTGAGATTTTGAGGACAATCTCTCAGCCGCGGACATTATCAGCCGACATACCAGCGAGCCAGAAGGGGGTCTATTCATTTTTTAACCCTTCCAATAAATTTCGCGTGGTGTGTTGACAGCAAATTTTGTTGACTTTTTTGTTCTTTCCGGAGCAACAATTGAGATTAACTGTTTTATGTCACTACCACTGGAAAACTATTCGCATCTCGCAACAATTTATGTCCGCGATCAAACATCCGTGCGTATTTTCGCGCCAAATGGAGGCTGTTGTTTATTTATACCACTCACCTGATATCCTACGGGTCCACGTGGTCCTACGAAATGGAAAACGACTGATTACGACATAGAAATAATGAATCAAGTTGCAAACAGCTGTGCTGCTTATATTTCTTTCCTTAACAATTAAACATTAATATCGAACATCGAATGGTAGTGTGATCCAAGCGGAAACATTCATTCCTATTCCCAAAGGTTTATACGAAGGAACTCGAGTGTTTTTTTTTTCTTATACACATGGCCTTAAGTGACCTCATTCGATATCCATTGATGTCTATGAAGCTCAGCTCAGCTAAGAGAAAAAGGAAGGGGAAATTCTCTCGATCAAGTAATTGTGGACTGAAGTGAACTCTTCACCTGACTCTGAGGATGATTTCCACCAATGTGGAAAGGACCATCCTGACACAGATGGTCACAGAAAACACATAACGACTAATGAAAACATAGAAGAAAAACAAATGAATCGTAATGGAAGCATTTGACTTATTTAGACAATAAACGCTTCAAGTCTCGCCTTACACACCTGCAATAAAAGCCATTTTCAAAAGGCATACCTTGGGGGCCTATAGGGCCGGGGGCTCCGGATGGCCCAGGTGGACCGGAAGGCCCGGGTTTCCCCTTCTTCCCGCGTCTACCAGGAGCTCCTGGAAATTAAGGAAGGAATCTCTGAAAGGGTAAATATGTTTTACGCTCTACAAGTTTAATACAAAAATTTGATGGTAATCCTTCAACGTATCACCTAAAGCGAGAGTAGAAGCCTGTTTGAAGGGCTCCCTTCCTGTTTGCGACTAGACTCAAGTTAATGTGCATGAACGCTTCTGACTCGTTCTCGTATTTTATCGTCTACTGATGAATTAGAGAACCAAGGATGTACAAATCTCAACTTTAGCAGACATAACTGAGGAATTTTATGCTGTACATTTTGACGAAGATGCACTTTTAGTTGGGTCACACAACAGAACAGTGCCTCACTTACCAACACAAGTACAAAGGTCTGGAGCATCCTTCCGAATCCGAACTGCTTTTGATCCCTAAGTAGACAGCACGATTACTTAGGAGGTAACATGGTGAAAATCAAACGTTGATTTATGTAGGAATTACAAAGGAGTGCAAGCGTAAAATGAGGTACTAACCTGAATGTCGTAAGCGCTGTCATGGAGTTGTAAGGTCTGGATAATCTTCTGATGTTCACGGATTTGCATTTTGAGCAAGGAAAGTTCTCTGTGCGTGTAAACAGCGAAAAAAATCCCTGCAAAAGCCAACAACAAACAGCAAATTACAACAGGGAGGAGATAACCTTCCTGGCCGGGTCTTTTCTTTTCCATGATCCTTAGAGCGCGACAACAACAATGGAAGCAAAAAGGCCTTGCTGTGGAGGGAATTTCCTCTTTGAAATCCGAAATCACCAGATCGACGCATTGGCCATGAGCCCATTGCAAAAATCCACGTGACAGAGGTCACACACCGTCGCTTTATGAGTGCACGGATCTCCGGCCAAAGATTTTCTTCTAAGATTTTCCGCCAATATCTCGATGCGTTGACCATTTCTGACGGTACGACTTCTTCACTTTGAAATCCGAAATCACTAGATCGACGTATTGGCCATGAGACAATTGCCAAAATCCACTTGACAGAGGACACACACCGTCGCTTTATGCGTGCACGGATCTCCGGCCAAAGATTTTCTTCTAAGATTTTCGCCAATATCTCGATGCGTTGACCTTTTCTGACGGTCCGACTTCTTCACTTTGAATTCCGAAATCACCAGATCGACGCATTGGCCATGAGCCAATTGCCAAAATGCACGTGAAAGAGGTCATACACCGTCGCTTTGTGCGTGCACGGATTTCCGGCCAAAGATTTTTAGTCGGGCGACCGACTATTGGTTTACCCTCGGGTTTCTCCACAAAGCTCAGTCACGTGCAATGGGGAATACCGCAGACACGTAATAGAGGCGCAACCTTCTTTCCACCATGGCGGATTTGTCGAATATCAAAATGGTGTCATCTTTTGTACGCTTAAGCATTCAGACTCACACACCGTTCGCGGTAGACCTACTCTAAAAGATGGCTTGTGTAATGAGCGTATATTTCGAAACGGGTCGTTCCGCGAACTCAAAATAGCAAAAGAATCAAATGCTTTAGCAAAGGTCTCACTAGAATCTATGAAAGCGGCAATCTTCAAAAGCGGGAATCTTTAAAACGGGAAATCTTTAAAAGCGGGAATCTTTAAAAGCGGGAATCTTTAAAGGCGGGAATCTTTAAAAGCGGGAATCTTTAAAACGAGGAATCTCTAAAAGCGGAATCTTCAAAATGGGGAATCTTTAAAAAAGTAACAATTTTTTTTTGGCAGATGGCAGTATCACTCGATTATCATTTCTTTTATCAGCCTGAGAGATAAGTCAGTTATCAGCCTTCTAAGCAGTCATGATTGAATACTCTGATCTACATCGTTTTCCGGTATTATCTTCAGGGTTCAAAATAACAGCCGGCTGCCGTTTTAAAAGCTTTCAGGAAACGTAAACAAGTAAAAAGTTTCGAAATTTGAAACGTGCTACAGGGAGTATTTTTGTTTACAGTATTCAGCTTTTACGTATTTGTTCAAGCGTGAAACATGCAAGTTTGTGTCCATACCGTCAATTTACCGTGCTTATGTTTCTGCACATACATACTTCTTTTAATCAAGATTTATTTTCCGCCAAATCCTGTTTGATGTCGTTTGTATAGCCTTCTCACGCGTTCAAATTAAAGTCGGCGCTTGACAGTACGGATTTCTGTTCAGCCTCAAAAGGTCCACAGCAGCAGCCTCTGTGATACCTGTCAGGGTATTGCACCAAAAATATGTGACAGTGTGTTGTTGTAGAATTGGTGCCTCTCAGGGGTGAAAAAATTTTACGCCACGCCCACAAACCAGGACCATGGTACCTCTGTATTTCTTTTAGAACCACTGCGCACCGTGAATGGTCAACACTTGTAACAGCGCGTCTACCTGTAGCCCGACTTACGATCTTAGATCGTCTTGTCTTCTAAGATTTTCGCCAATATCTCGATGCGTTAACCATTTCTGACAGTACGACTTCTTCACTTCGGCACAACATGTGAATATGATGTTGAGTTCAAAGTAAAAACGTGACTCGATCGCTTTTGACGTTTTATTGCTAAGAGGACGTAAAAATTGGTGTCTTAACGTTTAAGCTCTGCATGGGACGGAAAAGTACTCGTATTTCGCTTTTGTCTTTTTGTAACATGAACGCCACCCCGCTAAGGCAGGTCACCCCACCTATCATGTAAACGTGATCAAGATAAAATATTGGATTATCTGGACAGGCGGGTTACCTCACCTACCTGGGGTCCCCACCTCCATGTAAACAGGCCTTAATCAAGAACGGGGTGCTTATGGGAAGCAGGGCATTTAAGCTAGACGAAGGGCTAACGCTCGAAACGTCAGCTTTTTTTACCCTTTACGGCGGCCAATTTACGTTTTCAATTCAGTTGTCAACACTAAGTTACCTGCTATACCCTTCCACCGACGCAGTATCACAGTCTCTTTAAAAAATTACCCCCTTTATTCATCTAAGCTAGAGGTGCGCATATGATTGATTGTTACTCTTTCACTTTGCTTCTGGCTGACCAAAACATAATTGGAATATGCAAAGTTTATCTTGGCAAGAATATCGCGTTAAACACAGGTCACTCATGGGAAACTTGTGATAAATAAAACAGAAAACGCACATATATATAAGCAAAAGGAAAATAAATGATTATGTGACACATTCTGTTATCGATGATGGTTAAACTCGAAAGATTACGAAGAAAATGCAAATAGCTGCTGGTTTTCTCCTTAACTCCAAATTAGAAAGTGAAGACAGGAGACGCTAGTCTTATTTTGTGTTCCTGGAATGATCGAAAATTGATTTCTCCTTACGATATCGATACTTTCGTACAGAAAGGTATTGAGAGAAAAAGAAAGATGTCAACAAGGGGATATTGCCTGATTTAGCTCCAAACTCTCAGATCTAAGATTGTGGAAAATGTATGGCACACAGTTTGGAGAATTCATGCTTAGATTTTGGGAGTCAACTGTTATGGCCTCAAGTGCCAATCAGACACCAGCCTTAAGCACTACTTCTCGGGGGAAATCCCTCTCTTGAAATAAATATAATGAACTTTGAAAAGGCGCGTGATAATTGTTTCATCAACTGAAACTACAAAATTAAAAAAAATGTACACACACGGCAGTACCACAGAGATATACATCGCACTATTTTGCATCTCTCCTAGGATTTATATAACTTGAATTTGAAGCGCATGGGCTTAGTTTATTGTATGCAGGAAGGTGGAAGGGGTATGTGTTATAAATTCATGTAGGCAGAACGTAAGTAAAAGCTTACTTTATTTCGATTCCAGCAAATATTTAATAAAAACATATAACCAAAACAATGATTACCGAAAAACTTAAAAAATATTTGACTCAGTATTTTAACACAATGGTAAGGTGAAATTCATGTAAGATACTTGCGCATCTTGACTGAATTTGCCTAAGTTTCATTTTTGTTAGTTATAAACTGGGTTCATGTTCTTGAAACTTTACCATTTGCATTCCTTTTGGTGATGTTCATCCTTCTCTTACTTTCGCTCATCAGTTTAAAACTATAGGCTGGGCTTTCTTCCGTTTAAGAAACGTATTAAGCAAAATGATGTAAAACATAATATCGCACCTAGCACTATTGAGAGATTGGCACACCTCCATAAGTTCTAAAAATCCAACGAGCCAAATCAAAGGTACTGAAACAATACTGGGTATAGTCGTCCAATCAACAATATCAAAAGTGAACTTGCATAGCAGTCAATTTCCTTTCTTGTAAAAAAATCAGTGATACTAAAATGCAAGCAATATAATACAAATACCTTTGAATATCAAAGGACTTTATGTAAGCTATACTGACAAGAACCTAACTTACACCATCTTTTGAGACAAGGCGAGTCCACGTAACATTCGTAATAGGCCGTTAAGTGTTGTGTTAACGAAAAATTCAGGAATGAACTATTAACTAAGACAATTTCTGCGTTAGAGAACGCAGCAATCAAGCCTTAAAAGGAATAACGTTTGCACCGGTTGAAAAACAGCTACACACCAACAAATTTCCTAAAAATTATATGGATTTGACATGACAAGGAACAGTGTTACAGTCATAGACGAGTGGTCTTTAATCTTAAATCTTTAGTATTATACACGTGAAGTTTCTCCTTTAGGTGTAAGTACGATATCTCGCAGATAGGTTACAAAAAGATCAATCAAAATTAGCGAAAACCACACTGAGTCGTGACCAGCTGAATGTAGACAGTTTCTTCAAACTTTCTACGTTTCTCGTCACAGAAAATTTCAGAAAGATTTAAATGTTGCCTATAAGGGTATTGACGCTGCCCAAACATGATGGAATTGCAGCTGTCTGTACCGCGAAAACATTATCCGTGGGTCAAGGAACAGTAGCATGGAGTAAAAATGCGCCAAAATAACTCGAACTGGGATTCATGAAATAGTGATTTGAAAAGGGAGTTTTGATTGAAACGGTGTCAGTGCTGTTTAGAAACACCACACCACCGTTGTAGTTTGTGTTATATTTTCGGTCCTCGCTAATAACGGCAGATGTGCTTTCCATGAATTTTTCCGAGTTGACGAACAATTGATGGCTAACTTGATATGGTAAACCGTCGTGGTAAAACATCTGCGAGTACACGAAATAAAATCCAGCAATTTGTATTCGAATGAAGCCTTGATCGAACTGAAGTCTGCCTGATCTGTATTTCAATTGCCAGTTCCTCACCGTGCGTCTTGTTACTGAAATGAAATAAACGCAGTCTTGATGGAAAAATTACTGCTAAATTTTTTGATCAGAAATTGAAATCATGAATGTTCGAGAAACCAGTAAACCAATTGGGATGATGATTTTCACTACTATGTTACTTGAGTAGAAAATTTTCACTCATTATCGATTGATGTGTAATTTACTCCCTCTTGCATGCTTTGAAAGGCCTCCTAAATACCATTGTAATAGCTGAATCGGTATCACGACTTTTAAACGAATCGCGTACTACGAAACTTGTATCAGTTAGTCATATATCTGATCAATGAACGTATCTGTCAATGGTTATGTATTCTCTCTGTCCCATACTACTGTGTAACATTTGATCACGTGGTATTGTTCTAATAGTAACCTGGATAAATACAATTTCCTTTTGCCTTTGGGAACAAGTTCAATACAAATCTTGCAAAGTTGAAAAAGGCGTGTCTGAGGAACCAGCAAGAGGCACAGATCCGGCGGCATCAAGACCACGTGACAAGTGGACAAAACATGTTCAACTTTAAGCCTGGAACACGGAAAAGTATCTCTGCATTGAGGCCTATCAGACAGCTACAAAAAACTAAATTTGCATTCCGTGGAAAGATATCAAATACAGGGTAATTTCCTCGTGTGTATCGGCCTAAACTTCAAACAAATCTTTAAAAAAAGCGTGACTTGAAGCGATCTACGTAAAGTTCATGTAAACCCTTTTGCTATCTGGTAAATGATAAAATTCTACCATAAATGAGTACGGTCCCTTCTTCAGACTTTTTTTACTCAAAAGGGAAATCTCAGTCTGAAAAAACGAAGGGCCTAAGTCGCCTACCAAGTCACAAACAGACTCAAGTGCTACGGAATGGTAGATTATAGACATTGGAGGGGCACAAAATTCTCCCTTCAAGTTTAAAGGAGGTATTGTTGTTTTGTCATTCCCTCTATTTAGTCGATATAATGGAGCAGAAATGCCCCAAAGAAACTGCCCTCACTATCCATGAAGTAGTGCGTAGTGTAAGGTATGTGGACTGAGATGGTGTCGTTTTCCTGCAATAAGAAAACTCCACCATGATACTTGGTGTTATACTTCCGTTTGGGACCTATAACGCTCCCGGCACTTTCCATGACCTTTTCGTGATTGATGTACGTATGATGACCCATCAGCACTGTGGAACCATCATAATAGTACATCTGACTGTAGATGTAGTAGTAACCTTTTTTCTTCACTTCTATGAATCCGGTGGTCGAATGATATTCGATGCTGCCTTCTCTGTGCCTCTCGTTCCAGTTCGAAATGCGGTGGAAGCCTGCTGAAGAAATCGTACCTTGTTAGCTAAAAAAAATTGAATGCAACTTACAAATTGATTAAGGTTGAAACATTACGTAAAGATAAGCACATTACTTGGATTTTGAATTTTCTGTCCGTCACCAACAAGATGGATGCTTTCACTCATCTAAATAGCAATAAAGAGAGAATCCTTTACACTAAATTTAATAAGGTATTGGAAACAAGATAAGGTACAAGTCAGACGTTTCTTCTTAAGTCTGGGGATCTACCAGTATATTTCACCGTTCTTTGACGACGTGGTTGGTTGGGTTCTCCACTTGTCCTCCCCGATCCGAAGAGTGTTCAATTTTCAAGAATCCAACATAAGGAAGTATTTATGCATTGTTGCGAGGTTATTAAGAAAGTCAAATAGAGAATATTCAAATCAAAATACAAATAGCTGTTTTTGGCTGATTTTTTACCTCACTTTAGTGTTTTTCCTCCTTGGCAAACTATTTATTTAAAACTGAACTGTACTTTGAGAAAATTCACTATGTCTAAAATTACTCAAAATACAATGACGTAGCTCCTTGAAATCCTCAGCACACTCACCGAAGCTCCTGGTGGTCCTGTTAGAAACAGAAAAAAGAAAAAACTCTGAATGCCTTAGATAAAGAAATACATGTTTCCTCTCCACCCACCACCGATTAGACCCCGGATGAAGGGAGAAAACTAATGCACTACATTCACGGAGACTATTCACAACAGCACCAGAAGGCCCACGTAGCTGAGGTGCATTCTGATTTTGATAGCATGAAGCAACGTGAAATATTGCTTCTCTTCCTGAATAAATGCAAATCCACCACAGGTCACTCCTAAATATTTCGTTACGTTTCCCTAGCAGTTTGCTAGTGTTTATTTACACTTTTGGGTTGAAAAAGAAAACTTTGAATGTAAAATGTCACAACCGTGAACACAATCAGGGACGCCTTGCAGGGCTGGAACGAGGTCTTCTAATGTCCTACCTCGTCATTACGTAGCCCCATTGAGCCAGTGTGTTAGTTTCAAAGAGGCAATCCACAAAACGGCACAAATCCCGTAACTTATAATTGAAGAAACAGTTCACTACAGTACTAACCTGGGTCCCCTTTAGGTCCTTGAATGCCTACTTCCCCCCTGTCTCCTTTAACTCCAGGGGTACCAGGAAGACCTGCTGGACCTTGGGTACCATTCATTCCATTCAATCCTTTGGGACCTCTGGGCCCTGGGTCACCTGTGGTATGAAATAATATATGAAGCATGTTCTTGACGATGTAATGTTTCAAACTTGTGTTTCAGGCTCAAGAGGGACAGATGGTGACAGTTAGATGGTGTCCTAACTGCATCACCAGTGGATGGAATGTGAATTAAAGTGGAAAAGCATAAATAAATGAAAGAAGTGCAATCGCAGTAAGTAAACCTCTGATTGTTCCTAAAAAGTGACCATTTAGACTAGGTCACATTGAGTAAATTTAGTAAAAAAAAATACATATTTGATTAACTTATTCACAGATAATTGATTTGGTACTTTTGGCTCAATCACTCAAATACGTACAATAGTATGTCCCAAAATATGTTTAGAAACTTCATTAAGGGAAATACCATTTTGTCAATTGCATTTTGCATACTGTTACCTAAACATATAGCATAGTTTTGACGTATTCCATCGGTGATGTGTTTTTCTCTTTACCCTCTTACCATCTCCAGACTCCTGTGATGCACTAAGTGTATGAAGTTAGCCTTGCATCAGCCACTCTGTTTATTTCCATCAAACTGTATCGTTATCATAATTTTCTTGGACTTTTACGACAGACTCACCTTGCTGCCCCTTAGTAGGCTCCCCATTTGTTCCTGGTTCTCCCTTAGGACCCACGGGACCAGCTGGTCCTTGGTCTCCCTTGTGCCCTACGAAAAAGGTGCCGTTTGGTGATTACCCAATCGGTTAACCGCACCGAACTTCTGTTACTCGGTAATGCATTGCACGTGAATCATTTCATGGGGGAAGAGGGGAGGATGCTGGGATGACAACTGAGGCAGCTTTTACTTGATCGGCATCACTTTTCACTAAACTAACCTTTTTTACCTTTCTTTCCTCGCCGACCTATAATAAACGAGAAAAAAAGTTAACTGTCGATTTATTCAGTTGAAGAAACTATCATACTTGACAAAAATAATTGCATTATTGTACTATCGTTTAACCATGATCTTGAGAAGGGAAATTCTCAACACGTTTCTCAGACTATGTTGAAAACAATCACTGTCGGAAAAATGATAAAATTAATAGCGTACATTTAAAACACTGTACGGAAATGTTCTTTGTTTGGGTATTCAATAACGAGACCAAACGGATCAGTTTCCTCAGATAATGAGGACAAAATACAGACAAGGGCAAAAATCTATTTCTATCATGGAACAGTTAAAACATGATCATGAACTGTATGATCAATGTGTGTGTTGTTGTTTTTTTTTCATTTACATTAATAAAAAGTAATAACATTATTTCGCTTGCAATTTGGTGTACTAAGCACTGATGAATTTTTCAAAGACTACACATTGCCCTTGCCCTGCGGGTTCATGTTATTACCTACACATTAACGGGAAGAGCTAGAAACAAATACGGTGTAACAAATTAAGCCGCAACGTTTCAAGCGTTTTTTTTTTTTTAATGACGGGAGAGAAAAAGGGATGTGATGCAGCTCTTACCTGGAGGTCCAGCATCTCCTTTCGGGCCTGAAAAAGGGAAAATAATATTGCAAAAAAATTACAGGACAAGCATGTGCCAATTGTAGAATGTTTAAGTGCTCCTACTTTTTCTAAGTTTATCTTTTTGTGTGCATCATAAAATCACAATATAGAAAATGGTACACTATGAATTTGGTCGAAACTCCACTTCATTTAAAACCATGAGCTATTTTCTTTACATGTAATTTGTCCCGGCAATATGTCGTTTATTCCTAATCTTTAGTCAGAAAAACTAACTCTGCTCGGTAATTATCGCTTGTTTTCAAAAACTGCTTCAAACTTAAAGGGCAAAAATATTGAAGTCACTGTGGAATGATATTCTCATCTTCCGACACTCCCATTTTGCCAGAGTCCCTTGTCTCATACAATATTTCATTAGGAATCGGCAGGGTCATCCATCAGTCACGAAAACAATTGGCATTTGTCTGGCACATGTCTATCACGATTGAATAGGGGTTGAAAACTTATTTCTGACCTTTTAGGATAGTCCATTGAATTGGAAGAGGTGATGAATTGAAAACAATGTGATGTTTCCTGTTGAGCCGAACCTGAACAATTCTCAAGGTCAAATTATCAGTGTATGCAAATTGTATAAAAAATGTAAATTAAATTGTAAGGTCTTTTGTTATCTTTGACGCACTATTATCGCCGGTGAGTCAATATTTTCTCCGGGTTTTACACCGAGAAATGTAAAATGATGCTTTAAAGGTCAATTGAATATAATGTTTCCTAGTTTGTTGAGCTGTCATTGATGACATTTTTAAAAACTCGTTTGTAATTCATTTGCTCGCGTTTATCACCTTCTCAGACATACTTGACGAGACATGTTATTTTGGTGGAAGTTTGCCAAAACTTCAAGAGGCAATTGTCACGCCAACGTCTTGATTGAGATGAAGCCCTGCCGGCTGTGAGGTTCTTAAATTTGAGCCAATCATTTAAATTGCTTCAGCAACAAAACATTTCCACCAAACAAAATTTCCCAGGGAAAACTTTGATGCTGAAATCTATCAACGACATAGTTTCACGCCTGATTTAGGATCAAAAGGTCACAAAATTGAAGTTTACCACAAGTAGGTTACCGATATAGAATGCTTATAAACAGTTGTTTTTCTCGTCACCAAGAGTCCAATTTCAACATGCTTAAATACTAAGAAAGTGTATTTTTTTGTGGGGGCTCGTAAAAGCTGATTAGTTCATGACCAAGCGACTTTCAAGCTCTGAACGCGGAAGTAAACAAAGTCTAGAGATCAAACAGTGGTCGATTTGTTTATCCTTCATTGTTCTGCGAAAATTTTGGAATTCTTTCATAAACAGGCACGACGAAACTGTTCTTTGCGTGAATCTCCTTGTATTTTTCAGACCAATCGTTGTTCTAAATGCGCCTCTTTGTGTAATCATAGCTAAATATGTAAAATATGTATTTCTAGCACTCAAAGATTACCTTGCAAACACGGGCAGTAGCCCTCAAACTGCCTTTTGTCTCTACCACGAGGAAGATCAGGAACGGCAAGCTGTAACAACGAAAAGTCATTCTGTTTCATTTGGCTTCACGAATGTATCAATTCTCAGAACAGCGATGAGCAACATCACAATTCACGCCAACATTTAAGTAAACAATACGCTTTAGACTTTACTAATTGCGCACCGTCAAGCCGGCTCTCTAACCTTCGTTTTTAAACGCGCAGATTTCTCCTCCATAACACGATCGGCCTCACCCACAGAATTTCTGTCCGTTTTCTGAGCTGTGAAGCCGCTGTTTTCCAACTTTTCAACACGAGCTTCAAGTCGCCGCACGATGTCGGATTGCAGGACTGCCAACTGGTGTTGATGAACCACAAAAAAAGTCACAATTATGATGTATAACACTGCTAAAACAATCGCAATGTTGAGGAAAACGCGACGCGCATTTGATTTTTTCTGTTGGTCCATGGTGGAACGTGCATTTGCCAAGCAAATTCAAGTGCTCGGCTCGGGATTTTGTTTCAGTGATGCACAATCCGTGAAGAGCTGAACTCTATCTTTCCACGCTTGGTTGAGCTTAATCTAAATTTCTGGGAAAATCAAAGCAATATTGCGCATGTGTTGAAAGTGATTGACAGCATTAAAAATACTGAAACTTTTGGGGTAACTTTCAAATTCCGCACGTTGCTCTGTCAACCAACTTCGCAAAACTATTACAATAGCCTAGTAATACTGAAACTTAATCCTTGCTTTAGGAGAGAGTAGCAAAAAACGTGTCTATTTGAACCTAGATCCTTTGTATTCGAGTCCAATTCTAGGAATTATGAGATTATGTAAACTAGTAAAATAATCAACGCAGCTACAACTTCCCGCTGAAAATGCTTCTGTCAGTTTCAAATGCAAGTGCAAAGCCTTTGTTTGCCTGTTGATATGGCGTTGAATTTCAAGCTTGATTGCCAGTTGATTCATCAATTTTATTCTTATTGCATTTGACAAAATGCCAGTATTATCTTTGCAATAGGATTAGGACAGGACTGTGGCCAAAGTCTACAAAAGCTTTCACCACCCGACTTAGGACTGCAGAAACCTCTGTTATTCACGCTCATGTGGTACTAACGGTCAAGAGACATAACAATTGTGAACCAAAGCCAAATATCTTAGTTCTCGCTAGGTTTCCAATTGAACATTCCTATCAACTTGTGAACGAAACGGCAACAATCGGCTAATAACGCAACTGATATGTTTATTATTGGAAACATACAGCTTCAGCATCTAAAGTGCGTTTCAGCCACTTCCGAAACAATTATTGTTGATGTGCGACGCGACAAAACAAATTAGAAACCCAAAAAAGGCCTCTAAAATAGCTCACATTTATCTAAGGTACTTGATCCGAAAGCAATCAATTACAATAAAAACAAATTTCAACTGACTCCAATCAATCATGTCGCGTCGTAGTATAACTCTTGCGCAGGTAAATTCTCCTCTTCGTGAATCCCCCACCCCCATCCCCGAGAAAAAAATTTAAAAATCACATTTGATAGTCAACAAAGAGAAAAAGGTAGAGACTTTATTCACTATTTACCGTAATGTATTTACAGTGAGTATATCGGTGGGCAGGACTTCAAACATGAGCACTCAAACCTTGTGAGGAATTCAAGATTGCAAATAAGGTTGTATTTACAATGTGTAAAGCGGCTTTCACTATGTAAGTGGAATATTCTGATAGCCTCAAACTCTACTCAGAATATACTTCGTGGTAGTGCAATTTATTGCCTGCGACTTGGATAAAATTGTAAGAAAACTGTGGTGTATGTTTTCTACTAAATATTCAACAATGATACAAAACAACTCAAAAACTCGACTGGTAAAAGGAGTGCCCAATTGTTTTGACACTCGTTCGCCGACGCTCGACGAAAGTTAAGCACATTTGTGTAACAGGTATTGTCCTTTGAACTAGACAATTGTGATCCACCTCTTCAGTGAACTTCGGCTATGAAGTTTAAGGCACCTTGTTTTCATTTGCATATGAGTGCTGATCACCAGTGTAAAATTACGCGCAATACGAACTCGCGATGTAAAAGCGTAGTTAGAGTAGATTGAGGGACAAACACCCTTCCCTTCCCCACCCCCTTAGTTTTCAACATGGTGGAGCATAAATGCCCCAAAGAAACTTTCTCTCTCTCTCATGTAATAGTGGCTCGTGTACGGCACACGAACGGAGATAGTATCGTTGAGTCGAAGCAGGAACACTCCGCCGTGAAACTTCGTGTTGTATTTTTTCGTTTCGTTAATGACACTCGCCATGCTGCTCAAGACTTTTCGGTCGTTGATGAAAGTTGAGTGGGCCATCTGGATTGTAGAGCCATCATGATAAAACATTTGGCTGTATATGAAGTAGTAACCTTCTTTTTTAATTTCCACGGTTCCCGATGACTCATGGTACACGATACTGCCAAACCTGTGGCTCAATTTCCACTTGGTAATGATGTGATTTTCTTAAAAAGGAAGAAGAGGACTAAATGTTACTATGAAACTCGTAAAACTCTGAACACCACAAATACACATGGAATGCTACTGTTTTCCGAGGAGAAACCCTAACAGGCAAACAGCAACGGTAAATTAACGTGCCATTTTAAAGTTTGCTTGCGTCTCTCCAAATTTTATTGTTCTTGGTCAGTTTAAAACTGACCTTTCAGCCTAAAATCAAAGTGTTCGTGGTTTTCTAAGTCCCGGGGTAAACGACCATGGTGCGACCAAGTAATATGTATACATATGTATTTTGTGGTCGCTGAAACATGTCGATAATTGAAATAAAGGGTAGAAACATTGCAGCAGTTCCGGCTGGAAATGCATTTTCTTGTATTACCGCACAAGAATTTATTTTTAAATTCTATAAAAAATTTCGAGTTATATTTTCAATTGATTAAGACTTACTAGCTTTTATCCTACCGCCAATTCCAACCAGGTGGATGCTTTCTCCTGCCTTAAATTAGGAAAGTAAATGATTCTAGTATTGACCCATTGTCACTGTCAAGATATACATGCTTATCATTTATTGATCATCGTTGGTTTTTTATCACGAATGCAAGTATCTGTAAGGACATGAGCCTATTCTCTCCTTATTAACTTCATAGGTAGAAAGGAAGCTACAGTTTATGCTTCTGTTATGCTTGTCGAAATTGTAGGACGAGGGAAAACCAGATTACCTAGAACATTTGTAGAGCATCATCTTTCAGTATTTACAATCCCTGGAAGCGAGGCTACAAAGCAAAAAAAAACCGTCTCGCTTGCCAACCTAGCTCCCAGGGTCTCTCTTTTCCTTCCCCCTCTCTTCCTCCAGGAAGCAGGAAGAAGACGAAACCTGGTAACTAGTTTGCACACTTACCATTACTCCAGGTGGGCCGGGAGGTCCTAAGGAAAGATAATACAGATTCATTTCAGTCTAGTTTATTTTAAGGTGCTATATATCGTGTCTCCAAAGGCATTTTTTCCTATCTGTTTGTATTCTTTGCTGCGTAAAAATTCATCATTTTCTCACCGTTGCTATAATCACTTATTAATGAATTGAATCCAATGATGTGAGATGTGACTCGTCTATTTCCCGAAACTTCATCCCAGATTTCGCACGGATAGTGAGACAAGAGATGGAGTAAACTGGCAAAATATCAATTTCATCAAGGTAGTACTCGAGGTAACTTTCAGAATGGGCGAAAAACAGTTCTAAACACCGGATACGCAGCTGAATCCAAACATACCTGGCGGACCTTGCTCTCCTTTAGGTCCCATGTCACCCTTAAGACCGTTTGCTCCGCGTGGGCCCTGGGGACCTACCCGAAAAAAAAAAAAAGGTAACTGATTCAATTTTGTTTTTGTTTGTAGCACGTGCATAGTGTCAAGGCTATTAAAGATGACTCCGGATTTTTGTTTCATTAGGTGAGTGGAACAACACCAATTTTAGAAACCTACTATGTTAATTACGAAGAACCATTTTAAAAGAAATAAAAATTTGTGAATAATTAGGATAATGTCAGGGGTACAGGAAAAAAGTTGATGAAACGAATTTGAGGTTTTAACAGTAGAACAAGAGATAAAATAACCTGTTCCGCCATTGGTTCCATTCGTCCCAGTCGGTCCGGGAGGGCCCGGGTCGCCCTTTTCTCCTAAAAGGATCATACGTAAATCAGGTTTTTGCCTAATCGTGGTATTTGGATGTAAATGTTCCTAATTGTATTCAGGTCTTACCTCCATTTGGTGTCGGAAAAATAACCCATGGAGGGTAAGTGATTTAGATCGTTACGGGAAAAATTACTTTTGACGATGTTCACCGACTACTTGATGAATGTGGACTAAAAAACATCTCTAAACAAAGTACGACACACCAAACCAAACGTTTTGCACAAGGCTAGTTGAGTATTTTAATTAAAGGAAAAATGACATAGTGGCAGCTTACCTTTCTTGCCTTTGCAGCCTATAAAGAAGACAAAATAATTTTTCAATCATAGTTTTATAGCACATGAATAGGGTATGATTTCGTGAGTCGTAAGACCAAGGAACATCGATATATCGATAACGTTGCACACTTACCTTTTTTACATTTAATACCTGAGGAAAAAAAACCAAGCGACATATTTAGGCTCATCAAGTGAAATCAACCTCTGCGATTGAGTTTACCTTAAAGTTTTGAACATTTAAAACATGATAAAAGGACTTATATTCATTTTTGTTTGTAAATGATCGCCAAATTTCGTTTGGTGTGTTTTCGTTTATGTCACGTATCCCAAGTTTTTCAGAGCAAGTCCAATTTAACTGCATGGAAATTTCACACTCAGAACAGTAAAATGAATCGGTTAAATAACTACGATGATACTGAGCCGCGTTGGTCCTCTAAAATTTTCAGCTCAATTAGACTTTCTTTGACCGGATTCGACATCCCTTCCTTTTGTCTCCCATATTGCTTTTCCAACTGTTGGCCGATAAGTCAACTTAGAATAAAAGCATCTTCACAGTATTAGGCTTGCTGATTTTGTTTTATTATTAATGAATGAGGAAGATTAAGAACTAACGCAAAAAATTGAGACGAAGTCATTGTATAGCCAAAAGGATAATCATCTGATGCAAAACTTACATGGGAAAACCAATCAGTGAAGAAAACATGCGGAAGTGAAGCTGGGCAAAGTTCAATGAATTGATATCAGCCCAGATTTGATGATTAACATGACAAAAGATATTTTCAAGACTTTTACCTCCCAGTGTTGTTCTCAAAGGAGTGAATAAGCTGTGCTTTATAACTATCATTATTTTTTTTTTTTTCGATTTCATGGCAGTCAGTTCCTCTTCTAATTTTGTTTGTTAATTTTGTCTTAAAACATGATGCACTTTTTGTTCATAAATCGTTACTGGTCGTTTTTCAGTGAACTGGGGGTAGAGTTTTAGCGAGGGTCGAAACGCTCCCTAAAAAAGACAAGCATCTCAGAAATCTTTTTGTTTTACTTTGCGTAAGTAATCATTTTGAGTCCGGTGCAGTTTAGTGTGCAATGTTTATTCATAGTCGAATGTAATATGGCTTTCAACATTCATTACACAGTGTAAAAAAACAATGAACGACTAACCCTAAGCATAATTATGCGAGTATCTTCGACACCTACCGTCGTTTTTTACTTCATAACCGTAAAATTGTCGTCTGCCTCTTGTTTGAGGAAGATGGGAGCTCATTTGCTGCAAAGGAAAACAACGACGCGGATAAGAACGTTTAAACAACTTATGTTCACCCACACAATTGGATATGCATAAATTTGGACAACGAGCTACAAAGTACTTCGTAAGATTCAAACAGACCTTATTACCCGGACGTTTCTCCTTCTCCGTCTTTTCCTCTGTCTCCGCGTTAGTTTCGCCCAAAAATTTGTCATCTATCTTCCGGGCGGCGAAACTTGCCTCCAACTTGTGAATACGAGTAGTCAGTTTGACAATAACTACTTCTAGCGATTGAATTCTCTCAGATTGCAATAGCGTAACGCGGTACAGAGTCGCAATAACAACCGTAACAAGGATGACAAAAATCGCCAGGATGAGAACCACAAACAAAGTCAGAATGCTACGACGAGCACGCGAGCTATCGCGTTTCTCCATATCCGCCAGGTAGTTTCAACGCTTTGTCGAAGCTCCGAGCTGTGTCTCTTGTTTCTGAGAGGGGGCGCTAATTTCTCAGAACTGTTTGATTTATTATTGTCTCACGCTTCGCTTAGCATTTGTCTTAGAAGTTTCTCGGAAAGGAAACAGCCATTTAAACACGTGCTCGTGCATTCCGTTTCCTTAGGAGGGTCGTCTACCTTAGTGAATAAATTTGGGAGGGTCATCATTCGTCTATGAGTTAAATAAAGCTGTGGTTTCATGATCGTAGCTAATTTTTGCTGATTTGGAATGTTTGCATAAGGAATAATGAATTCGATCTCGAACGCCGTGTTTTTACGGGCGCCTTGGAAAGTGGCTGTAGAAAGGGGTCTTGCCTAAATTTGTTAAAGCTATGTGGATATTCATCGGTGATGCTCAGAAATTAAACTACTTCAGGATGCAAATCTAGTATTTCTTCGCTGCTGTGAGTCAAACTTTATCTCTCAAGGCGTAACTGCTACCTGTAAACAATGGGCACATGGTCAAAACAGGCTGTTTTCATGAAAAACTACTGTACAGTTCTCCAAGTCTTGATTTAACTCCTTGTTATTACCTTCGTTGCAAGATGAATTGGAACAAACAAACAAAAACTTGGAAAAACAAACAAAAAGAGTAAATGCCAAGCTGACTCTGTCAAACGCCAAACATTGGTAGGCAGATCTATTTTTATTAGAAATATGAATTTTTACAACTCCATACACAAAAACAGTATAAAAAGCAAAGTAAAGCGCGTTTGATGACTTACTGTGGTTAACTTGACTAACTATTTGATTTAAACTAGCCAAAATGGAAACAATTATGCGTCAAACTACTTTCCACATGATTTGAGCCTGATTTACCGAAAAATCATTTAAGCACTATTCGGATACCGAAAATAAAGTCGCCTTTCTTTTACTATAATTAAATCCATAAATGATGACTAAGACTAAGACTAATACAATTTCGAAGAACACCCTAATTTATGAGTCTCTTTGGCCGAGAAGGCTAACATTTTAACGATTTACAATTTGTCTGTACGCTAACGTCTACAGGAAGGGTAACTGTTCACAGGATCAAAATTTGGATTTCTATATCTAGTTAACATGATAAACATTACCAAAAAATTGTGAAAATGACTGAAATTATCGATATATCTAAGAACCTACAAAACAAGGTCCGTGCAGCAAATTTTAAGTGTGGGAGGATCAAAGACGAACTCATAAGCTTCAGCCGAGAAGGCAGGGGGATTAGGGCACGCTCGGCAGGACAAGTTTAAAAAAAAAAGGGGGGGATGCTAAGGCCCCCCCCCCCCCAAGTCCTTCCACGGTGCGGTTCCTGCATTATGATAGAGAAGCGGTCGTTGCTAATGAGGGACTAGTCATTATTCATTACCAATAGGGGGGGGGGGGAGAGAGAGGGCAGGGGAGTTTTGAGGATCACATGGTTCTCAGGGGGAGATGAGGGGGGATCAGACGTCTCTAACAGATTTTATATGGGGGGGACAGTAAAATATTGACCGCCACTTGAGGAGAATCATTTGAATACTACAGAGCCTTATGGGGGCAACAAGTAAATTTTATTGTGACTCAACCAAATACTTCGACCTCTCCCCTAGGCGATAAATAATGATCAGTCCCAAAGTTAACTTGCACCGGTCATGCGCGTGGCTTTCGTTCTGATTTCCTTTTCGTTTTAATTTTACCCATGGTGTAAATATACTCAAAGCGAGTGCAACGAACTTGACTTTCCACTAACGAGAGGCTAACAGGTTAGGTATGAAATGTATAAAATCGAAAAAAAAAAGGACTGACCACTTCTTTCAAAAAAAAAATGCATGAAGATGAAAGGCTCAATGCCTTAGTCAGGATACAACATGAACACTCCAAAGTAACTATAAGGAGCCGCCATGTAGTAAATCTTACTCCTGTACACTTCCACTTTAAGAATGTCGCCTCGATTCAGATGAAAAACGCCTCCCTGGAAGTTGGTGTTGTACTTTCTCGAGCAATTCACTGTGCTTGAGACGCTCCCGAGGATTTTGCGGTCATTTAGAACAGTGTAGTGGTTCATTGAGTAGCTGGTGCAATCGTAGTAATACATCTGGCTGTAAACATAGTACATTCCAGAACGACCGATCACCAGGTGACCCACATGTCGTCTGTACAAGATACTTCCATTGACGTGGCCTTCCTTCCAACGATGAACGGTGCCTACCCAACAAAGTCAACACATTTATAAACAATCCACAAGTTAAATTTTGATTGTGTAGAGACGTGCATGGTGGCCTAAGAGTTAATACGTCGAGGGCATCAAATCGAGAGGTACGAATTCGAACCCTGACCGGGTAGTGGCGTGTTATCAAAATGGCATTTCTCATAACAACTGTTCCTGGTATAAAACGAATATTATTCGTATTGTCACGAGCGTTGGATAACGGAAAATCTGGGTCATCCACGAGAAATCGACCCCCTGATCTTTAGATGACGCCCTCCGATGCTTAACACTGAGCTATACATAGAACTCTATTGTGAGCCAGACCATCGATGGCCATAGGAGGGTCTCAATGGGGTTAACCGTTAGCCGTAAAACGGCCAAAATATTTAGCCGTTAGACGTAAAAATTGACAAATTTTAACCGTTAGTCGTAAAAAAAGTTAACCGTAAAAAATATGTCTGGTGGAAACAATGGAAAGGTGTTAACCGTTAGCTGGAAATTGGCCAAAATTTTAACCGATAGCCGTAAAAGCCATCACCCCATTGAGACCCTCCCATAGGCCTTTTTTATTAGCTGAGCCAGCGCGGAAGCTGGCTGAGTAGGGTGAGCTTGAGGCGCACGCGCTGGAACGAGTGAATGACACACCAGGTATAGCATAATTACTAACGTTATACTGCGCCATACGAAGCAGATTATTACAACAATAATACTTATTCGCTACATGAGTGCGGAGCGCGTTCAGCAGTTTCAAACTTTATTTCGCTTGCGAAGATCAAGGAGAAAATTGACCCACGGTCACGAGACTTAACTAACCAGCATGATGTACTCTTTTTCCGTCGCCAACCAAGTGAGCACTCTCTCGCATCTGGAAAAGAGAGAAACATGTTGATGATGGTGTTGTTACAGTTCAACTTGTGAGAAAAACAGAAGAAAAGGGAAAAAAAAAAGGAAAAAAAAAACACGAGTTACGAGAAACTCAAAAGAAAAGTCAAAAACGAGTCTCACTTTGACATATATTTTGAATCGAATTAATTTGAACAGAATGCTGTTGATGCAAGGTTTACAACAAACAAAAATTTGAGCAAGATTCCTACCATGAGTCCTGGGGGTCCTCTCTCTCCTGCAGACACACACACACAAAAAAAAATAATAGGGTGAGCCTGCACTCATGTAATTTGCTTGTACAGCCGTCCCTAATGTCTGAGCTTGTATCATGTACGAAGTGTGACTTACCCAATTCTCCTGGGTCTCCCTTTGGCCCAGGTGGACCTACTTCGCCTGAAGGACCTGGTGGCCCGTAGGGTCCCTGGGAACCCTGTGGACCTGCTGGTCCTTTTTGACCGATGGGACCTTCAAATTGAAATGAAAATAGATTAGGTTTTTTTATTACGTACAACTGGATATCACTAGTAATCCTGATTGGCTTCCAACAAGGACAGTTATTTAAAAGTCGCCCCAGTTTTTGCTCTCAATCGTATCTTTTTCTTAGCCAATGAAAACAGAAATCTAAAACAACACGAACAATCAGATTTTTGCGATTTTTGATTTCGCACTCTTTATTTTCGCGACTGAACCAGTCAAATGTTGGCACTGAGCAAAAGCTTGAAATTCTTTAATTTTAAAATGAACGTGAGTTGATGGATTTTGAGCTTCGTGTGGTGCAAATTTGTTATAAATCATTCGATTATCCCTCTTTCGTATTAACAATTATCCCCTCCCCTCCCCTCCTTCGCATTTAAACTTATTCCTCTCCTTATCCCCCTCCCTTGGCATTTACAAGTGTGCCCCATATTAGCATTTACAATTATCGGTGCCTGAGGCACAAAATAACCTTGTTGTCCTTTTTTTCCTCTTCTTCCCTTGGCACCTGATAATGAAACAGACAGACAAGTTAATCTGACCATCCGTTGGAATTTCATGGCAAGAAATCGAAGCCCTCATAGACATAGAATTGAACCGAACGCTATCTTAAAATCATTATCTTTCACCATTATGGTTGTTTTAGTTTTAGGATATCCAGGCAGGAATCCTTGTCAAAAAATTAAATGACAGCTAAAATTAAACGGATGCACTACAATTGGTATTGCCTATATAACCATGTAAAATATTGTTTTCCTCTTTTTTTTCGGTCTTATTAAGATTTCCTAATTGATCAGTAATACTGAAAGAACGGTCAAATGTTTTCGCGTAGAACTTTTGGATTGTTTATTCCCAGTTTTATATTCCAGAATACGATCAAAGACAAAAGCTGGACCAGGATGATGCCTTACCTGACGGTCCTGGAGGGCCGGGGGGTCCGCTAGGACACATAATCTTCCCACAGGCGCTTGGAGAGTTTCTTTTGCGCCTCTCATGGAAAATGTTCTTGATGTCAACAATTTCAGTCATCTGTACAAAGTTAAAAAGTTCGATGTTATTGAGCCTTTAGCTCGTCATAAACATGCTTCATTAGCCGTAAGTGATTTAGAATGACAGGCGGGTGGGCTCCCCCGCGTGCGTGTTTCTCGTATTCTGGTAGAGCGACACAGGCCAGTGCAGGATAAGATCTCGGTAAACATATTTGGGTTCCTGATGTAGCAGCGATCAATTTGTGATTTTACTTTACAAAGTAACTCTATAAAATTATCAGGAAAAGCGAAGTTCTCCTGTTTATTTATCTATCTACTCTCTTGTTTGTCCAGGTGGAATCACAAACAGCCGGGAGCCCTAATAATGATAAGAAGATACATGAGCTACCCGTAGCGTCAAACACAACCATCTCGTTAAAATTGTGGTTCATTAAGATGTTCTAAAGTGACTAATTTGACCAAGACTAACCCTGGAATGTGTGGCAAGCTTTAACGATTTGCTCTTTGGGTCAAAAAAGAACTGGTTGCTGCGATAGAATTGTGAGGAGAATGCTCTTGACTGCGAAATTAACGGCCAAAAGAAGGGGAAAAGAAAGATGACTGAGAAAAACGAGAAAACGGAAATGGGAATGAATGAGTGAGTCGTATATGATGTTTCCAGTTGGAATGCAGCAGTTTTTTTTTTCACGATTGAAAACTTCTATATGAAAAATGGACAAAGAACCCGACGCAGGAAGATAAAATTGGCTCAACATCGTTGAACTTGCTGAAGACCGGGGTCATTAACAGCGATTAAATATCAACTTTACGGTGTTCGTACACAATGCCAGCCACGGGAGGCTAATTAATGATGTCGGTGTTGGTATGCATTTGCATTTAAAGATGAATTAGCGGTGAAAGTCTCTTCCTTTCCGAGAATTTTAGTTTCATGCTGTCTGGTATGAAAATCCGGAAGGAAAGTAAAGCTCCGTATTATACAACAATGAGCAACATGATATCCGTTTTTCCTTCGCGTGGAGATAGTTGATGACCCCGTTTTAACTGATAATTGTGGAGAATTCGAATGATCATTTCTATCAGGCGACAGAAAATGACATCTTATTCAAGAGGGAGGTTTATTTTGGTAACGTGACAGATAACGATCAGGAGTAATGGATGTATGCAGATTTATCTTCAACACGCAATCAAGGATGACCTTTTGTTCCAAATTTGCATCAGTTGTCAACAAGGCTGGTTTTGTGGAAAGAGACATCTCGTCGCGCACTAAGTATTATCGATGACATGAATTAAAATATCTGATTGCGTAGGACGTAATCGTCGATTATTTTGGACTTGTTATACTACCTGAGGTCTTTTGTCCTTGTTTTCACGCTGGTCTTGGGTGCTTGAGGGCGACACAGTCGTCTTAGAAGCGTTAACTGTTCCCTTCTCCAATAAAACAACTCTACCCCGCAAATCTTGGACGTAATGTCTCAACTCGTTGTAATCTCGCATCAAATAAACGACGAAGGCACTCAGTGACACGCAATACACGAGTAACAACACCAGAGCTAGCGCTACAAGAAGCCGAAGCGAACTTGTTTTCGCTTTTTCCGCCATTGCTGATGAGTTCTACGCTGACTCAATGCGGCTGAGTTGAAATCGACATGGCTCACGGCGTCAGGGCTGACTGGAGCTGTAGCGGGGTGGTCAGACAACTTCCTGTCAGCGAGGTCATTAGTTGAGTTCTTAGAATTTACGCACCAGGAGTAAAATTGGATCACGTGACCTTCTTGTCTGTTTCAGTTTGTCTGCATTGTGCTCCTTGCGTAGGTTTTGCTGCCTAAAAGGTTGGGAAGAAATCTGAAAAAATACCACGCAGAGGTTGGAAAATTTCCTTAGCCGGATGGAAAGTAATGTTGAGGGAAGCTCAGATATACAAATCGATTGTAAATGTTCGAAGTATTATGAATACTTTTTTCTAACCCGTCAAACCAAGTTGCTTAAAGGTGATGTATAGAGGAATTCTTGGTTAGATAACAGGGCTGGTCAGTAGAGCACGAGCGCTACTTTGAAAGTGATGGGGGGGGGGGGTGGGGAGCGAGTGTGAAATAATGCTTGTTTCTCCTCTGTGCCAAAATAAAGTGACGGTTTTTAATGACAGTAATAATCATTTATAAAACAACCTGACATGCTTCGAAATGCCACAAGACGCTAGTATGGGATCTCTCCTCTTTTCTGGGAAATCAGGCTCACACCTTGATGCAGAAGTATACTTTATCTTTAAAACATAGAAGGCTATGAAGTCTCGCAGCCGCAATGATTCTCAATGGAAGGGAATATCCGAGAGCGTAGAGGACTTGGGAAGATTCCTTTGCTTCTGATGTAATGACACCTTACGGCCTGCTTCATTAGGGAATGTCGGAGAAGGGGAGGGGGGGGGGGAATGCTCCGCTCACAAGTCACGAAAACCAAAAATCATGAAGCACCACCATAAACGGAGTACCAAGAAATTTGAAGAGGGAACACACCAAAGCAGCAAAAACAGAAGCCGATAAAAGTAATTAACCTCATAAACTTTATTTCAATTTCAAATTAAACGTATCCAAATAAAGTGAGAAAAATCACATGCTGAGTGCCATAAAATACGAAGGCCAATTTTATCAAGAGCGTCTTCTTGTATCCCGTTTATATCTTTCCAATCTTTAAGGAGCCTTGTTCATAATTGGCTTATCAGTCCCTCATCCTTTTTCCAGCTCACTGGACTAATGTTTAACATTGTTTATCAAGTTAAACATACATTCGTACGATATAAAAAATAACGCAAACTGTGTTGACCTAGCTTACTTGATATGGTACTTGAGAAACGTTAAGTAAAAGCGGCGTCTGCATCCTAATGACGATAATCTCCTTAGCATCCGTTCTCCAGGCACCGGTTGTTCGAAGATCGGATAACGCTATCCACTGGATAAATCTCTATCCGGTGAATAACGATATACGTTTTTCTATCACTTATCCGCTGGATAGCGATTTATTCGTTGGATGGCGTTATCCGCCCTTAACGCAACTGAGCCCAGGAAGTCACGCAACGTAAACACCGCGCCTGTTTTAACCCTTTAACTCCCATATCAAATTTGTAATTCTCCTTACTGTCAACCATACAATTCTTATAATCTTAGTTCAGAGAATTTAGTATTGAATCAACTAATTATCCCCCAAATTGATATTTTCCTTTATTCTCATTACTTATCTGGTTGATATTGTATTGATATTGTAAGGAGAAATTCTGTCTTGGTCACTCGTGGGAGTTAAAGGGTTAAAGGAAGAATAATGCAACTTGCCGATGAACGGCCTCAAAGGAGAACGATAAAAATTTATACCTGAGAATACTTTACTCCAGCAACAAACTATGTTTTGTCAACGATCAGCGGTAATCACAATCATTATGTTTTCAGACATGCACATATCTTTAGGGGGTCAAATTTCCATTAGCAACTGTCCGAAACGGCAGTCTCGAGGCAGTCTTTCAGTTTCAAGACAGCCCTTTCTTTCAATTACTTCTCCTGGTTGTTAAAAAACTTAGTCAAATGAAAACATCAAAATCAATGAGTGTCAACCACGAACGACTATAACCTTGTAAACAAAAACAAAAAAACTGAAATATTGATCTCGTCGGGATTTTACGAAGAGCGTGATATGATGTCTATCTATGACACTTGCGTGATATCACACCACCCCAAGGAAACAGCCTTGTACGACAAAACGGTTGTTGAAACCGTTCGCTAAAAAAAAATAAATAAATAAAAAGGTATACAGCTTCAGTGAAAGGCTGGATTGCCCATGTCATTGACAATCTCTATATAGCAATAAATTTCTCTGCACTCCTGCAAAACATTACGTATACATGCTCTTTTCTGGTTCCTTCCCTGCTAAACTTGATAAACTTTTCTGGTGGTACTGATTAATAACTGCTATTGTCCTGGTTCTGTGCTTGCTCGAAGAACATGAAATCCTATGAAGAGGGAAAATAACGGATTTCAGGAACAAAAATAGCAAGATATATAATTGAGTTACAGAGGTATACACAAACACTACATACATTCATTTTTAACTTGAAGAAAGGTAAGTTCTCTCATAAGTAGCATTGTTTTCATGAACCCTTTAATCCCTAACATCAGAATGCATCTTCTCCATACTACTCCCTATACATTTCCTTGGGTTCTGACAAAGAGAATTTGTTAAACTATCAAGACCGTCTTTAGTTAGTGATCATCTCCTTTATTCTCATAACCTTACTGTTAATTTAAGGGTAATTTTGTAAGGAGAAATTAGATGTTAGTCACACTTAGGGGTTAAACTGTAGCATCAGGAGAATCGTGTACAGTGGCAGCAGAAGAAAAATCTATTAGTTGAATAAAATAGCTCAGGTAATCAGAATTTAGGCAGAGAATTTGGCACAGTAGCTGGAGAATTCTCCCACCTCCAATTCCTCATTCACAACTTCAAGCCAACATCCAAGTGATGTGTCTAATAACCTCTAGCATGGGGAAGTGGCTGGACATTGAGTCCTGCTGGGAACACCGCCCATGAGTGACTGGACATGAAATCATACTTGGGATCAAACCCATGAGTGGCCTAACACCAAGTTGTGTTGAGGACACAACTAAGGTGGCTGGAAACGGAGTCATGTTGAGAACACCACTGAGGTGGCTAGACACTGAGCCTAGCTTGGGGTACCAACCATAAGTGGTTAGACACTGAGCCTAGCTTGGGGTACCAACCACAAGTGGCTAGACACTGAGCCTAGCTTGGGGTACCAACCATAAGTGGTTAGACACTGAGCCTAGCTTGGGGTACCAACCATAAGTGGTTAGACACTGAGCCTAGCTTGGGGTACCAACCACAAGTGGCTAGACACTGAGCCTAGCTTGGGGTACCAACCACAAGTGGCTAGACACTGAGCCTAGCTTGGGGTACCAACCAGAAGTGGTTGGACACTGAGTCATGCTGGGGACACCAACCACAAGTGGTGATGTGTGACTAAGGACAAAATTAACATGTAATGTGTGAATTTTCCAGTGAGGTGAGCAGGATTTGTGAATTTAAGAACCAGCCTGACATGTATTTGCCTCCAGAAATTTTCTCTTTCACACAAGATGAGAGATTTGAAGTTTTCCTCTCATAAACACGATGAATTAATTTTCCATAAATGTGTGTAAAACAAGATCAGGACCCCATTCCCCTTAGCTATCCTCTACTAGGTATAGTTCATACAGAAAGTGACCAGCAAGTGTACTTACAATGAGAAAACAAGCACCAAGTACAACAGCCTTCATTTTCACATCAAGATCCATAGGAACTGCAAATTTAAAAAAAAAAAATCCTTAAAAAAATGCTAGCCACTAATCTATAAATAGACATAATCTGTTCTATGTACCTCTTTTTCCAAAAAGAAAAAAGATCACTTTTATTCACATAGAAATAAAACACAACATTCCTTTTCTGCCCTGTAACAGTCGAAACACAAAAGTAAAATAAAAGCACTTAACTTAGTAATGAAAAACTCTTATTTTCAAGGAAGCTTTAAAAAACATCTAGAGATCAACCTATGGGCCCTTTCAAACACAATTAAATGAAAACCATTTCTTTCTTTTTCCTATACCTTAGATAATGAATTCCCTACCCTTTGATATACTGCTTCACCTGAAAATGTATCCCTAGGCTTTTTGGGAGGTGCATCTCATATAATCCATATAATAGGAAGTAAACAGAGTTGAAAGTGCCGAGCTGGGGGTGCACTACCATTGAGAGTCAAAACTGTGCAACCAAACCACTTTAACCCTGTACACCCTAGCATCAGTATGCATATTCTCCATAATGTTCCCTACTCATCTCCTGAGGTGCTGACCGGGATAATTTGTTTAACAATCAAGAGCTTCTTTGGTTAGAGATCATTTCCTTTATTCTCTCATGACTTTCATGTGTGATTCAGGGGTGATAATGTAAGGAGGCAATTAGATGCCAGTCACTCTCAGGGGTTATAGGGTTAAGTTAACATGTGAGAGAGGAAGTCAGAGAACCCTCAGATCACTGCTGGCAGTAATTTCTCTCAAATAGTTAAGATAATAACTTACATGTGATACCAAAGTTGTCTGCATCAGTAAACGCCTCCTTTACCAAACCAGTCCACTGTTTAGAAATTCTTCCAACCTGATTCTGGCCATCTGCAGAGAGCACCTGTTTCATTCACAAAGAAAACATAACATTACCAGTTAACACAAGTGATGAAGTATCATCAAGTATTCCTCAAGCAAAGAGGTCCACCTCAACAACCAGTCACTCTTGTTGCATAGAGAAAACTAGCAGCATTCTGTTGGAATGTCACTATTCACATCCAAGGGGCTATTACATTGTGTGACAGTAGAAAACCATTCCTAGTAAAGCATGGCCGATTGAGATGAAGTAATTTTAAGGCAGATAGGGAAGGAACCATATAAGAGGCTTCAGTGGTTCAATGTAACCTTATTTTAATCAATCTTAATCCTTTAACCCCCAGAAGTGATTAACATGAAACTTCTCCCTATAATATCCATACATTAGTCAGCAAACAGGTGATGAGAATATTCAAACTCATCATATAGAAGCTGCTATCTTAATCTAGCACCAAGTTCCCATAACTAATTTACAAGGAAATGTGCAGCAGCCAGAGGGAAGAATTGACAATCAGGTCTTGGAAGTTAAAGGGTTAAGTCAAATACAGTGTGTTGAATGCAAACAGATTCGTAAATATAGCCAACTAAAATGCAAACAATCAAAAATTCCACCACAATGTTGCAAGCTGTTACCTGAAAGTCAACATCTCCACAGAGATTGCACTGGCAGAAGGGTCCTTCAATTCTCAGGATTGTTTCTCTGTCAGCATTCTGGATTGTAAACTTAGGAATGCATATTGACCATCTAAAGATAAAATAATATTTGTGTGTACACCTTAATTCTAGTTTGCTAAAAGCATGTGGCTAATTCTTGCTGGTGATATTTTCATGATGTCAAAGATACAGACATACTTAAAATTGAAAGAAAGGCTGTCATAACCTCTAACTATCAGATTTATTTTTATCTCAAGATGCACTTATTTCCCATAATGAGTTAAGCAAGGACCCACATAGAGCTATTTTCAACAGTGTCAAAAGTAATATGGGATTGTTTTGATTTAGCTTGATTTCCTCCAAGATTGGTCCAGAAGACTTATTCCAGCCTTTTCACCAATCAGATTAGAAAAAACCCAGTTGTGACTAGTTCACATGAGTTTTCCCACACTTCCTGCATTTTGCTAATTTTCATTATGGGTTGATTGGCTGTTGTGATTACTGAGGTTTTGGTCCCATGATAATTCTCAATCAAAATGCCCTCTCTTTGTGAGTAAGCAATAAGTTTCTTACTCTTGAGCACAGTAGCCAAGGACTGTCCCAGGTGGTGATTGCACTTCAATCTCTTGAAGACAACAAGGAAATAAGCAAGACTGACAACGCAGAGGACGAGTCAAATGCACAATTTCCTGCTGATGATTGTCCAGGATTTTCATTTCAAAAGGTCTTCCTGGGCCACAACACTGTCGTGTACAGCAATCAGTATCTAAAACATACCAACAGAAAAATGTATCATTTATAATCTTATAATCAGAGTTTATTAGATCTGAATTCTCAGAAAGAGGTGGAGTCAGGGAAAAGGGCAAAGAGATGCTAGGAAAGGAAGGCCATCCAAGTAAATCATATAGTTAAAATTTTTTTTTTAATATTTAACCATGAAAAATTGAGTTAAAGGAATATAAACCATGATCTACCGAAATATAATTATTGCTCCACTCTACTTACATAAGCTTGTATAAATATTAACAAGCCTTCGTGATTCATCAGGGAAAATTTCAAGCTAATTTCCCTAAAAAATCCAGCCACTAAATTATGATTTAAAACTAATTAAGAAACTTTAATATGAAATTACACTGCACATATCAACCACAGCGTATCAAAATAGAACAAAATTTCAAATTTTCATGCGCCTTATTCTAGATCATAATTTTAATTAAGTTAGCTCTCTGTCTTGAACTTCACCGAACAAATAAAGAAAAAATGTAAAAAGTAAAATCCAGCCTAACACGCATATTTCTTATGATTTGCTATTAAAGAATGCGGAAAATGTTTTCGCATGCTCATTATAAAAAACGGAAACCGCGAACACGAATAATGATGGAAAAAAAAAAGAGTTCCGTTGAAACATGAATTAGCATGTACCGCTAAGTATCCCTTCAGTTTTTTAAAAATTAATGAGAACTGCATATATCTTTCTGAATTAATAAGGTGTGCGTTCAATTCGTTAGTGGAATTCTGTTTTAATATATGAAGCCGCAAAATATTACTGCAAAATTGTAGTATACGTGACAACTAAATGTACTCACCTTCCGCTGCGAAAAACACCTGCTGTCCCATGCTGTTCAAAATCTTGTATTTGTTGTTGGTTTCAAAGCCAGTGAAAGCTGTAAAAGTATCCAAACAAATAAATATATATGTGCATGCACATAAGTCTGAAAAGATTACTTGTAACCATGTATTCAAAGAAAAAACCAACGGAATAAACAGCCGAGTTCTAAACATTTACCTTCTAGGAGTTCGACTTGCTGTTTTATTAAAAGTTGATCTATTTGGGTTAGATATTCCAGTCCTGGAGGACAGTTCGCTGGAACTGGGGGAGGAGGCATCCATTGCATTTGTCCATAACCTGCAGGAGCTGGGGCTGCAAATCCTTCGGCAAAATAAACAAAGTTTGTATTTTTGTAGTTTTAACACTCTATATGAGAGCTTCTGCTCACATTACATTACTAAAACGACAAACAAGTGCTTTTTAAGCGACACAATTCCGAGGTGATTCTCCATGAATCTCGTTGACAGTACATTGGAAAACCTTACGAAGTGTATTCTATATTTTGATCGAGTTTCTTCGCACTATTTTCTAATAAAATTAAATTACACTAGGTTTAGTAATCTAGAAAGTATTTTTCCTGTTTTAAGCACGGTGTAGTTTCGAGTCATCGACGAACAAATTTCGTTATCACGTATGGCGGGGTGAAGAACTTTTTCTGAATTTGATCGCAAGCAATAGTTAATGACCTGAAAACTGATGTTAAAGAGTGACAGCCCTGATTGAAAGCAATTCAAAAAGCCGTCAAAAACTTAATTTTTTTACCAGGTTGTTGGCTAACAGGCGGTGCATAGCCAGGTTGAGTGGGAGCATATCCAGGTTGCGCCGGCGGTGGATAACCTGCTTGTGGTGGGGGATAACCACCTTGAGGTGGTGGATAACCACCTTGAAGCGGTGGATAACCTCCTTGAGGTGGTTGATAACCTCCTTGAAGTTGAGGGTTACTTTCCACAGGCGGTGGGTACCCGTAACCTGGCTGTGCCATGATGTTACAAAAGCGTTCAAACGGCTGGAAACATTCCCATGACACTCCTCTGGTCACTGTAAACAAATGTACGTACCTTACCCTATCCTAGGGAGTGAGGATCAACGCTTAAAAAAAAAACACTCACTTCCTGCCATGCCTATTCAATTCAGAATGTGGAGGATGAATGAAACATGAATTAATTTCGTTTTCAATTCAAAAACTAAATTTTCAACTGCACAGGGCTTGCTGTTCCTTTTTTTTCCCCAATCGTTACTAAGTTACTCGGGTAGAGTCCCTTGGGAGTGTTGTTTTGTCAACGGCAAGCTGCGCGAAGTGGCTTGTGGGCTGAACAAGATGGCTGCCGAAACTTCGGTCGAGGAGTCACAGGACGTGACAATGGAGGAAAACACTCCGTCTAAAGATCAAGGAGTACAGAAAATGTTTACTCTCAAAAAGTGGAATGCTGTAGCCATGTGGTCTTGGGATGTAGAATGCGATACGTGTGCCATTTGTCGCGTGCAAGTAATGGGTGAGTTTAGATCAGCCAATTTTTAGTCTGTTTCTGAAGTTCAGCAGTCGTTTGTTTGTTTCTTTTTTTCCCAAAAAGTTATTATATTTTTTCATCGAATTCTTTGTATTCCACGTGTGTAGATGCTTGCCTCCGATGCCAGTCTGACAACAAACAAGAAGAATGCGTCGGTAAGACAGTTTATGTCGTTGAGTATTCTAACCTTGGGACTTGCTAACTAAACTATGAAACTAACATTATGTTCTTGAGCTCACCACTAACAGATCTCTGGTATTTCTGATTATTTATCCACACCTGAACTACTTATTTAAACAGTCGAAGAAGAGGAAAAATAGGTCCAAGGAGAATTATATTGGTATGGTTGTAACCCTTTCACTCCCAAGATCTCATTATAAATTCTCCTTACTGTCTGCCATACAATTCTCATGCTATTAGTTTGGAGTATTTGCTACTGGATTAATAAATATTCCCCTAATTGATTATTTTTTTATTCCCACCTCTTGTCAGCCTGAAATTGCATTGATATTGTGTTGATAAACTCTGTCTTAGTCACGAATGGGAGTTAAGGGTTAGAGACATATCACTTTTTCACAAAAAAATTGAATATTGTTCCATGTCTTTGAAGCAGTGTTAACATTAAATTTTCTCTTGTTTCAGTTGTGTGGGGAGAGTGCAATCACTCATTTCATAATTGCTGTATGTCACTCTGGGTAGTGCAAAATAACAGATGTCCACTCTGTCAGCAAGAGTGGATTGTCCAAAGAATTGGCAGATAACATCAAAGCAATGTAAACAGCAGGAATATTGATTAAAGAGACTTCTTGGATGATTTTTTTAAAACTGAATTCAGCATTGGAAGAATGCTAGTCTGCCTTTTAACAAAATTGTGTGTTCTTGGTCATCAAATTGTGTTAACAATTTCTGAATTCCTTAGGGTAATTTAGTGTTATCAACTTGGTTGAATGCGTAAATTGACCATCATGAAGATTTAGAAGGGTGAAGTTTCAAGCATTAGCCTTTCATCAGAGTGATTGGAGGAATTGTGGGTTGTGTGTGAGTTTATATATAAAAAATGCAGCTAAGCTATCGGTAGGGATGTGGTGACGAGAAAACAACAATAAATTATTTGAATGAAAAGTGTTCATTGATACCGCAGGGATTAAGAGTGCCACTTTGGAAGATAAATTTTTGTTCTTGAGTTTTGTGGCTTTCTAAACTGCCTAGATGTAAGGACAGAAACCCTTTACGAATTCCTTACGATCTAACTAGATGATGAATCATTGAAAAGATAAACTTTAATTTTACTCAGTATATGGAGATTGCAGTATGTAGAGAAAACTTATTGCAAAGAATTGTCATTTCTACTTGAGAAAGTTGCTCATTATCAGAAGATTTCCTGTCTCAGAATATTGCACATTTGCCTTGCTCAATAATCCACCATAATTCTCTCCTAAATAAAGCAAGTAAGTAAATGAGGCTTAAGGTGAATTTTCCGTGGCATGGCATCCATTGTCATCATCTCATTTTCACCAGGTGGCTAACTCCCATACTTCTCCTCCATCACGAAGTCTTTTTTACCTTCAATGAAATTAACAGTACGAAATCTCTCTGCCTTAAATTAGTTGGAAACTTTGATGCAGTAAAATGTTTACAGAAGTATACAGTTTATCACTAGAGCTTTCTATATGTTGCTGTTATGTGTCTGCTTCAGATAATTTGCATGATTCCTCAGAGTTCTCTCTTACTTGGTGTAAGAAATGTTTGAAGGATTTTCTCCCTTACAGAAAATATTACAGAACTATACTGGGAATTTAGGGGTAAAAAAAAAAAAATGTTCAGTGGAGTGTAGGGAATATTACTGTTAACAACCCTTCAACACCCAGAATCTAACTGTTAATTCCCACCTCTAGCTGTTGTACATGCCCTGGTAAACTGGATACAAGAATTTGTGTTAGTTCAAGATAACTTCTACTCAATAAATTTGAGTATTCTCATTACCATTTTGCAGAATAATGTATGTATATTGAAGGGAGAAGTTACTCATTTATCACCTCTAGGAGATTAGGGGTTAAAAGAATTAATTTTATTCCCTGTATTTTTTTTGATGGTGTGTAGAAATCATGAAACAGACAAAAGTGATAGAAAATGTTGGTTTACTTCCATTCACAACCACAATACTTTTTCACAGTATTCACAGAGATAATAATATTTTAGTTTACATTGCGAAAAAAGATTATTAACTAAAAGCGTTGATTTTGCTAAAAATTTACAATGGGGGCTAGTTTTACCTCTTGTTTGTAGAATATGGGATAAAGAGAAAGGGTTTGTTTAATATAGGAAGATATGCCATCCAACTACTTAACAATATCATAACAAGAAAATTGGTATGAAAATATTAGTCTGGTCACCATTATATACACCCTGAGTACATATCACTGCCTTGATAGTTGTCTAGCAAGTGAAACTTGAGGAGAGTCCCAAAGTGAAGGTATTTGCCTCTGTAGTTTAGCTTACATTTCAAGTGGTCAGCTCTGGAACTTTCATGAAAAACGAACAATTTTCCAGTTTCATGTAAAAATATGATTACAGGAAGCCCATTATGAAGTACTACTTATGCAAGTTAAGATCTTATCATACAGTTGTCTGCTTTCCAGTAATTCTAGGTTTTGCATACTCTACAAATTCATCAATTAAAACTGGCCAAGCTCCTGCAAAAAAATAAACAATACACAATCATTAAAATTTATGATATTAAAAAGACAGATTACTTATAAAAAACTGTTTTCACCTTTGAGAAGACAACTCACTAATATGGCTTAAAAACTTAAAACCTTGCTGAGAATGAAAGTGAAAACAAAGGAATCAAAGTTGAGAGATATGGGGGTGTGATTGGTAAATTTAGTATTATTTTCAGAATTACAAGCTGACAAAAAATAATTTCTCTTAAGATCTCTATCCTACCAGCCTAGAAGTAAGTTTACAACCCTGACCATCAAAGCATTGTCATCACACTTGTTTCATTACAATATTTTGCCAGTAGAAGTAAAGTCACAAAATACAAAGGTACAAGATCTTCATATCAAAACACAAGGAACCCTAAATAAACAATATATTCTGTTATTAAAAATTTAGCCTGTCTAATGATATGCCTCTTTTATATAAGTTACAGCAAATTTAGGTAAGTGTCCACTACCATTTTCCCAGTAAGTCATAGAGATATTCAAATATTGAAATACTTCTTGTAACACAAACCCTCTTCATCATAGTTGCCCATATCATCCTCAATCATGTTACTGAAGTCTAACAAGAGGTTCCATGTGTCCTTAGATATCGCCTTTTTGTGATGTAACTATCAAGAAAAATAAATAAGAACATGATTTTTGTCATGAGAACAACAAAAAGACTCCATGTTGCCAGTGACACCACATCATCAATGCATCTGTCCTCAAATAGATCATAGGTAAGAGCCAATAAAGATGTGTGCATAATTTTTGGTGCGAAGGTGATCTGCAACTGCAAAGGGTCTATACAACTTAAAAAGCCAAGAATGGTTTTACTTACCAAAAGAAACTCACACCAGATATCAAGGAATTTAAATCTTCCATTCAGAATTATATTCCAATATGCTATGGACATGTCTAAATCTAAGGGCAAAAAAAGGTTGATAAAAACATGCAGCAGAAAAATGCTGTTTACAAACTTCTGTTAACTGAGGCAAGAAAAAGAGAAAAATTGACAACACACTTGAGAAATAGAGTAAAGAGGCCAAATGAAAGCCTTGAAATGGGATATATTAGAGGCTTAAGAATGTGGGTATGTTTTCCCTAACAAAACTAAAATCACAGAATTAAAACTCTTCCAAATCAACACTTGGTTAATACCTGTAAACTTACCTAAACTCTTCTGGCCTGGATTTTTGGCGAAGTTGAATGTGAACTGGTATAAATCTTTAAATTTACCATTATCTCTAAGGTCTGCCTCCAGGCTTGGAAGTTTACTTCGGAGTTTGTCAATGGAATCACAGCTACATTAAGAAATAAGGAAAACTTGACTCTATCCTAGACTTAAAAATATATAACATAGAAATATTTATGCATCTTTTCACCCATCAGAGAAATAATTTTGAAGGTAAATGAACCCTTTCCAACCTAACATCAGTATATCAGTATGCATATTCTCTATACTGTTCTATATACATTTCCTACAATGCTGACAGGGAGAATTTGTTTATAAATCAGGAGCTTTGTTAGATGGTGATTTTCCTTTATTCTCCTAACCTTAATGTGTGATATGGGGGTTATACTGTGAGGAGAAATTGGATGCTAATCACTTTTAGGGTCCAAAGGGTTAAAGATACACAGAATGGTTACCTACAAGGAGTAACCCTCCCTTACTTGGCCCTACAAAACAGGGAAAGGTTTTTGGAGTTGTGAGTGTAAACAGGGTGTAGAAAATCACTATAATTAATTATTAGGATGTTAGTTTAAAGAATTTGTATCTAATCAACCAATAATCCCCTAATTTATAGGTCCTTTATTCGCAACACTTGTCTGCTTGATATTGTATTGACATTGTAAGGAGAAATTCTGAGTTCTTTGCTCATGGGAGTTACAGGGTTAAATATTTTATTCATTCTCCAGCTCACCCCAGTTCTACCATGCCATCAGTGAATTCTTTCCTTGAAAACTCGCACTGTGTCGCTGCTTTAAATTTCCAAGCTATCACAAGAACCTTAAGGCTTGCAGGATCCAACTTGAGATCTTCACAGAAACGCCCTATCCCTTCAGCCATGATTTTATCATCATCACCAGGATCTGGAGATGAAATAAAAACACATAAGAATCAAAATGCAATAAACAATGTATCCTGTAAATACCTAACGAGATACAGGAGCCGTCCAGTGGGGTAGGGATTTTAGGACTTCTCTTAGTAAAAGTATCAGTTTTAAAGATGATTCCAGGAAAGGAGAATAATATTCCCACAAGCTGAAACCTTCAGAGAGAATTTGCACATTGAAAAATGTTGAGAAATGCCATTTGGCATGTTGCACCTTGTATTCCACACAAAAGGTTATTGTATGGTAATATTACTGTGTGATTAAACTTTCAGCATTATAATTTAAATTTCCAAAATTTCCCTAACCAAAATGGTAATAAATAGAGCATAATTCATATTACAACAAATTTGGATACACTGGGCAGAAAGTAATGGACCAAAATATAACCCTGGACCTTACCCAGAAAGCATATGGCCAAAACGTAAAATTATGGAACTCACCACAAAAAGGGCAAGATCTCCTGCTAGTAAGTAATCTTGCCAGGGACTAGCTTACAAAATTTGAAATTCTCCAAGATGCACATACCTCTCCTACCGTGAAAGTATCTTATCTAGTTTAATCCCCCAGGGAAATTCCAGTCTGGCTGTAAATAACTCTTTTAAAGCATTCATAATGTAATATCCCTCACCCTTGCAGAATTTCTAGAGCCACTTTATAGGTCGGTTATAAATACTCCCAGACTCCAAAAAAATATAAGTAAAACTGAAAGGTTCTTAAAATACAACTTACAAAAAACGCACACCTTGTTTCAGATTTACGTATTTAGTTTACAGGTATGCACAGATTGACCTTGGAAAACGACCTACAGTAGCTAGCTTTTGTATAAGCTCACCACACCGGAAACGTTCAAATCAGAGTCAAGATTTTGAAAAAAAGAATTTCTAAAAATTAAATAATCTTTCTGAAAAAATGGAATAGGGCATTACGATCATCAATAAAACATTGAATAATCCTTAAACCGGTTAACACTCTAGTGAGTACAAAAACATATACAACAGATAGGAAGTTCATTTCATACAGATCCCTTCTCCTACCTTTGTAACGATCAAACAGGTGGGTGAGCTTTTTCTTGTCTATCAAAGGTTTCGTGTCGATGTAGTATTTCTCTGGATTCTGGAAATACAGATCTGACGCTACATCTAATCTCCAATCATTTTGGCTCAGGCAGTTTATTGCTGTCTTTTCATTCGTTTCAGTGAAGGTAATAAACTGCCTCACTTTTTCGCGCTGGGAGGACTTTAACCTGTGCTGTAAGACATAGTATGAACAAAAGAAGATGTCAATTCTGTTATTATTCATCTGAAAGCTATTAAAGGTAGGATCTTCGTAACATAAAATAACAGCAAAACCCTTACCATATCCACATCACACTACCGCCCAAATCGTCCTTCGAACTAGAATCAGTGCCCGCTGTCCACGTAGGTCAGCACTCCATCCATACTCAAAAAAGATCTTAACCGGAGTACCCCTCAGTGAACTGCTTTGATTTCGTTTTAGTTTTATTTATTGTTTCTTTCATGGACGATAAACATAAGAGCTGATCCTCAAAACGAAAAAAAGACTGAAAATTAGAATAAAATTTCTTTTTGAATGTCATCGCTGAAATCATGAAAAAATATTTAATTTCTTTAGTCTCGAGCAATTTTCTACCCACTCAGCCCTTAGTCTCTAAGCAAAGGCAATCTGTACTCTGCAGGACAGGGTGGGTAAAAGTATGTTCGTTCAATGTCTAGCGGCGCAAAAACGCGCTGCAATGGAGCAATACGAAACAGCGCGATATCTGGTCGACTTATAACGATGATTGCTTTGTCAATTCCTTCGTTTAGGAAGCCTAGAAATGACAAGGAATATACAGTCTACGAAATTCACATCACGAAGCCCAATGGACGTGAAGTAATAAAAGAGCGTCGCTACAGAGAATTTGACGATTTCCATAAACAAATTAGCAAAATTGTACACGAACCTCTTCATTTTCCTTCAATGAAAATACCAAAGCCTTTGAATACAAGCTCACGATTCTTGGAATCGAGGAGAGAAGCTCTGGAGAAGTACTTAAGGACAGTTTGTTCTTTTATTGGGATTAGCGAAGTTCACGACCTTTTAACGCAATTTTTAGACATTAGTTTACCGCAACACTTTCAAAATGTGGATGTGTCACGAGCAAGTTCGACTGAAGAGTTGGATGCCTATAACGATGAGGTAACGAGATTGACTCATCAGCCATTGATGTGCTTCATCAGTGATCCCTTCAAAGACAGAAATAGTAACAACCCTTTGCCAGATATTGTTTTGCAAGGCACACTCAAAGGTCTCTATGGATAAGGTATTGTCTATATTTGAGAAATCTTCTAAGTGGACAGTATTCATTTGATGATTATCAGGAGAAATTGATTTGTTCCAATGAAAGATTTAGGCCTGTGCTCATCATTGTCACTGTTTGAATTGTCTTCATTGTAGTTTGAGAGGGAGGCATGGAGAGAGGGGACCTGTCTCACAAGGAAACTTTTCAGGGTGTGTTTAAGTCTGCCATTGACTGCTGATTGCTCATCCATAGGAGCTTAAGCATAGATGTTTTTAAATGACTTTCCACATCCAAGAAGTGGCTATGTTTAACCTCTCTTTATAAAATAAATGATATACTACAAGCACCCTGATTGGTCTAAAACCTAATATCAATTGTACTGTAAACCTCTAGATATTTTATAGAAGCACCACCCACACTTTCAGTTGGTTTACCTAGCACTAACCCTCTTGGGATGTTAGGAGAAGACTTGCAAAGTTTGAGAATTACTTGCCCCTGGCTCATGATTTCCAAACTTTTCTCATATTCTCTAAACATCCCGCGTGGGTTTTTACGCTGGTAAACTGATATAAAGTACAGTCTGTCTCAAGTAATTTTTGTATGTTTTAGCATATGTTGAAAAAAACAAAACACCTAATATCATGGAACAGTAGACTTGATACTAAGGATTTTCTGGGAATTGTGGTTACTCCTGATGTGGCCCATCTTTCATTTTATTTTGTGTCAGTAATTTGATATTCCACACAACATCACAGTTATTACTGTAACACATCCCAATAATTTGGAGATATTTATTGTAAAAATTTAGAAAACCTGAAAAATTGGCGATGCAGATATGCCATTCTCCCAGAGCAAATATCCATGAATACCACATCAAACTCCTTCTTTCCTGCTAAATAACTAATCAAAAAAACTTTTGGGCACCATAGAATAACAGATTTTAATGCACTTTTTTGACTTTTTAACTCTTTTTTTAGCAGTTCTTCACATATTTTTCTGCCTTTGTGAAATATTTATAAACATATAAGAAAAGAAATCCAAACACTGTTAGTTTTGCAGGCTTTTTTAAATCTTCAATAAAAATGTTATTTATGTACTGAGATTCAATTAATGACAATGTTGTAAAGTTTATTCAGAGTAACAGTTTTCTTAACTGCAATAATCACAGGAAATAGTTGTTACCTTATTTATAAAGGACTTTTTAAATAAATGATTTGATTTCCAAGTTGGATAGCTTCTTTCACATACTGAAGAATAAGGTTTTGTTAAGATTCCAACAAGTTTACCTGTAGGAAGAACCATTGTTTCTTCTTGTAAGTGGTGCAGGAGATTTTTTGTAACTCAAAGGTGGGAAAAACAATTTTTGACCCAGGGTATTTTAGTATTATCAACTGTGTTGATAATGTTTCAAGCCTTAGCCTTTTGTCAGAGCAATCTTAGATTATGTGTGTTCATATGCCTGGCTTGGTATGGTTTGCTGTTCTGAGATCTGTGGATTAAAAAATTCTAAGGCATGAGTTAGTGGTTGCAGCAAATAAAAGGAAAATGAATAAAGGGGGTTAGTTTCTAACTTAAAAAAACTGTGGTACTGCATTAGTGGGAGAGTATATCACATTACCACTGTACAGTGACCAATTTACATCATCAACTCAGTTGATAATACTTAATTACCCTGTTATACTCTCTTATTAATGCAGCACCACAATTTCTTTACTCATTAATTTTTGGCCTAGTCAGTTGTCATCCACAATCTTGCCTTGACTTTCATTATTTAGTTTTCTTCGAGTGGGGAAATAGAATACCTATATCAGAGTCTTGTAAATGGATGCCCAGGCCCCCAGGAACAAATCCCACCCATTTTGACCAATATCTTATCCTTCACACACCCTGAAATGCTACATCTATCCATCCATCTGGAAAGAGCAAGAGGCAACACCTTTTCAAAGCAATACAATACTCAATGTAACTACCATTGCATAACTTGACATTTGCTGAGGCCTCTTCCCGTCGTTAACGCAATTTTAAAGTTTTCAATCCAAACCTTACTAGCGCTCGTACTACGATGATTAGAAATCGCGGTCTCCTACATGACATACATGTTCTTCATGTCAGCGGTAAATCAGCGTCTCATGTTTCGCTAGGGCCGCCATTTTGAATTTAATTTCACATCGACTATTCTCCGGACGTTCTGAATGTAGAGGATCAAGAGATATTTAAGGAAGAACAAATTGCGGAACTATGACCACAGCAGCAAGACCGACCTGGGACACCGCAAAGGGTGGCCGAGGAAAAGGAGAGGGTGACCTCTCGGCATTATCAAAGCAGTATTCGAGTCGGGATTTACCATCACACACAAAACTAAAACACAGGTTAGGAATAAGGGCTTTCGTTACTTTTAAGGGATTCGTGCTATGTAGGGGAAAAACTGTCTGAATGCACGCGCAAAATGGCGTTTAAATTCGGAATAAAAGAGAAAATGCGAGTGTGGGTTGTCGACAAGCAAGACCGAGAAATTCTTCTGCTGCTGATCCAAGATACTATCTTACCTGGAACCATTTTGTTGTAACATGAACAACGCAGAATGACGCTACGTATCGCGACTCCCTTAAAAGTAACGAAAGCTGGAATAAGTGACGATGGTTGTTGTAATTTACATATTTTGACTTTTCAAGACTTCCCTAAACGCTTGTATTTTAAGACTAGAACTCCTTAGGTTGCCATTGATAATAAATCGTGCAGATGATTGTCATGGAAGTGTTGATGAAATAAAGTCGGCAAAATTTGCGAGCAAGTAGAACAAATTGATTGCGTCCCAGAGTAAAAAAATTGTGTCGAGTGTCAAATGAGTGGCTAGTTCTGGCCCCAGTGCAAACTGAGTGTTTTACATTACAGTGTATTATCGTTAGTGCTGAACTTGACCAAATATACTTACAGAGGAAATCCTTGTGTTGTGTTTTTTTCAATACTTGTGGTAGCCTTAAAGTGGACCCCTTCCACCTTAATGAAATAACATCATTACTTTTTTTAATAATACTAATATTACCAATCAACAGGCAAACAGGTCAAGACACTGTTGAAGAGGTCCGCAGCAGAGACTTCCGCAAAGATTTGGAAGAGAATGAACGTCAAGCAGCACGTGAGCGTGTGAAGGAGAAAGGAATCAAATCAGCAGTTGAACAACCAAAGAAACCTCGACTTGATCAACCACCTCCCTCAAATCTAGATGCAGATGATCCAGTTGATGACGATGATGACGATGATGACGATGAAAGGTGTTATGTTTTTACATGTCATTGACCTTCATATTTTGTTGAGCAGACAATGAACATTTTTTGACTTTAAAGATCACACAGGACTTTGAGAAAAGAATTTCAAACAACATTGTACTTTCCATAATTACATGTAGAGACTCATTAGTTCATGTTGTAGGTCATTTAAGAAAATATTTTCAAATAGTTTATAAATTCACATCTTTTTCCTAATCAATGGCATACAGTGATGATGAAGATGACACAGCAGAACTTCTCGCTGAGCTGCAAAGAATAAAAAAAGAAAGAGCCCAAGAGGAAGCCAAAAAGGTTTGATTTACTATTGATTACCCTGCCCTTTCTTTTTTTTTCTTTTTTTGTACATAAAATAGTAAGTTGAAGGTGTCCTGTCTGGGACATTCAGTAAGTAAAGCAAAGCATGATAAGTAGCAGAGGTGTGGTGACTAGTAGGTGTGGTAATGTGATTAGTAGCCATGCTGTGTCAAAATATGATATACACTGTATTTACACAGTAATTTGAAGGTGTCCTGTTCTGGGCATTCAGTAAGGAAAACAAAGTGTGATTAGTAGCTGAGGTGTGAAAAAACTAGGCAGCTTTGGGTCAAGTGGTGTAATTAATATACTTTTTAAGAGTTTGTACTTCTCAGTGTTATCTTACATGATGGCCATGTGTTGTATGGCAGGAGAGAGAAAAGAAAGAAGAAGAGGAAAAAATAAGAATGGAAAATATTATGACTGGAAATCCCTTACTCAACACACAGAACAATTTCAAAGTGAAGAGAAGGTATTAAGTAGTAATGATAAAATGATCTTGTTGGTACTGAATTTCTTTAGCTCAATTGTTTGGCTCATTTGTATACATTGTTAGTTTGTTCTTTGAAATCACCATTTCCTTTGTTGAGCCTAATGCTATCATATTCATTTTCAAATATTAAGATGGGATGATGATGTTGTATTCAAGAATTGTGCCAAAGGAGAGGATGGAAAAAAGAAGGTGAGATGAACCTCTGGAAATGCTTTGTCCTCATGACTGACAACACTTTTTCAGTAACTACCTCCTCTGCTGTACAGTTCCCTCTAAATTACCTGAGTTAATTTGGTATCATCAAACTAACAATCCCTACATGAAGGTGATGGGGTATTCAATTCTTGTCATCTTTTTTTTCTGGATTATAGAGAGAGATATTTGTTGAAAAGAAGTGTAATTATTATATAGTACACATGTAGCCCTTCTTCAGTGAGAACATTCAATAAGTGCAAGAGTACTCTTTGATATTCTCCTCAAAGTTCTTTTCAATACAGCAATAGTGAAGTTCAATTAACTTCTTGCTTGAGAGCCTCTGACTTGGGTATATAGAAATCATGGACTCACTGTTGTGGACCCAGCTGCAGAAAGAGTGGATAACGCTATCCAACAGATAAATCGTTGATTGCAAACATATAGCTTTGTCCATCAAGTAAGGATTTATCCAGTGGATAGCGTTATCCAACCTTTGAACCACAGGGGTCTGGATTATAAACTCTTTTCTTTGTATAATTATTGTGCTTTACATAAAGAGCTATTGTAATTATGATTTTTATTTTTGTTCTTGTTTGTCCTTATACAGGAACAACACTTCATCAATGACACCTTACGTTCAGAATTCCACAAGAAGTTCATGCAAAAATATGTTAAATAATGAAAAGATTTGACTGCTGTCTAGACAACTCTGCATGCAGGCATCTTATTCTGGTCATAGTAGAATGATGTGTAGCAACACTTATTAGAGAGAATTTTGCTTTCCAAGAACTGAGAATGCTTTTATTGCAACCAGGGAAACTTGGGTTCATTGATCTCTGATATATGTTCCAGTTCACATCTTAAGATGGTTTCATCTAACATCCCCACATGGAAGGAGAATATATCCACTTGTGACATGTCTGCTTGGGATATTTGATTGATTATAAAACAAACCATTTTTGAAAGTGTGGTGAATTGTTTGGTTGGAGCCTTTTTTTTTCTTAACAAAATATAGAGCAATTTCCAATGAGTGTCAAAAGTAATTTGAGATTGCTTAAGTTTTACTTTGCTTTGGTGCATGACAGTCTGTAAAACTTGCACCATGCTAAAATCCTTGAGTCCTAATTGGCCAATGACAATGGAAAACTGTTATGATTAGCTGTTGTGATTGGTTTGGTTCTACTACAGTCATTCAATAACTGCTCTCACAGGGGGCCTGAAAAACATAGCAGTGCAAATGTGAGAATTTGCAACCTTTTTGTAATTCTGTAGTTAATGTTGAAATATAGTGGTTTTTGTACTTAGACTAGTTCTCTCTTTTACCCCCTTTGTGTGAGTTATCATCTACTCCAGTTAATCTATTCTATAATCTCTTCTTTCTTAAACAAACCTGAAGGATTTAAATTCCATTGAAATAAAAGTCTCTTTTGTTGACTTCTTAGTTGTTAACAATCATAATAATTTTATCTCAAGGTAACCAAGTCCCACCAAACTTAAACATTTAAATCTTCTTGGCCATGGAGTGTCACCCACCCTAAACAATCCTTTCCTGCTACCTTTCCTTGCCTCTAAATGCCAACCTTCTGGGTTAAGGCAGCATAGAAAAATTATTTCATTCATATGGATTTCATTGACAAAATTTAAATGTTTGGAGTCTTTCACCATGTCTATATGACCAAAGTGGCATGTCAAGTTAAAACACAGATGTGAAAATGTGTATGTACCAGAAATACTCAGACATAATAAAAGTTGATCAGAAAAGAATATCTAGCCCCAGACTTGGCCATTAAATACCCTATTACAACATAACATCAGTATGCATATTCTCCAAACTGTTCTCTAAACATTTCGTGAGGTGGTGACAAGGAGAATTTGGTTAACAATCACAAACTTCAATCAAGTGCTTTTTCAGATGGTGATCATTTCCTTTATTCTTGTGACCTTAAAGTTTGATGCAGGGATGGTATTGTGGGTAGAAATTGGATACTAGTAGCTCTTAGAGGTTAAATGGTTAAGAGCACCTATGGGAAATTACAGACATAATGCAGAAAAAGGATGAAACAGTTTGACTACGTTTGAAGTGTTTATTCTATGAATGAAGTCAGTTTACTTGAAGTAGATGAATATTCTGAGAGCTATTTACAATTTTAAAATTTAAAGTATTGGTAGTTAAAGATATCAGCCTTACACATTTAAATTTTCTTTTTTAACTGTTGCAGTTACATGTAGAATGTTTAGCCATAAAAAATTAACCATAAAAACTGGTGCTACATATATATTGCGACATACATGTATACTATAAATATTACATTACCATGACAGTAAATTTGGTACTGAAAAGTAATGATGACTAAATGATCTTGCAAACGTTTAGAATGTTATCCATACTTAACAAAAGAATGAAAATGCTGGCTGAAAATGAACGTATAATGTATGGGGTAAATTAATCATAAGACTTATCCAGCCCTGTGTACACTTTATTAAAAAAACATTATTGCAAAGTCCCTGTATGAGAACATATGGTATGTAATATCACAAGCAGGACTAAAAAAAGTCTTATGACCCTGCAAGAAGGTAGCTGAAACAAATATGGGAGAAAACATTCAGCCCCAATCATACAATGAAATACTTATGGGCTGATGTATGTTAGGTTGAGGGGGAAATATTTGTTCTTGGTCCATACATCATGTTCTTCAGAAAACAATTTCCCATCCAGCCCTCCTCAGTCAAGAGGTTTATTACCAGAGCATTTTTTACCCTTTCATTCCCAAGAGCCTATTTGCAATTCTCTCCTACACATTCTACAAATTTCCTTTCAACTGTTAGCAAAAATTATTAATTGGTGTAACATCACAATATCAGCCTCTGACCCTTAAGTTTGTTACATGTTCATCACTGCTGGGAGTAAAATAGCCCAAGACAAGACACAATTTTGACTGAAATTACTTACATCTAGCTACAATACCCTGGCCTACTGCTCAATAAACTGCTTGGTAGAAGAAAACCTGGAACAAGCAAAAACCACACAACTCTTTACCACCCATATTTACAATCCATCATCATATTTACACAACTGGGTTCCAACAGATCTGCTTCATCAAAATTACCAACTTGCAACTCCATGAAAAGTTTGAAAATGTAACAACCCAACAACACAGTAACCACAAGTAAGTGTCCAAAAAAATCTTCACCTCAACAAACTGAAAACATCTTGGGAGTTTGACTTTTTAAAATGGTTCTACAGGGAAACATTTCAAAGCTAGAGATAATGGTTAAGATCAGATGGATAACATATAGTCCACTCTAGATTTATGTGCATCTCATAAGATTTATTTTTTCAACTAAACCTTCCTAAGGTGTCTTTGAAAAGCACAAAATAGGCAAAGGTGACTGGTAATCTCATCCCTACCCCAGTTGATGACCATTCCCAACGCCTTCCCTGATTATTTTTAGACACTTTACAGTCAAGGAAGGTCAAGTTCACCACGACCACCAAACCCTCACTTTCACTTTCATACATGCAAAACAAGCAAGGAGTTTTGTGGTAGACAACATTTTACAAGAACAACCACAATTTTCATGAAGCTGATTTTGACAAGTGTGTTTGTTGGATGTTTCTTCAGTCTCAAGTAAAGGAATGAAAGATGATTCACTCTGACTAAACCAAGGAAGTTGTAATCACTGAAAGTTACTGAACATTTACATTTAACAAGTGATTCATTCAAATTTCAAGTGATCAACTCACCGAAAATCTTTGTTCAGAAATTAAACCCTGCAACCAAATGGTTGTGAAACTTCAACTACAACTCATGACGAGGCAAATCAAATTTTGAAAATTGTGGTTGATCTGATGTATTCAAAATCCAACATACAGCACTTATATGACCTGAAACTAATATACTCCAAAAGCACAGCTGCAGTAGTTTTAATGACAACCTTTGCGGTCATGCAAAACCGCTGCCTATTTTCTCTGAAATTAGCAACATCAGAGTAAACATCAAACTTCCAGAAGCCACCTACATTGTAGTTTTCGCTGTCTATTTTAAAACTTCTTGAGATCCCTGCAGATGCTCTGTACTGTCAATTTTACTGAGGAATTAACTGGACGTGTAATTCAGAGAGCAGTTGGTACCAATGTCCAAAAACAACATATTCAACTCAAAAATGTAAAACAACATAACTTTTTGGTAATGGTTATAATTTCCTTGATACAGGTGTTCGTGGTAGAAAAAATATGGTAGACCCTAAGTTAGTTGAAAACAAAGATTCAAAATTTATCAACAGATAAGAGGGCAAAAACATCCACAAATTCAAAATAAATTTACATTTCAATCAAATAATTCCAGTTGGAAACCAAACACTCTAGCAATATATTTAGAGTGATTATCAAATAAATTTTTACCAACTTAGGATAAGGACTAACTAACTCTATATTTAGTTATACTATCTTATTATACATGTACAAAATGGCAATTGTTCTCATATTTATCTATTGCCATTGTGAAAATGGATCTATGTACTACTATAAAGCTCTAAAATACTGTCTGCTCATTTATTTTGGGGATAGAAAAATAGACCTGAGGAAAAAAAAATCAATAAAGGGTGTTAGTGAGAGAGAACACTTTTTCATATCATTCCTGGGATGAGTGTCTTTGATTTATATGTGAGACACACTAAACATACAACAGACCCTTTAATGCCCAGTTGGGGTTTTGATTGAATAAAATGTTTTCAGGTGATAAAAAGAGGGGTATAACCAGTGTTCTCCTTTTCAGGCAGTAGCCGGTAACATTTACCACCTGTAGTACCTCTTAATACTGTTTAAAATTACTTGGAATTCTTGAAAATTCAACAAGTAAAGGGTTGCTTAACCGGTTTGAAAATTTATTTCACCTGTCACGCTTAAAATAAGGAAGAAAACTGTATAAAGAAGAAAGCCTTTAAGAAAATAGTTATTAAAAACATTGCTTATGAGGGACAAACAACTTATATATTCTGAATTGCTTTAGGTTACTGAATGAGAAAAAAATTTGTTCAGGTTGCTCAGCTACCCAAGGCTCTCTTTTTTCTCTCTCCTCCTCATTAGTTCAGCAGCATCTTCACTCTGGCTATTGTTTTAAAGAACTAGCTGTACAAATAGGGAACTTTTTTCTGAGGTGTTATCTAAAAGCTCGCACTAATGTTTGAATCTCAAGGGTAAATTCACTATTGACACCCCAACTGACTTATCTGCCAAACCAGAATACAGCTCTTTAACAAATTCTGAGAATTTGGCATCAATCAGGGAAAAATACTTTCCTTAACCCTTTAACTCCCAAGATCTGATTGGTAATTCTCCCCTCTAGCTGCTACACATTTCTTTGTAAATTAGTTATGAGAATTTAGTGTTAGATCATGATAACAACTTCTACCTGATAAGTTGGATTTTCTCCAAGTTCCATGTGAATCACTTTTGAGAGTTAAAGGGTTAAGATGTAAATCATCACTTTTTAGAGAGCTACCAGCAAATCTCCTTTACTCTGTATTTACCTCAAACCTTTAAGCCACACCCTTGGAGGTTAGAAATAGATGTGACCCTGAGGGGAATCAGGAAAAAAAAATACAAAAGAAAAATGGATAACTACATGTACCTCTCGACTTGTGCTCTTATTAATCTTGAACAGGAGAAAAGGTGAAACAAGAAGGTGAGTTCCCTAGTGTTCTTGGTAGGCTTTGGGTTGTCGATGGACCTGCCAGAGGTGATCTTGGAGGAGTGAATTTTGAACGGTACAGTGGCAAAGGTTGTCTAGGTATTTCTCCAAAGAGCATTGGTGTAGCAGTTGATGATGATGTTGAAGTGTCTGAAGCTGAAGAGCTGCCAGGATCTTCATGAATATTATTTTCCTCATCAAAGTTTATATGCTCTGATTCAACTGGGCCATTTGGGGAACAGTTAAGTGGTGAAACATCACAGAGACGCTTTGACGGACTGACTCCAGGCTCAAAGCCTTCTGATGGCCCTAAATACAAAAATAAATTATAAAATGTATAATTAGATAAATTAACAGAATACTTAAATTTGATTTTAAGCATTGCACATGCACAGGAAGACACTTTGTCCACTATTTTCAAGACATATTGAAATATCAACCACTGATTATGTTACATTCCAACAATTTATTTTCATCCTAAAAAGTAACCACATAATAAAATGAATGTTGAGACATCTGATGTATTGTGCAGTTACTTCATAACAAAATCAATAAATCAAAAAATTTTATAAATATCCCATAGTCATCAACATCATGGTATGTTAACCTACATTTTCTTTTCAGTGTCAAGGTACTTGGCTTAAAATAAACAGGACTGAGACTTCTGCGCCTGCAATTTGGTATAAAAAATTAATGAACATTAAGTTCCATATCATACAAAATATAGAAGTGACAAAAAATCAAACTTCATTGCTCTTTAAGCTTACATAAATGTTGGTCTAGTAGGACTTGGTATAGGACTTGGAGTAAGACTTCTGCCTTTCATTGCCTATACACAAAAAAGAATTGTTTTCATGCAAAATTAAAAAACTACAGGTACATTATAATCACACAAGAAAACTACAGGTACATTATAATCAGACAAGAACTGGTTTAGATATACAGTTACGTAAATCATAGTCAAGACATTGACCAATTTTTCATTCCACATTCAAAACTAGAGAAGAGCAGCTTTTCGTGTAGAATTTGTAGAGAGTTTCACATGATAACTACAGTTTACTAAGAGTGCAATTCTTAGGCCTTTTGTAACAACTGCTTATTTTGACAACAATTGTAAATTTTTTATAAACACTGGTCAATAAAATATATTACTTTTGCATTATATCAACAATTAAGTACAGTAGTTTTTTCAGAAATCAAGTGCTCAGTCCAATCTCAGAGTGATTGGAGCATTCATTACTTAGAAACACAAATCCTGAATATTTTTTTTACAATAAACTTCAATGGTGTGATGATGTACTATGACTGTCAAGGTAAGAGCAGTCATGGAAACAACCACTGTCATTCAAAACAACTGCCATAAAATAGATTCTTGACTCTTATTATGAATTCTGCACAAACCATTGAAACATCAGCTTCCCTTTTCAGGGCAACTCTACCCTGAACAATCAAGCTAAATGATTTATTTATACTCTGCTTAATGTGTGTCATTTGAATTGAAACATTATCTTAGATTCTGACCTTCTGATTGTTTGTTGGTGATGATGATAAAGATGATGGCGAAGGGAATGGATGCCTGTGGTCATCGAAGGAGTTCCGTCGTTCATGCATATCTGCATCATGGTTTTTATCATGATCCTGTAACAAAGAAGTAAAATAAATATAGTCAGTTTTTTTAAAAGAGAAATTATCCTACAGAAGTGTAAAAGCTTTCACAACTATGATCAATGCATTTCATCCTCAAGGAGTGACTCTATTTCTATTCTAATCAAAACTATCAGAAAATTCTCGAACATGATTGGTCATCATCTGGTAATGAGACTTTGTGTTGTCTGATTCTGTCTGTAATCATACTTGTGATTAACAAGTCGACTCCCACTCTGTGGTCATCCAATTTTGTTAATCACTGGTATGATTACAGACCAAGTTAGACTCCACTTAGTCCTAGTTCCATGATTTGTCCCATTATTACTTCACAGAAATGAGAACCAGGATCAGTCAATAGACTTTCATTACATGAGCTATCATGCTCTCCAGAAAAATCACTGGAGACTTAACTTTCTTTGATATTTTTTTTGGTTTCAGGCCCCATGCAATACCTTAAGCTATCAGATTTTAAATTCCCCCACTAGAAAAGCTCAAACATCAGGCAAAAATAACAGCGAGCTGTTCAGAATCATTCAAGTATTTTATTATTTCAACATGCAGTCACATCAATAGTGAAGAACAAAAAAAGAGATAAAATAATTCTAAAATATATATTCTAAAAAGAAAATTTGTCTCTTCTCACAAGACTCACCATTAAAGTCATATGATCATGCATTCCAATTGTAAGAGATAGTTCACTGTGAAAATATGCAAAACAAATTGTAATACTGGCACTAGTTTGGAAAGCATTCCATCTTTTGTCTGAAACTTATCATAACAAAAACAGTCATTATTTTCTCTTAAATTATTCAAATTAAAGAAATAACATATGAGTCTGGAGCAAAAATTAAATATTGACCTTGATTCCACAATTTCCCTCATCCAAAAAAGGAGATGAAAATCCATAAAAAACTGACTGACTCCTTAGAAAACCTGTCATATACAGGTTAAATTGATACCCCAAGTAAAAGCTCTGTGACATGTGAGGAGAGTCTTGTAATGAAAGTCTGACCAAAACATCCATTATTTTCCAGCACATATCATCATGTGTGAGATAAAATCAGTTTTCCAATAATTTGTTCATTTTACCAATACTCTCACAAATGTCTCATAATTTCAAAATCAGGTAAACAAGTCAGAGACATTACAATTTCATTAAGAAAAAGTATTGCAACTGCAGAGGCGGAAAATTGCCATTGCAGTGAAATTCTAAACATTTTGACACAACCCTGTGCCAATGCACACAATTAGATTTGCACCAAGGTGGTCTAGGCTACAGAGAGGAATGCAAAAACTTTAAACCAGACATAAATAATTTATAAAAATCGAAGAAGTCAATTACTTGTAAAATGTAAATGAAATGATTTCAGTAACATAAACTTTATTTCAAAGCCTTTATCGTCATCTATTTTTTTCAATTTTTGAAGCTTTTCATATTTTGTCGGAAATAACGAATGATGAGTCTGCCTTGTATCCGATAGGACTTGGTAGCATTTGGGATAAATACAGTATAAATGAAATTTAATGAGGAGCACTATCTAAATGAATTTCATGGAAATAACCTACTTCTTAGCAACTGAATCTCAAAATCTGACGAGCATAGTAATAGAATAGACGACATGAAAAGTCGCCGCATTGTAAATAATACTGCAAGTTAGCTGTTATCTCAAATTCCTCGCTAATCTCGCGTAAGTTAAGCATCAATGGATACGACACAAATACAACATACAAACAAGCGCTTCGGTAACGAACTGGAAAAACTGCTCAAAAGAGAAGTACACATCTCCTTCTGTGAGGTTATTTAATATACATAAACATAACTTTATGAAAACAAATTAAAACAGTTTAGCTGCCAAGCAATTACTTACTCTGCGACTTACCTTTCAATTTGTCTTTCCCGACTTGCCTCGTCCATACTTTCAAGTTCTTCCTATAAAAGTTACAAAGAAAGACGATGATTTTCTCCTCGCATTTTCACGATTAGTGCTAAGAAACCTTTTTTATGGCAATACAAATACTAGAATATACAGGATCATTTATAGAGAATGTATTAATTTAGGACTCAGCATGAATTGATAAAAAGACAAAGTACAGAGTGCTACCAGAAATTATTCCAAAAAACTAAACACAAAAAATATACCCTTTTGATCTGTGCTATTCTTGACGCAGGAGATCCCTGAAAAAATAATTATAGCAGAAGAGAACATATAGGTGCTTAGAACTGGAAAATAGTGCCAAAAAGAAGCAATTCTTTCTTGACATTTGTTCGCGGAATTTTTACTTACAATGTTCACAGCCATTTGACTGGTCGAAAATCGACGCTGCCTTGCAGTCTGCAGTGGCTGAAATATAGGGATGGCCTCACTCACTACAGCAGCGCTCACATTCGGTGCTGAATTCGATCTTCGCAGCGTACTTGAAGGTAAATGGCCTAAGTCATCGGTTTCCATTGCATTAGCCGCCATATTGCTTTACGGCTCTCAAAGACAACATCTGGAAGCGCGCAAGGGATTGTTCCGGTTTACCGCTTCCGCTCGCGCCAGTCTCAACTTCCTGTGCATTGATTGTCCTAGGTGCAGGAAATCAAAAAAAAAAAGGCCAAGCTGAAGCATCCTAAAAAGTGCAAATCTAAAGTAGGAGATCGCTCTATTTCCTATGCTACCCGAGGTTACCATGTCCACAGTGTTAGCGGGGACTCCACCTACAAATCTACGCTCTTATTGCCCAGTGATGGGTTGTAATTCATCGAAAACCTGTGCTCGCGCACGATTGGTCTAAACATGTCACTTGACCGCTATGCCTCGGCTAGAATTGGGCCGGCATCTCAGCATATGTCAGCATCACGAAGGTCTGTAAATGAAAAATAATGCAGTTATTACCCATCACTCCCCGTCATAACTGATCATTTTCCATCATTTGAAACCATTCAGAAAAAGTTGAAACATTCACCCCTTTATCAAGCACACTTATCCGTCAATTCTCGTCACTAAGTATCTTTTGTCGTCATTAAACACAATATTCACTGACATCAAACGCATTTTACCAACTTAGGGTATCAATTGCCGACGTTAGACGTCATCCGCCATCACTGGACATGATTCGCCGCCATTGAACATCAATTTCCGTCACTGGACATCATTACTCGACATCATATGCTGTCACTAGAAATGAATTACCGTTGTTAAATATTATTTACCGTCATAAGACCACATCTGCCGTCACTAGACGTCGTTTGTCGTCAGAAGACTTAACTTACCTTCATTATATATCATTGACCGTCCTTAGACATCATCCTCCATCATTTACAAACCATTCCCAATCATCAGACATCATTCCCAGTCATTTCCCATCATTCAACATCATTCTTAAGAATCCTTTATTGTCATGAAAGATCATTCACCATCGTTTGACATCAATCACTGTCACTGGACATCAATTTACGTCATTAACTTGGGAAAAAGACTCGTGACGGGAGGGGGGGGGAGAAATTCTATGGATAGCAAATGATGTTCAGTAACAGGGAATGATACCTAATGACAGTGAAATATGTCTATATTGACGGGTAGTAATGTCTACTGATGGGATATCAAGAACATCTAGGGCGGAATGCTGTTTAAGGACAGGAGTCATGCCTGGTAAGTTATGTCTAGAGACGGTGAAGGAACTCTGATGACAGAAAAAAAAGGCTTATAACAGTGTTTGATGTCCAGTGACCCTGTAAAAGAAGTTAATGACGGCGAATGATAGCAAATGACGATATTTTTTAAAAATATTGACGGTTAGGGAAGTCTGATGATGGGTAACGTTACCTAGAGACAAGGCCTGAGAGAACAAATCAAGGGACTGAGATAGAGATGCTGCCGCAAAACCATCTTAAAAATCGTTGAAGACCTAAACAGACTGCAAGCGGTCGTACTTCATAAAAAACCGGTTAAAGCGACACGATATATTCAAAAGTGGAGGTTAAAATGTAGGTAGGACATTGTACTTGTCTTGTTAAGTTTCCTAGAAAATATAAAAACTCCTTTTAGTTTGTTGCTGCCGAGGAAAATGCCTCGGAAGTAGGCCATAGGAAGTGGTTTCTCGAAAAAAAAAAAAAAAACATATTCCGGCTGTAATTGTCAACTTCACGCCAAGGGCTGCAAAGTATGATGTACCAAAACTCAGCTCAAACGCTATCAATTTGGTTATGAAAGATGTACAATATTAGTTTTTAAGTATTTTTTTTTCATTTTGACCTCTTTCTTGGGAAAAAAAAGACAAATCTGTTATGTAAGTGCATTTCTATTCAAGAAAATAACTACACAAAAAAAAAGCTGCTTCCAAGATTAATAACTTCGTATAAACCTTCACGGTATAAAGAGATTGTCCAAAATTACAACACCAGTTTTCGATTAAATCATAACCACTAAAGGACAAAAATCTACTATTAAATGGTTAGAAAGCAATAACTGAGTTCTATTTATGAACGTCGTTGTGAGCAGGACAAGCTCTCTTTGATTTTCAGTTCTGTATATGTGCAAATGGTACCACGTCTTCATCGCACAAACTGCCTACCTTCTCGAAGTTATTTCAAAACGCAAGTCATCTTTTAATCTATTTTCTCTCAACCGATCGTCTTGCAAATGCAGGTATGGTGAAATAATCGAAAGAACATGATTTTGATCTAATTTTGGTTACATTAGCGAGCTTACCTACCTACCAAAGATAATATGTTTTAAGTCTTCGCGATCTGTCTTCGTTTAAGCTTTAGCCCTCTTCTTTAAGGGCTTTAGGAATAAACTAGCAGCTCCTCTCTTATTACACTTATTTTGCAGAAAATTTACGAGCATAAAAAGCCAAATTGCATTTAAAGATTGCTCTACGCGAATGCCGGCTTCCGCGACCCACTTTGGTACTTTCGTATGCTTTTAATTACATCTAAACCACTATTTCATTTCTCAGTTAAAGAAATATCAACAGCTACCTTGATCGTCTTATACCTTATCTTAAACATTAAACGTTGTCTTCGTTGACTTCCTCATTAACCGACATTCCCTCGGGATTTTCATGCAGGTTAGGCGACGCTTCGGTACCCGAGGACACGCTGTCTTCGTTCCGGGTAACAACTGGAGTGATCGAAGTCTCTACTTCCTCTTTAACCAACACCAACGGTGTTTCGTCACACGTAATTCCCTCAGGATTTTCATGCAAGTTAGGCGATGCTTCGGTACCACCACTCTGATTTTTACTTTCGTCATATTGTTCTTCAAGTAGTTCTTCTCTGGTTAAGGCTTTCTCCACCATATCGCCGGCGGTATCATTCGCTTCTTCATCAGGCGCGTTGTCATTTAATGAATGATTCTTTACATTGATTTCCTCTGACTGCTGTTCACTTTCAAGTCCCCCTGGCTTTAAGGAACCAAAGGTGAATGGAACTCCTGAGCTTGGATTCGATGTTTGCTTCGAACCCCCGAAAATAAAAGCTGGTTTTGTAACACCTCCTTGGTTTGTTCCATCGGAGCCAAACGTAAAGCGTCCACTCTGATTTTTACTTTCGTCATATTTTTCTTCAAGTAGTTCTTCTCTGGTTAAGGCTTTCTCCACCATATCGCCGGCGGTATCATTCGCTTCTTCATCAGGCGCGTTGTCATTTAATGAATGATTCTTTACATTGATTTCCTCTGACTGCTGTTCACTTTCAAGTCCCCCTAGCTTTAAGGAACCAAAGGTGACTGGAACTCCTGAGCTTGGATTCGATGTTTGCTTCGAACCCCCGAAAATAAAAGCTGGTTTTGGAACACTGCCTTGGTTTGTTCCACCAGAGCCAAACGTAAAGCGTCCACCAAAGGATGAAGCTTCAGATCCAAATGCAAATAACGGTTTGGTTCCTTCCTTTTGGCCTTGACTTGGTTCTGCTCCTCCTTTCACACTTCCACAAGCTGCACAAGCCACTTTATCACTATCGTTGTTCACCATGCAGATGCTACATTCCCACGATCCCTCAGTTGGTTTAAACTTAGCTACAAGATCTTCTTTGGCATCTGTGGACTTCGGTTGTACCCTTGACTCCATCAGTGTCGAGTTCTTTAGCATTTCTTGGCATTCCTCAAACTTCTCCTTGAACTGCTTGGCGATGTCTTCTGATTTAAACCTCACAGCAAGTCGTTCAGCTCTACATTCCTGCTCTGAAAAATCTGCCATCGTGCTCCATACCCACGATTTCTCTGAACCTGCATTAGGCTTTAGTTTCATTTCAGCGGTTATCTGGTGATTGGCGCAGATTTTCAGCACTTGATCCCGCCGCATTAGAACTCTTATCTTTCCACTTCGCCTATTTTTCAAAAGCTTTATATCTCCAACTCCTCGTTCTTTCCACTGCTTGTCCTCTGCCACAAAACGATATAGCTTTGCCCTGTGGGAGAACATGACTTCTTCATCCTCTTCCCCTGTTTTAACATCGATCTTTTCAGGTAGAGGGATTATTGGCTCAAAGTGTGGTCCTTCATGGTCCTCTTCCGTTGTCGACTCATCACGGTCTGCAGAATGTGGGGTTGTGAATAGTTTGGTGCCTGATCCCGGAAACCCAGACGGGGAATTACCGGAAGTTGGTTTCTTCCCAAATGGACTGTTGCTCAGAGACGAACTGGCGATTGACTGGAATGACAATGACGATACGTTAGGAGAACCAAATAGGAACTTTTGCTCCTTGTTTGGCAAAGTATCTTTTGTGTCTTGCATGGCAGGTGCCGAGTCCTTGTCACTGTAGAAGAAAAAAAAGTAAAATTGTGTTAATTTTTGGATTTATAATTTCGATAGTACCTATAACAACAATTTTATTAGGATCAGTTATCATTACATGTACCTTCAATTTTGGAAGTATTATAGCTTAAAGAGCCCCTTGTGTTTTATATGGGCTACTATGTGCTCCAAAAACAAAACATAACACAAAAACAGCCATCACCAGTAAGGTCTCGGACTTCGATTCCAATTCACCAGTTCCATGGGTTAACGTTTAGCCCCGTTTCCCTGAAGTAGAGCGAGGACATCAATGCTAAAAACTTTGGAAAACATGGACAATTCATTTTGTACACCCCATTTGAATTAACACCTGCGCCTCTCTCTGTTTTCCAAGTTTATTTATTTCGGAACTTTTTTAGAGCTACTTGATTACCATCTAAATACTTTGCCAAAAACAACTCACAAAACTGACCTTTCAAGGGTAGAACTATCCTCTTTTGTGCCAACTTCTTCCACTTGAGCTTTTTCTTTGACATCTACCCCTTCTTGAATAATCTGGTTTTGATCATCCTTAGTATCATCAGCTCCTTCATTGTCTGCTGGGTCAGTCAAGGAACCAGCTTTAGGGTTTCTTTTAGTCTCCTGTTCGCTCAAAGTTTCTCCTTGATCTATAGAGCCAAAACTAAATGCAACTCCAGAGCTTGGGGTGGAAGTCTGGTTCTGGCTGCCAAAAGTGAAAACTGGTTTTGAATCGCCTTGACTTGTTCCACCAGAGCCGAATGAGAAGACTCCGCCAGATGACGAAGAACCAAACCCAAATGGAAAAAGTGATTTTGAATCTTGCTTTTGTTCTTTAATGACTTCTGCTCCTGACTTTACGCTTCCACAAGCTGCACATTCAACTTTATCTCTTTCATTGTTCACCATACAAATCTCACACTCCCATGATCCTTCTGTAGGTTGAAACTTCGTCATGACGTCTTTTCTGGCATCCTCATTTATTCTATCTTCTTTGGCCAGGTTAGCTGATGATTGGTTTTCCGAAAGTTCTTGGCCGTCGTGGCCATCTTTGGAGTCGTCAGCTTCCTCATCAAGCTTTTGTTCATTAAATAAAGAAAGATTGCCATTGGTGTCCTCTGTCTGCTGTTCACTTACAGGTCCTGCTTGTTTTAAGGAACCAAAGGTGAATGAAAATCCTGAGCTTGGATTTGATTTTTGGTTCGAGCTACCAAAAGTGAAAACTGGTTTGGTATCACCCTCTTGACTTGATCCTCCAGAGCCAAACATAAAGCCTCCACCAGAGGATGAAAGACTAGAGCCACCAAATGAAAACGACGCATTAGCTTCTTTCTTTTGGCCTTGCCTTGGTTCTGCTCCTGGTTTTACATTTCCACAAGCTGAACACTGCACTTTATCACTATCGTTGTTTACCATACAGTCGCTACATTCCCATGATCCCTCAGCTGGTTTAAACTTGGTCACGAGATCTTCTTTGGCATCTGTAGTTTTGGGTGTTACTTGAAGCTTCATTGGTGTTTCGTTCCTCAGCATTCCCTGACATTCTTCAAACTTCTCCTTGAACAGCTTGGCGGTGTCTTCTGATTTAAATCTCACAGCAAGTTGTTCAGCTTTACATTCGCCCTCTGAAAAATCTGCCATTGTGCTCCACACCCACGATCTATCTGAACCTGCGTTCGGCTGTAGTTTCATTTCAGCGGTTATCTGGTGATTTGCGCATATTTTAAGCACCTGATCCCGCCGCATCAGAACTCTCATCTTTCCACTTTGTCTATTTTTCAAAAGCTTTATATCCCCAACTCCTCGCTCCTTCCACTGCTTGTCCTCAGCAGCAAAACGATAAAGCTTGGTTCGATGAGAAAAAATTACCTCTTCATCTTCTTCACCAGTTTTAACATCGATCTTTTCAGGAAGAGGAATAATTGGCTCAAAGTGTGGTCCATCATGGTTACCATCCCCTGCTTCGTCATCTTCGTCTGCATTTTGGGAGGCAAACAGCTGTGACCCAGCTCCTGAAAAACCACCAAACGTACCTTGCGTCTTCTGTCCAAAAGGACTGCTTCCCAGTGAAGATGCAACGATCGATTGAAAGGTCAAAGACGACACACTTGCAGAGCCAAAAAGGAAGCCTGTCTTGTTTGAGGTCGAGGTGGAACTTCCCTCGGGAATGGGATCACTTGTCGGCTGGTCTGATTGCCTGTTAATTCAATATCGCAGTGTGTTATATGAAGTTCAGACATATACATTAACGTAACTTGGAAAGATCGAGATATCGATGCTGCATAACTATATCAATTCCACTACACTAACATAGGGTTACTCACCTCGCATCAGTTTCCGACAGATCAGAGCTGACTTCAAGCGCCGAACATTCATATCCGAAGAAGTTCCTTGGCAATTGAAGCCGTTTGGCTTTCTCCTTTAGATCAGCCGTTACTCCTTTCTCGAATATTATCATGACATCTTCTTCAGGTTTTTCCGATGTTCTTGACTCCGGAGGCTTGCTCTCTGGTTTTGATAAGGATGGACCCTTCTCTGGTTTTGATACAGCCGCCTGTGTACCAATGTCGAAAGTTTCTTTGAATTTAGCAGCAACCTCACTAGTTCTAAACCTCGCAGCTAAAGTCTCTGCTGTGGCTTTTTCTTCTGAGAAATCCGCAAGTGTTGTCCACAGCCATGCCTTATCAGAGTTTGGGAAAGGCTTCAGCACCATATCCGTAGAAATCATGTGATTAGCACAGAGTTTCAAGACATGTTCACGCCTCATTAAAATCCTGTTTTTATTAGAGTTTGAGTCACGAAGTATCTTGATATCACCAACACCTCTTTCTTTCCACTGCGATGCACCTCCGTCATACCTAAACAATTTGCAACGTTCACAAAAAAGTACCTCTTGGCCTTCTTCTCCTGTTCGGCATTCCACCTTATCAGGAAGTGGTATCAGTGGCTCAAAGTACGGGCCATCATCTTCTCCACGGCTAGGACTCTCAGGAGATGACGGTGTCGCAGGTGATGATGGTGATTTAGGTTTACGAGATGGAGACCCAGGTGAAACTGTCAAACTGAAAGTGAACTTCACAGGTGTTGTTGAGCCAAACGGAAGACTACTGGGTAAGTAACTCTGTCCGGGAGACGTTGAGGGCTTTTGCGACAAGATAATTCCTTGCTGACTGGGAGAAGATGTCTTGCTTGGAGAAAGGTAAATTTTATCTTCTTTTTCTTCATTTGGATCTCCCCGTCCGATAGTAAAAAGTTTCGAGCTAGCCAGTGCCGAGCCGCCGGGTGATTGGAAAATAGATGCAACTTGACAAGACTCCTTTTTGACGTCTTGAGCGGTGTTTGCTGGTTCTGATTGAGGGACTGCAGCATTCGACATTGGTCCTGAGGGTTTCAAATTTTCTTCCATTCCTATGGAAACAGTTCTCTGAGGTTCTCTTGCAGTCTTAACAGAGTTACATGCATTACATTGCAAATGTTCGGCATCGTTGTCAACGTCGCACACTTCACACGTCCACGAGCCTGGCGCAGGAGCAAATCTCGACATGAATTGCTTAAAAAGAGCACAGCCAGTCTCTTGTTCATCACCAGTTACTTCCTTTTCAGGGCTAGTTTCTGAGGGTAATGTCTCTCTGAGGTCATCAAATACTTCCTTAAACTTTCCAGCAATTTCTGCAGACTTAAACTTGATCGCGAGCCTCTCTGGTTTCGCCTCACCCTCGGCATAATCGGCTGGAGTGTACCACACCCAAGAACGATCTGATCCAACATTGGGTTTCAGCTCCATCCCAGCACTGATGTAATGATTGGCACACAACTTTTTTATCTGCTCCCGTCTCATGAGCACTCTTCCTTGACAAGACTTTGGATGCCGTAAGAGCTTCATTTCTCCGACCCCTCGTTCTTTCCATTGACTAGAATCACTGTCAAAACGGTACAGCTTGGCTCGCTCGCAGAACAACACATCTAAACCTTCTTCACCTGTCACAATTTGAATTTCATCTGGAAGAGCAATGATTGGCTCAAAGTGAAGTTTATCGTCATCTTGACCTTCGACGTCTTCACTTGTCTCAGCAAATAACTGTTTACCAGCTCCTTGAAATGGTTTAAAGCTTTCTTTTTTCTGAGTCACGGAAAATGCATCACCTTCTCTAGGCTTCAGGGATGAAAATGTCAGTTGACCAATCGAAGAGGACTCTCCAAACACATGTGAGGTGGGTAAGCATTGGTCTGGCCTTGAATCACTGTCTTGAAATTTAGGCATAGTGTTCTCTACTTCATTCTCTCTCTTTGATATCATAGGCTCTTTTGATTTTCCACAACCATAGCATCCACTGCATGATGCATGTTTAGTGTAATTAAAGAAATTTAACGGTAGACAAAGGCGACATGCTTTATCACGATCACTCATTGGGGCACGAACCTCATAAACGACAAAACAGTCTTCATCTTGCTTTTTCGTTGCTTTTAGTGGGCTTTTAGCTGTCAAGAAACGTCTCCCAGTCATGTGAGAAGGAAGAGTGGCGGGTCCAACGCTCTCTGGTGGGGTGGAATGAATCGGAATTGGTTTCACTGGGGTTGTTACCACATTTCCTTTACTAGATTGAAACTGTACCTGCACTTGAGATGGTTGCATAACTGGCATTCTCGCGGGAGACTTATCTAATTCATCCTCTTCATCGTCGGTGGCAGGGTAACTTGAGGTTTCATCGTCAGAATCTTCGGATTCATCAAGATCTTCAACATACTCATCATCATCGTCGTCATTACGGTCATATTCTTCTGCTACAAACGACGTAGGCATGGTTGTGCCAAGTGAGTAAGACTCCTCTCCTGGCTCATCAACAACATAAGGTGTAAAGTCATAGCCTTCAGCCGGGGAGTCTGGAGCGACTAACTCTTGCTGTTCTTTCGCAGCAGCAAGGCATCGAAGTAACTCACTGCTAGAAAACTCCATGACGGGTCTACTACTTAAAGTAAATGCCCCTTGCATCTGAGCATGGGGAAAAACTGTCAACGGTCGAGGCAACATTTCTGACGTCTGTGAAGTGCCCTTAAGTTGTGTTTTAGCAGGGTCTAAGAGGGGCCCTGTTCCCCGGTGCCACCAATTAGCTCCACCGAGAGGCGGAAGGGACTGAAGTTGACCAAACTGAAAGCTACCAGTAGGTTGTTGCCAAAACAATTTCTGTTCGGAGATTCCTAAATTGGTGGTAGGCGTACTAAAAGAAAATGGAGGATAAGTTTGACCTTGCAAAGCATGCTCTGAAACATTTTGTGGCACTTGGCTGTCTACATCAGATCTCTCGCTTGGAAGAGGATCTGTCCGTGTATCGGATGCAGATAAATCTGGATCAAAAGTTGGGGACCTCCCAGTATTAAAGGAGCCAAATGATACGGTGTTTTCAAAGGCAGCTTTCTCTGTCGTCAAGGAAGGAAGTGATGATCCAGTCATGCTTGACGAGCCAAAAGTGAAGGCGGGGGAGTTTGATTTGTCAGCGTTAGCAGGGACTCCAAAGGGCGCCAACACAAATGATTGAGCCGTTGTAGGCTTTGTCCCTGCTGGCACTGTAAATGCACCTTTATCGGAACCAGATGCCGTGTTACCAGCTATTCCTGCTGATGATGTACCAAACGCAAAAGGGGAACCACTTGAACTTGAGTTCTCCATTCTAGTAACACCTTCTCTGAGTAAAAACCTGAATGGCAAATTGCTCGAGGCTGTATGTAGCGTTTGCACATCGCTCTCTCCAAATTCAACTTGCGACTCAGTCGCACCGGTATCAATAGTTTTTTGACCATCTTTCCCAAGTGCAAAACTAAAAGGGAAGCTGTTTGACGTTCCATCCGATGTTCCAAGAGCACTATTTGCAGCGGTAAATGCCGTCCCTGTCTTGACATTTCTAACTGTAAATGGACCGTCAGGTGAAGGTTTTCCTTGTAAACCAATTGGCGAAACCAATTGGAAACCAGACTTGGAAGCCTCAGGGGAGACAGATGCATTTCCCTCTGACAACTTAGCAGCTCCACAGGCCATGCACACACATGTACGTTCCTCATTGGAGATCCAACACACAGAGCATGACCAACAGCCAGGTTTTGGAGCCAATTTAGTCATGAAGTCGGAAATCTTGTTTGCAGATTGTGCCGTTTTATGTACGTTAGAGGTATCTTTCTTTGGTAAGTTTTGACAGTGCTCAAACTTTTCCTTGAACAATAGAAACTCATCTCGGGTTTTGAACCTCACTGCCAATTGTTCTGGTTTTCCAATCTCCTCTGAATAATCAGCAAAAGTGTTCCAAATCCATGCATTGGTTGTGCCTTTCTTTTCTGTCAACTTCATATCATCTGTAATAAAGTGATTGGCACAAATCTTATGGATTGCCTCGCGTCTCATCAATATTCGACTACGTCCCTTCTCTGAGTTATAAAGAATCTTTAATATGCCAATACCGCGCTCTTTCCAAGCAGATACATCTTTGTCATAGCGATACAGCTTAGCTCTGCTACTGAACATGACCTCTTCATCCTCCTCTCCAGTTTGTACTTCAACTCGTTCAGGGAGGGGTATGAGTGGTTCGAAATGAACATCTTCAGTATATGAAGTGGAAGAATCGTGTCTTGGCCTTCCAGGCGACACAGGTGATGTCACGAGCTCCTCAACCTGCTCTACTCGTTTTTCTGGGCTATTGCTTGCGCTTAAACCGGCAAAGAAACTTGAATCAATCTTCAATGATCCCTTGATCCTTGGCGACGTCAGAGGTTTTCCGCCTTCTGATAGAGACATCTGCTTTGTACCAGCCGGCGTGGATTCGAACATAGGTCTACTCTGATCTTTTGGACTCGGATAAAGTGAAGTGGCATCAGGAAATGAGAGATATCCATAACTTGACGCCTGTAACATGCTTATTTGTTTCTAAAGGGAAACAAGATTTGTTCATTTGATTTTCATAGAGCTTGACGAAGGTAGTGCATTAAAAATATTATCAACTACAAACTCAATAACGTGAAAGCTTTTTGCGCTAACCTGCAAATGTTGTATTTGCTCAGACATGCTGTTCATGGCTTCATCTCTAATAGCCATTTGTTCTTGCAGGTAGCCATTATTAAGAGTCACTTCACTCAATTTAGCAATCAGATCTTTTGTGCTGGCGTCATGTGGCTAAAAATATTGAGGAGAAAACATTCTTCCTTTTAATCAAAAAAGAAAAGTATTACAACATTTTGAAATAAGTGAAGTGCTACAAATAACCCACAGCCTGAAAACCAGAAAAATCTACATTTTATACAGTTGATCGTGTAGTATTATCGCCCAGGAAATTTCTAAGAGAACTGTTTTACATGACTGTAACTTACGATTTGAAAACCACAGCGGAATCAAGGAAGAAGTCGTTGTGTGTTGTTAAAATTTAGTAGGACTGGTTCACGAAAACTCACTGTTCAGTTCTGCCATGATAAGTTCTCTTCGTTACTGAGAAAATATTCTTTTCTGCCTCGAGGACATTCAGAAGAAAAATGAATGAATCGATCAATTTCAACCTCATAAACAAATGGAACTCTAACCTGTTCCAACCAGAAATTGTCATCGGATTCCTGTACCTCTGATGCATTAGTTGAGCTGCGCCGGCTTCCTGGATAAGACGAACTGTGATGACTGTCTAGACGATGGCCTAAAAAGAGAAAGAGAAAATTAATCTGGGCTCTTTTTTAATGTTGGTTTTAAGGCTGTCCTACTGTGTTAGGTTCAATACTTTCCCATAAACTTCCTATATTGTAGCTTTCCTCGTTACTAGCGGCTAGTATTTTTCGAAAGACATTTAATACCATACAAATCTGTGAAAACCTCTGTTCTGGTCACTATACGTGGGATTCTAATGAAGACTTGAGGCTCTGGTATTCACACTGAACAATCCTTACTACCTGATGCTGGCTTGGACTGTAGAACTCCAGTTCTAATCAAGTTCTCTATCTCTGTAAGCTCATCCACGACAGCCTTTCGACCAATCTAAGAAAAGAGAATATCAATGTTAGCATTTTACAACGAGTGCCGGGTTGTAACAACAATAATCCTTACTTTGATCTTGTTCTGAACGTAAGCTCTGTTTGAGGAAATACATTACAGAGGGTCTGTGGAGAACATCCTATCTGAGTTGTCAACTCATTATCTAGTGAGATATCCCTAACTTGACAACATGTCACCATTTATACCATATCAAGTAAAACAGATAAGAATTAGAGTAAATATGGCAAAGAATCGATGCTTGGAATCCGAATTCCTCACGGGAAATCATTTTTTTCCCCAGCTCCACACTCATGAAAAGACGGAAAACATCTTTCTTTATGTCATACTATCGCAAACAAAGACTCCGTGAAAGAGACGAAGGTGGACAACTAAATCAACAGTTTCTCCATAAGACACTGGTACATGGATGTGCACATTTCAGTCGAAACAAAATATATTCTAGCCTGCACTGCAGGCGTCTTATTTGGGCGAGCTAACGTTTTTATCTGACTGGCCATGTTTGATTTGGAGTTAGACTGGACGGCGAGGGTAGGGGGCGGGAGAAGGGCGAGTGGTTGATGTCTGGAGCTTAACAGTACCAATCAAGAACTCCGTTCGTGGGCGAACAGAGTTTGCAAAATAACAATGATCTCTGACATGGATAATCTCCACTCCCCTACCCACATCCCTCTCCTTATTATTGACCGTTGACCGCCCCCTTGGTACAAATTTCTTTCTCTTCCCAGCCTTCCGCTGCCATTAAAATCAAAGAGGGTGGTCATAATTTTCATTAAGAAAATAATGAGCACTCGCTCGCCAAAATTACGCCCGCTCTGCAGGTTAAATAGCGTCATGATAGGTTCATACTTACATCAGAGGGGTTAGTCATCTTGAGATAAGACTGAAGTAATTCTCGCGCCTTCCGCAGATTTTGGTAATACTCCTGGGATGGCAAAGTAGTTTCTGCCTCTGACTCCTCAGTTGCTGCACATTGCTCAACATGTGCAAGGTATTTGTAACCCTACAAAATAAAAAAACCAACAAAATGGCTTTGTAGTTAGTAACAATCCAAAGACCACCCTTAGAAATATTGGCACGGAAGTCAGGATTTCCATCTTAAGCTATGCTATATTTTAAATATTTTATCCTATTTTACCATTTGGGCATCGTAAATTCCTCATTAAGTAATTTGAAAAGAATTCAGAAGTGCAAGTCAACATGGATGATCCTATCAGGGCCAGCCTGGTGAAGTTCCTGAGAGACATTGCTAGCACTTCAACTAGTCATATAAATTCAAACACAGAACATGATTGTTCTTTTCTCCCTCACCTGTGCAAGATTGTACAATCCTGGAGGTGTTTTGACCATTTCAAAGAGTTCCATGGCTTCAAAGATCTTTCCTTCCTTCAAAAGGCCACCTCCTATTGCCAATCGGACAGACTGAAACTGTGTTTTCAAATCATTTTCCTGTGGATATGGTGACAGATACTTTAAGCTGTGAGATAATCAAACAACAGAGAATAAATTATTTCATTCCACTCACCTGTAGTTCATCAAATACATGAGGAAATAAGGGATTCTCACAGTACGGTATAGACTCATTCCTGTGGACAACAAGGAAGCAATCAAGCAATCAGTGAGTTGTCAACTAATCAGTCTCCCTGCCCAGTGGGAGACCAGTCAAGCACTTTGAAGTTCATTTGAGGAACATAACCCAATTTGAAATTGTTTCGTGTGACTTATGAAGTAACTTTTAATTTGAAGGAAACAACAGAATCGCAGAATGACACAGCATAAAAAATGATTAGAGAAGAGAGGCGGAGGCGAGCGTGGCCTAGTGGTTAGGGCACTGCACTTGTAAGCCGGAGGTCCCGGGTTCAAGTCCTCCTCCCTGCCACTGGATGGATTTGTCTTCGGTGGCCCCAAATTCAACTCCTGCACGCTTTGTAAATAGCCAACTGGTCTGCCTCCTACCAGTTGGGGTTTTTAATGAGTTTCTGTTCATTTACGATATTTGTTTCCTTATTTACAGTGTCCCCAATTAGCACAGCAGTGCTAAAATACACTGACACTTAAATAAAGTTATTATTATTATCATTATTATTATTATTAAGAGACATGAGACAAAGAAGAAACAAGCATGAAAAGAGTACCAAAAGTTGTAAATGACAAATGAAAATTTTGTTTAGAATTTAGGGTTCAGGTAGCATTGACTTGATGTGCCCATAAATAGAATCTCACAAGAAGTAGTAAAATGTCCAGAAAAAGATGAGGGAAGCTTACAGGAAGATAACAGTAGAAAGTTAGTAGGGGGGTTTTATACATAGTAAAAGGATTTCGACATGATGGCCATAAGTGATGTAACTCACTTTTCGTGCATTTCCAAGATTTTGGCTGCTTGTCTGAAGTAGTGTAAACTCCATTTTTCCATACTCTGAAACGATGAAATCAAGAAATCAAGCAGCACATTAAGTTAGTTTGTTAAGGAAAAGTAAACAATTCAAGTTTCTAAAATTTCATAGCTACTGATCTGTAATTTTAAGTATTAAAAAAAACTTCAGTCAAAGAAAAGAGACACATTTTAAGAGACTTGCAATAGTGCATTGTAATCACTATATAGTTTACTGATCAGAAGTACAATGTAAAATTACAGACCTTCCAATGTTCCTCATAGAACCATGGATTTGGGACACTTCCCTTCAGATACGTTGCCTGAAACACCACAATGGATCTGTTGTGGTTCACTTTTATCCTTGGTTCAAATTTTATTTTCTTTTGTTTTTGGGTATTGTAATGTATGATAATGATTTTGAAACAAAGGAAAATAAAATTTGAACTAAGGATAAAATTGAACCACAACAGATATATAACGTCTTGTAAACTAAACAAACACATTTTTCCTTAACACGACACAACATTGAGTACATTGACATTTCATTTGCTACCTTACAGAAAGTGGTAATTTACAAAGTTCTAAAATACACATAGCCAGCTGTTGCTCTACTTAGTAAATTTGTATTTTGTCACCTGGTCAATGTGATTCTTGTGAGCTAAATGTTGTTTTTAGTTGACCTCAGAATAAGGAAAAAACACAAAAAGAAATGATATTACTTCCTTTACACCAACCTTGGATCCAAAGGCTTTGGCAAGGTAGATCAGCAGTTGAACTTGCAGACCATGTCTTTCATCCACAGCTCGTATTTTCTCCATGCCACACTGAACATTGTGGCAAGTTCTATTAGAATCTTTAACACTACATAACAAATTAAGTGTGCTTAATAGGTTTATATTTGAATCAATAGAAAATCACAGGGATATGTTTTATTCTTAAACCTTTCCACCTTTTTTTAACCATTCATAGGTTACTTTTGGCAAGGAAAAGAAGCTTTATTACAAAAATGAACCCTGTACTATAAGTAGTAAAAGTTATTTCTTTCATAATTTGTGACAAGTAGGTTGTCTTGCTCTTGCTTGCCAAAATAATATCAATGCACAAAAACCAGAAGAATTTCCTCAACCCCTGAATAGGATGCTTTTTTCATTGTTACCCTTTGTAAGCTGGCACATTCAGGGGTCTGTGTTTCAACTCCTGTAAGAGTAGGACAAATTAAGAGGGGGGTCAAACCAACCCCATACTGGTACAAAGAACCTGTTAGTATTCCATTTTACCTGAATTATAAGAATAAGCTTTAAAGCCAAGAAATTTGCCACAACTGGATAAACATACACCAGGTATGAAAACAGTTTCATCACAGCCCTCAACTTGAACAAATTTGTACCTATATTTTCCAGTGTAGAGATTATAAGCACATGTCCACCATTCCTGTTGCACAGGTAAGCTAAGAGTATTGCAAAGCGGCTGAGGTAGAATTTGAGGCTCATAATCCTCATAAACAATGTCTTTGTCCTCCAAAACTCTAGCTGCTGAAGTCCTTACAATTGCATAAACAAATGCCTAGAAGTACATAAACAGTTGTTTTAGGGTATTTGTCAAATAAAAGGTTTCAAATGGTTAGATGATAGAGAAGAGAAACTGGTGTTAGGTATGTACTTTAAAAGTTGTATCATCTTCTTGCCTACATCTTCAAGTACATGTATGGTTAATGAAAGAAATAGCTAGCAAAACGTTACAGTCTACCTTGTGAAATAGGCTGACAGCAAGTTCTTTTTTAAAACCTTATAGTCACAATTGAAAACTCAAAGGAACACATCCAAATGCTTATAAAATTAGCTACAAATGCATGTGTTACAACGTAAACACTCTCTGTATTACCTCCAGGTCCCTCAAGCATAACATGTTAGGAGCAATCTGTTTCTGAATGCTTAGAACATCAAGTCTCAGCTCTGGAAAAATGTCCTTCACCATAGTACCCACTGAGAGATGAAAATCAAAGTTTAATCAGAAAGAATTCTGAGAACAAACATGATTAAGAAAACAGTCATGTTTAAAGGAGCTTCATCCAACCTCCAGGCCTCATTTCCTTGTTGTATTGATACCAGTGTAATCCAATCCATGTGATCTTTTCTAGGCTGCGAGGATTCTCCCTAACTGCCACTACAAGTCAAGACACATGAGATTATATTACACCTCCTAATGGTAAAACTCTAAGGAAGATTAAGAATTATTTGTGCCACAGTTGTGAAAAATTCATAATTTATCTCTAATCTACAAAACTTTCTACTATTCTAACAACAGAATGACATGACCTTTAATCACTATCAATGAAACAGTCTGCACTTTACCTTCATCCCAACTGACCAATTGATCAACTTCAGGTATTGTCAGCTCATTCTCACAGAAGTCTTCATCGAAAGCCAAGAAAGACTACAGAATGAACAAAACAGCAAAGTTACATGTGTATTCCAAGTCCACAAATTCCTTAATTCAGTCTTATCTCTATCAGCACTAGCAGAAAATGAACTCTTACATGTAACTGTCTTAGTCCCAGAAAGAGTACCGGTATCCTTGACTCTTTTTTTTTGGGGGACAAATTTTTTCTTTAGACTCCACTACAGGAGGTTTCACAGGGCGAGCTTCTCTTAAATGTTAAAAGATAACAGAATCTCCAAACTTTGTTGAACACAACTTTGACTTAATACCAAAACTATTTCCATAATCATTTGGCACTATAAAATGCAGTTGTTTTCATGTATCTGCACTTCTCTTGTACTAATGTACATGTATGTTGCTCACAACTACCTCAAAGGCCTAAACATTTTGATAAGCTTACACCTTTTTTGTGCTATTCATCAACATTTCCCAAATGTATGTGTATCTAAACCTGTCAGTCTAACTGAATAGAACATATCTTAACACAATGACTCTCTGTTATTTACAGTGCAATGCTTACTTTATTTAAATCTCTCACATCCCTGTAAATTGTACTGAGGATGTCATGTTTCCCTTGCCTTGAACAGCAGTCTGTGTAACACATATCCAACCAGTCTTGACCAAGCTTGTCTCTTGTGGCCATAAGGAAATGTCCTGTGATTGAAAAATACTTTCAATGGAAGATTGGCATAATCCTTTGCTAAAACCTATCAACAGAATTTCATTATACCTCTCCCAGACATGGTTGTTTCCAACCCCCTCATCATATGTACTCATTTCAAGCTATGCAATGGTAACTGTAGTTAAAGGGTACAATAGGATATAAAACAGATATGAAACTAGAGTCTGAAAAACACTTAACCAGTTTGACTGAGCCGTGAGCAAGCCATGATGTACCACTTGAGAGGGTCTTTGTTTTTAGGAGCTCTAGCAACCCACGGTGTTTTTGTCTCAGGCGGTGGAATACTGACACTTGCCAAGTAACAGGCACATGCAAATCTCAGCCCTCTAGGCCATGTTACAAATTTCTGTAGAAAAAAAGAAAGAAAAATGATCAGATTCTCACCACATAAATCTGAAAAAAAACACTCTTATTCTACAATGACACTTAATAGACACCTGAAGCAATAAATATTTGTCTCCAGGTGGGAAACAAAAAAAAAAATTAATCCTTGTAAAAACCAACTTCTGACAAGTATTTTAAGACTACTGTTCAACATTTTGTACATGAATATGTACATAATACAACATAACACAACATTATAAAAGGCTACTATTGGTAAATGTCAATTTTAATACACTTTTAGACAGCAGTAAGTTCAATCTAAGAAATACAGCTTTATTCCAAAACCTTTATAACTATGCTAAGCTTCATTTGTTTCTGCAATCACTTGGAAACAAAATTAATTTAAAGCAATAGAGATTAAATGTAGGTTAGAGTGATCAAAATTATGTAGATGTAAAAATTGCATAGGGTTACGGTCAATCATGTGCACAATTTTGCGTGCCATGAATCTTCATGATGGCCACAGCTAGGAAACATCACATGTCAGTCCACAGGAAAATTATCAGATCATCTCCATCATTAACTTCCGCTGACTTCAAAAGCGCTTTTGGAAGATGCTTGAAATACCTCTTTGGCAAGTCGAATTAACAAAGTGCCGCAGTACATGTAAAGCTGAGCTTTCATCTCTGCTAGGATCACTTCCCACTCAGTTGGTCCACCAGATGTGGATCGTCTTGGTGACTGGCGGATTTTACGTCCATCAGCCATAAACAAACAGTGATCCAACCTAATAAAGTTATTAAATAATATAAAGATATTAATTTTCATCATTTTTAATGAATGCTGCATCAGCTTTATAATGTTTAAATAAAGCACACAATGCCTTGTTTGGTTTAACAGGTGTCAAGAAATTTCACCAGCCTTGTTTTGTTTATGACAATGTCTGCCATTTATTTGTTTACAATCATCAATGTCAACTTGTGAACATAGGTGTTCACAAGTCTTTATGGATGGAAGGCTAAGGAGACTTCATCAAAGTGAAAAAATACAAAATTGAAACTGAATGCAGAAATCCTACAGTGTACATGACGTCTGATGCAACATGTACTCCCAATCTTTCACCAGGAAATACAAGACAATTTGGAAGGAGAATCTCGCAGTATATAAAAAGTCACTGTTGGCTTTCTTCCCTCCTACCCCTTCAATAAAGCCACAACTCATTTCACACTGTCAGTTTTCATTCTGGACAATCATCCTTACTGTTCAGTAACACTTAACCGGTTTCTAAGTTTATTACATGTATGTCCTAAAGCCTACCTGAAGAGAACATTGATAACTTCACGAGTGCTACATTCATGGAGGTTAAGTTCCAAAAACTGACAAAGAGCAATCAGAAGGTAGGCATGAACATCAAGCATGCTGTTACCAGCACTGACTGCCTCATCTTCCAATACTGCAGGAGTACCAAGGAAAGAGAAATTTGAATAAATTTATCATAAAATGTAAACTTTACAAACAATGTCTCCCTAAAAATATAAAGGACTTGGTTAATTTCCAGTCTACATAAGTGTATACAAAGTTATCACAAATTATTTATAAAACTGCCAGTTGTAACATAGCTTTTTCCTTCTTCAGAAACAGAAGCATTTCTTGAAAAATCAAGTATTGAATACTTACTGTGCTTTTCTAGAGATGCAAGGTATTTCTATAAACGAACAAAGCAAAGAACAGGTTTAATGATGATATAATTCTGTCAAGTAACCAGTGTAGAGGAATTCTCAACTGCAAGCCGTCATGCTCTGGAGTCTCACCTCAAACATTTCCACACAACAAGCAATCCATGGTAGACTGTCTTGGAAGGCTTTTGTTTTTAAAACTGTCACACAATGAGTAAAAGCCTCATCAAGCCGTCCTGCAAAAAGACAAAGAATTTCTCCTTACAACATCAATACAATATCAAGCCAACAAGTGATGAGAATAAAAGAAAAAATTGGGGGAATATAAGTTGATCCAATAACAAATTCTCAAAATCAACATTACAAAAATTGTATGGCAGACACAAAGGAGAATTACTAATGAGATCTTGAGAGGGAGAGGGTTAAAAGGAATATAATCAATCAGTAGTAAAATACCTCTCACAGCATACAGTCTCACCAATCTTACATGTAAGTCAACCTCTCTGGGCCTTTTGCTCTAAATAAACAACAGAAATAGTTACATCATATATTGTATACAGCTTGCAGACCAGTATGGTGTGTGTGTGTGTGTGTGTCACTTCCAGTACAGACAGACCAGTATAGTGTGTGTGTCACATCCAGTATAGACAGACCAGTATAATGTGTGTGTGTCACATCCAGTATAGACAGACCAGTATAGTGTGTGTGTCACATCCAGTATAGACAGACCAGTATAGTGTGTGTGTCACATCCAGTATAGACAGACCAGTATAATGTGTGTGTGTCACATCCAGTATAGACAGACCAGTATAGTGTGTGTGTCACATCCAGTATAGACAGACCAGTATAGTGTGTGTGTGTCACATCCAGTATAGACAGACCAGTATAGTGTGTGTGTGTCACATCCAGTATAGACAGACCAGTATAGTGTGTGTGTGTCAAATCCTCTTCCTCCCACTTATTTGCACTGTTAATCATGGGAAGTACAAGGAAATAGTCTAAGAGATACTTACCAGCTCCTCAGAAATCAAATCTTCAAGAGCATCATAATCTACAACTTCAGCTGACTCCAGAAGATGCAACTATGGTGTGAAGAAAACTTTATCAGTTAGTTTGTCAATTCATAACTAGCAAAACAACATCAATATTACTTTGAAATGTTAGATACATGTAACATTAAAACACATCACTCAAAACAAAACTCACCCTTAGACTGAACACATCCGGATGACCAGGAAACAAACGAGCACCTCTGTCTGCCCACGCCTACATGGTAAATTACCAAAATTAATCCACATTTACCCCTCGGATCCCTAAGACTGACCAGCACCCTGTTTCTCCTTACAATATCACCCCTGAATTACACATCAAGGTCACAAGATTATAAAAAATAATCACCAACTAAAAAGCTCTTGATTGTTAAACAAATTCTCCTTATCAGCACCTTGGGAAATGTATAATAAGCAGTATGGAGAATGTGCATACTGACATTGGGATGTAAAGGGTTAAAAAAGACCATTTTTAGGTATCACCATTTGAGGTCAAGAGTTCAAAAGTAACTGACCTTAGCTCTTTCGGGGTGAACTGGTACACTGCAGTACAACTTTACCACTGAAATAGATATTATGTACAATAATTTCAATTGTTTTTGTTCTTTTTCATTTGATCATTATTTGAAAGCTTTTTTATAAGATACAAGATAAGAAAGCAGACTAAATTGTAGTTTAAAAATATATAACTGAGGGAATGAAAAGCAATTCAATGAACATCACCCTGACCTTTCAAAACCAGTTCCTTTTGACTGTTATTCAATTCCAAAGACCTGTAAGATTCATGCATTTACAAATTACTGTTATTATCATAATGACTATTATCAAAATTATTGTCATAATCATGACATAATCAATAATAGTATTTACTAAAACAGAGGCTAGCATGGAGGACATGCTCTGATTGGTCACTTAAACTCCAAATAATTTTTGTCATTCACCCCCAAACAACATGTGTGGAATTTGCACCAAAAATATTGTAATCATTGCAGGAATAAAGAGTTAAAATCATGTTTCCAAGCTACATTATCACACTGTTTCAGTACATACTAAAACAGCTCATAACTTCACCTTGTGGCTCGGTAATTATCCACCACTAGCCTCCTTCACTATGGTGAATAGTTGCTAATTATTATTATCACCATCATCATTATCATTACCATTATTATTATTATTATCATTAATATTATTATTATTATGATGATGATAATGATGATGATAATGATTGACTCTAAATCCCAGGAAATTAATGGCCATTTTCAGAACTACTGTACCTTCAAGAGCATGACTAAATACGAGATAAAAAAACACATGGTACCTGCGATATGAAGCTACAGCCTTTTCTAGTTCACCCACTCCTTCATACAGCTGTCCCATGAGACAATGACCCCTACAGATTGGAAGGAAATATCAACTGAGCAACTTTTAAATCTTGGTGTTCATTTCCTTTATCAAAACACAGGTTTTAAAAATGTGATTTGGGAAAGACAAGAGTATTGCATTCTGCAAGTATCATTTCTAAGGTTTTTTATGGCTACTGCCATAACCATTACAAAACAACAAAATGTACATGCCATAAATAATCAAAAGGATGGAAACATTAAGTATGATTAGCACCTGACACTCCTGAGCACAAACCCAGATACAATTATGTTGCAAAAAAACCCTTATAAATACATGAAGTATACAGCTGTGAAACTATCTGAGACTGAACTAGCCTAGAACTTCTCAATCAAAGTCAAGCACAAATTTTTTTTTCTTTTTTCATTCTTTGACATATGTGTAAATAATACCTACCTAAAGTCAGTCTCCTTTTCACTAATGTAAGCTTCAAGATATCTTACGAGGGAAAAAAGCAAAGACACTTTTTTATTTTAAATTATCATGGCAGTGCTCTAGATATATCATTACATCCTCACCAAACTTTCCTCATCCAGGTCACGTATTTGAGAGGCTAATCAGGGAAGTCATAGCAACACATTCACTAGATAACAGAGCAGTGAGGCCCTTCCTGGGCTGAGAGGGACCCTAGTCTGAGGGGAATCAATTGATTCAAAAGAGGTGAAAGTATCTATGTATTAAAATCCAATAATATTCCAACCACCTCATCAGGAGAAAAACCCTTGTTGAAAAGTTATTGGATTTTTAACAGTAGACTCTAGATTTCCCAATCATCCAATATTGGAAATTTAAACCTTGGATTTTCCAATGATAACCACATTGGAAGACATATTCTTTCCCTGTGATATTAAGTGCAGGGGTAACAAAATCGATCATGATCACCCACCGAAAAAGGCCTCGGTAGATTAATGACAGGATTGACTTTAAATTTTGCTTAGTTTCACCGGAAAACCATAGAGAAATATACTCGATCGCCAACGTACGGCTAAAGTTGTCCAAAACTCCTCAAATCCTATGGAGGAAGTGTTTCGAACAAGTTCTACATAACTAACCTCTTTGCGCTCTCATAGTCCGATACCTCCTTGTACAGCTTAGCAAAGGCAAACCCTTTTATATTTGGCTGAAAGTTAAGCCGAGGACACTGTTAAAAATTCTGAACTGAGCTGGATATAAAACCGGAGGAAAATGCGTGCAAATGAGACATCTACCTCGTGTGCATTCGCACAGAGTCGCCGGACTTTCGCTACGTATTTATCGATCTCATCTTTCGTCCACTCCATACTTTCTAGATATCAGTACAAGAAAGATGAATTCAAATCAAATAGAAAGGTTGTCAAATTTTGTCGTACATTTCTACCATGAGAATCGAATTTCACTCTCGAGAGATTTTTAAGTACGAAAACCGCCAGTAAGCGTTTGACTGCACGCATGAATTACAATCATCTGCCGCTGAGCACAATGATTGATAATGAGTGAAAGTAAGGTGTCCTGTGTTTATGTTTGGTGTGTGGAATCCTGTAATACTCAAACAGCCAAGGAAGGGTTGCCGATCCAGAATATTTCGGTATGTGAAGCTTGCATTTTATAGAAATGTAATTGGTTTCGATATGGTTATCTTCAATGTGCTAATTCGTCGATAATTACTTGATATGCTAATATGCTTCGCAACTTGCAACAACTTTGACTTCCGGGATTTCTCGGAAATCTCTTTAAAAAAGGCCTTCTATTAAAATATCGTTTTAAGAAAATCCGTACATGTCATCCCTCGGTCTTTATTTCTATTTAGGTGGTTTTCATTTAGCTTGATGCTCGCATAATTGTTAACGAATGTAACAAGTTGTCCGTGATCAAACATCCCTCACTTTTGATGGATTAATAACATAAAACTGTTACCATGAGCATTATAAAAGGCGTTTATTTAAGTGGTTAATATGCTCAGCAGCTATTCTTTGCAAGGTAATGTGTCTCTTTCCGATGTATTTTCACTGATTTGGAAAGGCTGGTAACATTCTTGATGAAGTATAAAGATAAGGCTGTCGCAGGATGCTTTGTGTTTCCCTTGTGTCTAAGGGTTTTTCTTGTTATTTTGTGTAGAGATCAAGTTTTGGAAAATGTGAAAAAGTGATCGCGTCATTCTAGTTTTCTGAGCCACAACATGGATGAGGAGAAAAGTATCTCTGAGAGAGAAAGGGCACTTCAAGAGAAGATTGCTCGGTTGGAGAAGAAACTAGAGGGATGTCAAGCTCAGATAGGTTAGTAACACGTATGTGTTTACATTTACAAACGGCGAGATGTATACTTAGTACTGCATCGACAAATCCCCTATCTAAATTGCTTTACCTCTAACTTTACATGCAGTGGAACTAGGAAGGAAGGAAATCCTGCTAACGAAAACCCAAGTACTTCCATTCGTCGTTTTGTTGTCACTTGTGAAACCAAAATAAAAACGATAAATTTATTTTTGCAGTTGCGCTTGTTTGATCATTCTTATGTTTCGTTTTGTTCTCCTTGTGGAACTGAACCTCGATTTCGCTGGAAAATTGAGCAATATGGCTTCTCGTTTTTCTGCAGATATTATTGATGATCAACGCCAGCAACTGGAAGAAAGGGCAATCAAAATGGAGTCTGTTTTGGTAAACACAACCGAAGAGCTTTCGGATGCGAGAAAACAGGTGAGTTACTTCCTCTCTATAATTCACATTGGGACTCCATTGGTATGATTTCCACTTGTGCATCCTCGGGTTTTCTTCTCTTCCGCTGATATCCGCCTAAAAAATGATCTACGCTAAAAATCGATCTCTTATTAACTTCCATTTGTAGATGATAGAGAAAGAAATGTCAAGTAATCACCTGGCACAGAAACTTGAGTCCATGACACAGCAGATAGAGGAGTACAAGGTGTGCTTGAGGATCAACTTTGTTGGTTACAATATCAATTAAAACGTGTTGTTCTGATCGTTGTGAATCGTTGTGAATATACTGCCTTACTGTTTGAATCTTTACTTTAGTAATGCAAGCTTCTACCAACTTGGCTCATTTAAGACAGACATTTTTTTAATCCAAAATGTCGACAAAAAACAAAGGTAATTCACAACTCTGTAAATGTTCATTTTTCACAAGAAATTTCCTCTATTAAGTAACAGTAGATGAACTCCACCGAGGTCCAAACTCCATATCACCATTACATTTGTTATCGTCACGGATGCCAGAACTTCGAAAAGCAGGAAGAAGGAAAGCATGATTAGAATGCCGCCAGCTACTACTCAGAAAATCTTTGGTTCATGATTTTGAGCGAATGTGCTCAGCCGCAAATCCCGCCACGTTTCCTTTTTTTTCACAGAGCCTACTTTACAAAGAGAGGGAAATAACTAAGTACAGCATGGGAAGACTGGAAACGATCCTTTCCAGAGTGGAGGTTGAAATGGCTTCGCGGAAAGAGTTTCAAGGCTTCCTAAACGTAAAATAACTTTTATTGAAATTACAAAACATTTTGTCTTTTCCACTTAATATTTGCAAATGTTTCCTATCGTTTTACACCTCCAAGCAGTAATACATACGAATATTTGATAACTCTATACCCAAGGGAGACTTTGCACCTTTCTAAGGCATGTACTGTAAAACATTTTCTATCTTTCACGATGAAATATGTAGACTACTAATTTGATCGCTTTATACAAGTCACAGGCACTTAAAATCATGCTCTATCATGGTTATCATAAAGTAACTATCCAAGTCTAGCACAGAGACATATACCTACCCTTTCAAGACAAATTCTCATCGAAAAGAACCTTTCTCATTCTCATTGCATTACCTAAATGGGTAAACTTTGAAATTATTGTAGAAAGTAGTCCGGCATTGCTTTGGAGTTTCCGTTTACTTCCAGTCCCACTGTGATTGGTCCAGAAAACTCGCGCAAGCCCACCTTCTCGACTAATCAGATGCAATCTGAAAACCAATCACGACTTGATCACTCGTGTTTTCCGGCGCTTCAAGTAGTTTGTTTGTTTTTAATTTGTGTTGCCATTAGCTGATGATGATGTCAACCTCAGTTCCCATCATCCGTTGTGGCTACCTTCGTTTTCAGCTCAATTGAAAACTTCCCTAATAAGCGTATTCTTTCCGATTACCTTTAAATTGTGTTTCCTTTTTTCCGCAATCGTAGGAGATGCTTGTTGCCGTTAAAGAGGAGTTACAGACTCAACTAAGGATTGTCTTCAACAAACTGACCGGATTAGAAAATAAACTTCACGAGTCACCTCAAGACGTGAACCATTCAAAGTGTCAAGCTATGCCCAGCTTTGATCAGGCTCCACATCCACCAGATCCAGAATGCAAACCTCCTGACTCGAAAACCTCACGGAAGAAATCTAATTATGAAATTGTGACTGTCTTTGAAAAGGTAGTTACAAATGAGCAAAGAAAAAGAGCCCAACTGCTGGAACTGCCGGATAACTTCTTTGCATATGAGGACTCCTTACCTGAAACCAGCCTTTGTGAAACAGTTGATAGGTGAGAAATAAATTTTTAGTGTAGGTATCAATGCTAGGCCAGCTTAGCTACTTGCATAATTTGTGGGAGATTCGCTACAGAATTGCGTTGGTGTAGATTTTGTTATGACATTTGCGTAACACTTTTCGTTTTGAATCACAGTGAGCACAGCCAGGCACCACTTGTGGACAATCTAACCCCAAGAAAGGGTTCAGCAGGCCTGAGCTCACAGCTATTTCCATCGCAAAATGAAGACAATGGCACTGGAGAAGAAGATGGCGACCGGAATGGGCCACACGTAGCACTTGCCAAACACGAAACTAAAGATCCGTTGCTGAACAAGGAGAAAAAATTTCTATTTGGTTCTTCTAACACACTATCGTTGTCCTTCCAGTCGGTTGCCAGTTCTTCTCAAACCGATGACCCGTTTCGAAAAAAAATAAGCAGCTCACCTTGCCGGTTCCCATGTGCAGATACTAGGCCATTCACTTCCTCAGGTTCGGCAAATCGTGAAAAATTGGTGCAGTTTCAATCTGGTAAAGGAAATGTGGTAACAACCCCAGTAAAATCAGTTCCAATTCATCCCACCACATCAGAGAGCGTTGGTCAACTGACATTTTCACCCCTGAAGCCCAGAGATGATGATGCCTTTTCCGTGACTCAGAAAAAAGACAGCTTTAAACCATTTCAAGGAGCTGGTATACAGTTATTTGCTGAGACAAGTGAAGACGTCGAAGGTCAAGATGACGATAAACTTCACTTTGAGCCAATCATTGCTCTTCCAGATGAAATTCAAATTGTGACAGGTGAAGAAGGTTTAGATGTGCTGTTCTGCGAGCGAGCCAAGCTGTACCGTTTTGACAGTGATTCTAGTCAATGGAAAGAACGAGGGGTCGGAGAAATGAAGCTCTTACGGCATCCAAAGTCTTGTCAAGGAAGAGTGCTCATGAGACGGGAGCGGATAAAAAAGTTGTGTGCCAATCATTACATCAGTGCTGGGATGGAGCTCAAACCCAATGTTGGATCATATCGTTCTTGGGTGTGGTACACTCCAGCCGATTATGCCGAGTGTGAGGCGAAACCAGAGAGGCTCGCGATCAAGTTTAAGTCTGCAGAAATTGCTGGAAAGTTTAAGGAGGTATTTGATGACCTCAGAGAGACATTACCCTCAGAAACTAGCCCTGAAAAGGAAGTAACTGGTGATGAACAAGAGACTGGCTGTGCTCTTTTTAAGCAATTTATGTCGGGATTTACTCCTGCGTCAGGTTCGTGGACGTGTGAAGTGTGCGACGTTGACAACGATGCCGAACATTTGCAATGTGATGCATGTAATTCTGTTAAGACTGCAAGAGAACCTCAGAGAACTGTTTCCATAGCAAAGGAAGAAAATTTGAAACCCTCAGGACCAATGTCGAATGCTGCAGTCCCTCAATCAGAACCAGCAAACACCGCTCAAGACGTCAAAAAGGAGTCTTGTCAAGTTGCATCTATTTTCCAATCACCCGGTAGCTCGGCACTGGCTTGCTCGAAGCTTTTTACCATTGGACGGGGAGATCCAAATGAAGAAAAAGAAGATAAAATTTACCTGTCTCCAATCAAGACATCTTCTCCCAGTCAGCAAGGAATTATCTTGCCGCAAAAGCCCTCAACGTCTCCCGGACAGAGTTACTTACCCAGTAGTCTTCCGTTTGGCTCAACAACACCTGTGAAGTTCACTTTCAGTTTGACAATTTCACCTGGGTCTCCATCTCGCAAATCTAAATCATCATCATCGCCTGCGACACCGTCATCTCCTGAGAGTCCTAGCCGTGGAGAAGATGATGGCCCGTACTTTGAGCCACTGATACCACTTCCTGATAAGGTGGAATGCCGAACAGGAGAAGAAGGCCAAGAGGTACTTTTTTGTGAACGTTGCAAATTGTTTAGGTATGACGGAGGTGCATCGCAGTGGAAAGAAAGAGGTGTTGGTGAGATCAAGATACTTCGTGACTCAAACTCTAATAAAAACAGGATTTTAATGAGGCGTGAACATGTCTTAAAACTCTGTGCTAATCACATGATTTTAACGGATATGGTGCTGAAGCCTTTCTCAAACTCTGACAAGGCATGGCTGTGGACAACGCTTGCAGATTTCTCAGAAGAAGAAGCCACAGCAGAGACTTTAGCTGCGAGGTTTAGAACTAGTGAGGTTGCTGCTAAATTCAAAGAAACCTTCGACATTGCTATACAGGCGCCTGTATCAAAACCAGAGAAGGGCCCATCCTTATCAAAACCAGAGAGCAAGCCTCCGGACTCAAGAACATCAGAAAAACCTGAAGAAGATGTCATGATAATATTCGAGAAAGTAGTAACGGCTGATCTAAAGGAGAAAGCCAAAAGGCTTCAATTGCCAAGTAACTTCTTCGGATATGAATGTTCGGCGCTTGAAGTCAGCTCTGATCTGTCGGAAACTGATGCGAGGTGAGTAACCCTATATTGGTGAAGTGGAATTGATATAGTTATGCAGCATCGATATCTCGATCTTTCCAAGTTACGTTAATGTATATATGTCTGAACTTCATATAACACACTGCGATATTGAATTAACAGGCAGTCAGACCAGCCGACAAGTGATCCCATTCCCGAGGGAAGTTCCACCTCGACCTCAAACAAGACAGGCTTTCTTTTTGGCTCTGCAAGTGTGTCGTCTTTGACCTTTCAATCCATCGTTGCATCTTCACTGGGAAGCAGTCCTTTTGGACAGAAGACGCAAGGTACGTTTGGTGGTTTTTCAGGAGCTGGGTCACAGTTGCTTGCCTCCCAAAATGCAGACGAAGATGACGAAGCAGGGAATGGTAACCATGATGGACCACACTTTGAGCCAATCATTCCTCTTCCTGAAAATATCGATGTTAAAACTGGTGAAGAAGATGAAGAGGTAATTTTTTCTCATCGAACCAAGCTTTATCGTTTTGCTGCTGAGGACAAGCAATGGAAGGAGCGAGGAGTTGGGGATATAAAGCTTTTGAAAAATAGACAAAGTGGAAAGATGAGAGTTCTGATGCGGCGGGATCAGGTGCTTAAAATATGCGCAAATCACCAGATAACCGCTGAAATGAAACTACAGCCGAACGCAGGTTCAGATAGATCGTGGGTTTGGAGCACAATGGCAGATTTTTCAGAGGGCGAATGTAAAGCTGAACAACTTGCTGTGAGATTTAAATCAGAAGACACCGCCAAGCTGTTCAAGGAGAAGTTTGAAGAATGTCAGGGAATGCTGAGGAACCAAACACCAGTGAAGCTTCAAGTAACACCCAAAACCACAAATGCCAAAGAAGATCTCGTGACCAAATTTAAACCAGCTAAGGGATCATGGGAATGTAGCGACTGTATGGTTAGCAACGATAGTGATAAAGTGCAGTGTTTAGCTTGTGGAAATGTAAAACCGGGAGCAGAACCAAGTCAAGGCCAAAAGAAAGAAGCTAAAGCGTCGTTTTCATTTGGTGGCTCTAGTCTTTCATCCTTCTCATTCGGCTCTGGTGGAACAAGTCAAGGCGATTCAAAACCAGTTTTCTCTTTTGGCAGCCAGAAGCAGACTTCCACATCAAGCTCTGGAGTTGCATTTAGTTTTGGCTCAATGGATCAAGGAGGAAATTTTAACGAACAGCAGACTAACAGAGACCCTAAAGCTAGTTCCTTGATTGATCCAGCAGACAACAAAGGAGCTGATGACACTAAGGATGATCAAAACCAGAGTATTCAAGAAGGGCTAGATGTCAAAGAAAAAGCTCAAGTGGAAGAAATTAGCACAGAAGAGGATAGTTCTACCCTTGAAAGGTCAGTTGAGCGAGTTGCTTTAGGCAAAGTGTTAAGATGGCAATCAAGCAGCTCTAAAAAAGTTCCGAGATAAATAAACTGAGTAAACAGAGAGAGGCGCAGGTGTTAATTCAAATGAGGTGTACAAAGTGAATTGTCCATGTTTCCCTAAGTTTTTAGCCTCGATGTCCTCGCACGAGATCTCATTGGTGATGGTTGTTTTTATGTTATGTTTTGTCTTTGATGCACAAAGTAGCTTATATAAAACATAAGGGGCTCTTTTACCCATTACACTTCCAAAATCCAAGGTACATGTAATGATAACTAATCCCAATAAAATCTTTATTACAGGTACTATCGAAATTATAAATCCAAAACTAAACACAATTTTACTTTTTTTTCTGCTACAGTGACAAGGACTCGGCACCTGCCATGCAAGACACAAAAGATACTTTGCCAAACAAGGAGCAAAAGTTCCTATTTGGTTCTCCCAACGTATTGTCATTGTCATTTCAGTCAAACGCCAATTCGTCTCTGAGCAACAGTCCGTTTGGGAAGAAACCAACTTCCAGTAATTCCCTGTTTGGGTTTCCGGGATCAGGCACCAAACTATTCACAACCCCATGTTCGGCAGACCGTAGTGAGTCGAAAACGAAAGAGGACCACGAAGGACCACACTTTGAGCCGATAATCCCTCTACCTGAAAAGATCGATGTCAAAACAGGAGAAGAGGATGAAGAAGTCATGTTCTCCCACAGAGCAAAGCTATATCGTTTTGTGGCAGAGGACAAGCAGTGGAAAGAACGAGGAGTTGGAGATATAAAGCTTTTGAAAAATAGGCGGAGTGGAAAGATAAGAGTTCTAATGCGGCGGGATCAGGTGCTTAAAATATGCGCCAATCACCAGATAACCGCTGAAATGAAACTACAGCCGAACGCAGGTTCAGATAGATCGTGGGTTTGGAGCACAATGGCAGATTTTTCAGAGGGCGAATGTAAAGCTGAACAACTTGCTGTGAGATTTAAATCAGAAGGCACCGCCAAGCTGTTCAAGGAGAAGTTTGAAGAATGTCAGGGAATGCTGAGGAACCAAACACCAGTGAAGCTTCAAGTAACACCCAAAACCACAGATGCCAAAGAAGATCTCGTGACCAAGTTTAAACCAGCTAAAGGATCATGGGAATGTAGCGACTGTATGGTAAACAACGATAGTGATAAAGTGCAGTGTTTAGCTTGTGGAAATGTAAAACCGGGAGCAGAACCAAGGCAAGGCCAAAAGAAAGGAGCTAATGCGTCGTTTTCATTTGGTGGCTCTAGTCTTTCATCCTCTGGTGGAGGCTTTATGTTTGGCTCTGGAGGATCAAGTCAAGAGGGTGATACCAAACCAGTTTTCACTTTTGGTAGTTCGAACCAAAAATCAAATCCAAGCTCAGGATTTTCATTCACCTTTGGCTCCTTAAAACAAACAGGACCTGTAAGTGAACAGCAGACAGAGGACACCAATGGCAATCTTTCTTTATTTAATAAACAAAAGCCTGATGAGGAAGCTAGTGACTCCAAAGATGACTACGACCGCCAAGAACTTTCGGAAAAACAATCATCAGCTAACCTGGCCAAAGAAGAGAGAATAAATGAGGATGCCAGAAAAGACGTCATGACGAAGTTTCAACCTGCAGAAGGATCATGGGAGTGTGAGATTTGTATGGTGAACAACGAAAGAGATAAAGTCGAATGTGCAGCTTGTGGAAGCGTAAAGTCAGGAGCAGAAGTCATTAAAGAACAAAAGCAAAATTCAAAATCACTTTTTCCATTTGGGTTTGGTGCTTTGTCATCTGGGGGAGCCTTCTCATTCGGCTCTGGTGGAACAAGTCAAGGCGATTCAAAACCAGTTTTCACTTTTGGCAGCCAGAACCAGACTTCCACCCCAAGCTCTGGAGTTGCATTTAGTTTTGGCTCTATAGATCAAGGAGAAAATTTGAGCGAACAGGAGATTAAAAGAAACCCTAAAGCTGGTTCCTTGACTGACCCAGCAGACAATGAAGGAGCTGATGATACTAAGGATGATCAAAAACAGATTATTCAAGAAGGGGTAGATGTCAAAGAAAAAGCTCAAGTGGAAGAAGTTGGCACAGAAGAAGATAGTTCAACCCTTGAAAGGTCAGTTGTGCGAGCTGTTTTTGGCAAAGTATTTAGATGGTAATCAAGTAGCTCTATAAAAGTTCCGAGATAAATAAACTGGGAAAACAGAAGAGAGGCGCAGGTGTTAATTCAAATGGGGTGCACAAAGTGAATTGTCCATGTTTTCCAAAGTTTTTAGCATTGATGTCCTCGCTCTACTTCAAGGAAACGGGGCTAAACGTTAACCCATGGAACTGATGAATGGGAATCGAAGTCCGAGATCTTACTGGTGATGGCTGTTTTTGTGTTATGTTTTGTTTTTGGAGCACATAGTAGCCTATATAAAACATAAGGGGCTCTTTTACCTATAATACTTCCAAAATTGAAGGTAAATGTAATGATAACTGATCCTAATAAAATTGTTGTTACAGGTACTATCGAAATTATAAATCCAAAAATTAACACAATTTTACTTTTTTTTCTTCTACAGTGACAAGGACTCGGCACCTGCCATGCAAGACACAAAAGATACTTTGCCAAACAAGGAGCAAAAGTTCCTATTTGGTTCTCCCAACGTGTCGTCATTGTCATTCCAGTCAATCGCCAGTTCGTCTCTGGGTAACAGTCCATTTGGGAAGAAACCAACTTCCGGTAATTCCCCGTCTGGGTTTCCGGGATCAGGCACCAAACTATTGACAACCCCACATTCTGCAGACCGTGATGAGTCGACAACGGAAGAGGACCATGAAGGACCACACTTTGAGCCAATAATCCCTCTACCTGAAAAGATCGATGTTAAAACAGGGGAAGAGGATGAAGAAGTCATGTTCTCCCACAGGGCAAAGCTATATCGTTTTGTGGCAGAGGACAAGCAGTGGAAAGAACGAGGAGTTGGAGATATAAAGCTTTTGAAAAATAGGCGAAGTGGAAAGATAAGAGTTCTAATGCGGCGGGATCAAGTGCTGAAAATCTGTGCCAATCACCAGATAACCGCTGAAATGAAACTAAAGCCTAATGCAGGTTCAGATAGATCGTGGGTGTGGAGCACAATGGCAGATTTTTCAGAGGGCGAATGTAAAGCTGAACAACTTGCTGTGAGATTTAAATCAGAAGACACCGCCAAGCTGTTCAAGGAGAAGTTTGAAGAATGTCAGGGAATGCTGAGGAACCAAACACCAGTGAAGCTTCAAGTAACACCCAAAACTACAGATGCCAAAGAAGATCTCGTGACCAAGTTTAAACCAGCTGAGGGATCATGGGAATGTAGCGACTGTATGGTAAACAACGATAGTGATAAAGTGCAGTGTTTAGCTTGTGGAAATGTAAAACCGGGAGCAGAACCAAGTCAAGGCCAAAAGGAAGGAACCAAACCGTTATTTGCATTTGGATCTGAAGCTTCATCCTTTGGTGGAGGCTTTACGTTTGGCTCTGGTGGAACAAACCAAGGAGGTGTTACAAAACCAGCTTTTATTTTCGGGGGTTCGAAGCAAACATCGAATCCAAGCTCAGGAGTTCCATTCACCTTTGGTTCCTTAAAGCTAGGGGGACTTGAAAGTGAACAGCAGTCAGAGGAAATCAATGTAAAGAATCATTCATTAAATGACAACGCGCCTGATGAAGAAGCGAATGATACCGCCGGCGATATGGTGGAGAAAGTCTTAACCAGAGAAGAACTACTTGAAGAAAAATATGACGAAAGTAAAAATCAGAGTGGACGCTTTACGTTTGGCTCCGATGGAACAAACCAAGGAGGTGTTACAAAACCAGCTTTTATTTTCGGGGGTTCGAAGCAAACATCGAATCCAAGCTCAGGAGTTCCATTCACCTTTGGTTACTTAAAGCCAGGGGGACTTGAAAGTGAACAGCAGTCAGAGGAAATCAATGTAAAGAATCATTCATTAAATGACAACACGCCTGATGAAGAAGCGAATGATACCGCCGATGATACCGTGGCTTGTGCAGCTTGTGGGAGTGTCAAAGGAGGAGCAGAACCAAGTCAAGGCCAAAAGGAAGGAACCAAACCGTTATTTGGATTTGGATCTGGAGCTTCATTCTCTGGTGGAGGCTTTAGGTTTGGCCCTGGTGGAATAAACCAAGGTGGTGATACAAAACCAGCTTTTACTTACGGGGGTTTAAGCAAAACAAAGAATCAATTCTCGGGATTTTCATTCTCCTTCGGTACCTTGAAGCAAGGAGGAATTGTCAGTGACCAGCAGTCAAAGGCTACCAAAAGCAGTCTCTCTTCTTTGTTTGAACCAAAGCCTGGTAATAAAGCTGGTATTTCTAAACATGACCATGAACGCCAAGAAAAAACGAAGAACCAAACGTCATTTAAAGCGAAAAAAGAAGAAACAAAAAGTCAACAAGCCGAAAAAGGCATTATGGCGAAGTTAAAAGCTGATAAGAGGTTATGGGAATGTAGTGTCTGTATGGTGAAAAACGACATTGATAAAGTGGCTTGTACAGTTTGTGGAAGTGTGAAAGGAGGAGCAGAACCAAGTCAAGGCCAAAAGGAAGAAACCAAACCTATATTTGTATTTGGATCTGGAGCTTCATCCTCTGGTGAAGGCTTTACGTTTGGCTCTGGTGGAGCAAACCAAGGAGGTGATACAAAACCAGCTTTTACCTTCGGGGATTCAAAGCAAACATCGAATCTAAGCTCAGGATTTTCATTGTCCTTTGGCTCCGTAACGTCAGGGGGACTTGGAAGTGAACAACAGTCAAAGGCTACCAAAAGCACTTTTTCTTCTTTGTATGAACCAAAGCCTGGTGATAAAGCTGGTAATGACCACGAATGCCAAGAACGCCACGAATGCCACGAACGCCAAGAACGCCAAGGATTTACGTTTGGTCTTAGTGGTAAAAGTCAAAAAAGCAAGACAAAACCAGTTTTTAATTCTGGTGGTTTGAACCAAACGCCTTATCCAGATACGGTATTTTCATTTAAGCCAGGAGGAGGTTTTAGTAACCAGCACTCAAAGGACACAAGTGGCAGTCTCTCCTCATTATTTAAACAAATGCACGGTAAAGAAGCTGATAATACTAAAAATGACCACGAACGACAAGAAATGCTGAAGAACCGATTATTACTAATCGCGACCAAAGATGAAAAGAAAATAAAAGACACTCGAAAGGACAATATTGCGAAGTTTAAAAATACTATAGGATCGTGGAAGTGCGAGATTTGTATGGTGAACAACGTCAGTGATAAAGTCGAATGTGCAGCTTGTGGAAGTGTAAAGTCAGGAGCAGAGGTCATTAAAGAACAAAAGCAAGATTCAAAATCACTTTTTACATTCGGGTTTGGTGCTTCGTCTTCTGGGGGAGTCTTCTCATTCGGCTCTGGTGGAACAAGTCAAGGCGATTCAAAACCAGTTTTCACTTTTGGCAGCCAGAACTAGGCTTCCACCTCAAGCTCTACAGTTACATTAAGTTTTGGTTCCTTAGATCAAGGAGGAAATTTAAGCGGATAGCACACAAAAGCGACCCCTAAGGCTAGTTCCTTGATTGACCTAGCAGGCAATAAAAGAGCTGATAATACTAAAGATGATCAAAATCAGAATATTCAAGAAGGGCTAGATGTCAAAGAAAAACCCAAAGTGGAAGAAAGTAGTAACAGTTATCACTTTTGGTAACCAGAAACGAACATCCACCTCAAGCTCAGGAATTTCATTTAGTTTTGGCTCTAAGTCAAAGAGGAAAGTTTAGTGAAATCACACAAATATCAACTCTAAAGCTGATTCGTTACTTGAATCGGCACGCGAAAAAAGGAGCTGATGATGACAGAGATGATCAGACAGTCTGTTGGTTCGAACCAAATATACGATCTTTTATGTGGATCTACAGCTTCAAAAAGCTCTTGTGGAAAAAGTGTAGTAGACATGAACCAGTTTTCACTTCTTGTAACTCCTAATTAGTAGTTTCCAGGTAAATCTGATTCTTCATCATCAGGCGGAAGTTTTACGAATTGACTCTAGAAGAACAAGTCCAGCCGACAAAAAAAACCAGTTTTTATTCCTCGTTACTTAAATCAATCAGTATGGCACCATTGTTAACTTCGGGTCAGGAACATCATTCTGGTTTCAAAAGTCTTAAAATAGTCTATCTATTCGTAAACTTCTCTACCTGGGAGGATGACTTTCGGGAACTCACGTGGGAATCTACTAGGTCTTGATCTAAATCTGCTGAAGTACTGCTTAAGAAAAATGGAAATATAGGGTTGATTTAAAAATTGAAACCCGATAGAGTGGGGTTCGAAGATAAGCAATGGCTGTTGAAATTAGCATTGACATTCAAAAGGAATTTCTATGAATAATACTATTAAATTGGATTGCAAAAAGGAGAGAAAAGACTTTTAATACCCAATACTTCATTTGAACCTTTATTTTGACTCGAGGAAATAACAAACAAAATGTCTATCTTGTCAAGTTTATGAAAAATTAGCGTCTTAGAAATTTACAAATGTGAGACCTAAGTTAGAGAATATTTACAATAGAAAAAAAAAAAAAAAAGGTTTTTGTACCTAAAATTAAAGTAAAACATTTCAAAACTGCAAGACACATTGAAAAAAAGCAATGAGTACAACGGTGAAGGCCAACGGAGTAAAAAATGTCTCAAATAATTCAAGAACAGTGCCCTCCAGATGTTTCACTCCTCCTTTTTGGACATTTTATCTTCTCTCACTGAACAAAAGTAATCTTTGTCCTATTGGAGTTGATTTGCCAAACATTCAAGTCTTCATACTCCCCAAGACAGGCATCAAATTGATCTGGCGTAAAGCCCTTTGCCAAACATCGTTGCTGTACGTCTGGAAGTCTAAGATGAAAAAAAAGGGATTTATCATGTGAAAAAATTATCATGTAACTCGTCGGCATTATTTCCATCAATTCACCCCACATATAAATCCTAAGACTACCCTCAATTTTTGTGAAAACATTCATGACACCTGCACACTTTAAAATATGCAAGTGCTTCAACAGAAATTTGTTTGATCAATTGTGGAATAGTAATTTAGTTCTAATCACTTTATTCAAATAATATTCAAATGACTTACTTTACACTGCTAGCATCTCCAGCCATTTCTTTTACAATTCCATAAATTGCATCAACTGGGTTTACAGTTCTGGCAAAGAACAAATACAATGGTTCAGTTAAAAGTAGAACTTTTCAACCACACTTCACAGATCCAATGCTTACTTAATTAAACACCTTATATCCAGGGAACCAAATGGGTGCAAGGGAATGAGCTTTTAACCCTTTTACTTCCTAGCCATTCATAATTCTCCTTGCTGTCTGCCACACAATTCTCATGTTGTTATTTCTAATAATTTTGTATAGGATCAACTAATAATTCCCTTATTGAAATTTTTCTCCAGTTCTCATCACTTATCTGCTGGATATTGCATTGATATTGTAAGGATAAATTCTATATTGGTCACTCATGGGAGTTGAAAGTTTAAAGCAATCAAGTGAGCTTCTGGAGGGGTTATAGCCCCATCTACCATGGAAAATAAGTCCTCTGGTGCATTCACCATCTGCACAAATCTAATCTCCATGATACTATTCCTGAGACTTAACCCTTTACACCCTAGCATCAGTATCCATTTTCTCTATACTGTTCTCTTTACATTTCCTAAGATGCTAGCAAGGAGAATTTGTCTGACAATCACAAGCTTCTTAAGTTGTCATCATTTTCCTTAATCTCATTTCATTAATGTTCAATTCAGCAGAAATGCTGTAGGGAGAAATAATTTGCTACATGTGGTTACAATTTGGGGTCAAAGGGTTTAGAAAAATGTCATGCAAAGAAATGGGCTGATTTTTGTCTTCATAGCTTCTGTATGATCTTTGTGTCAGGTGGATTTTCTTACCTTGTTTTTGTTTCATCTTCAATTAAGGAAGCCTTTGACATCTCCATAAGTCTCATAGCTTCATTCACATCTTCCTTCTCCACCACATCTGCCAAACGGAGACGAGCCTATAGACACATAACAGAAACATTGCATTGAAACTACAAACAGAGGGGCCAACATGCAGAATCTACACCATTTGTATGTGAATGTGTCCCCATAACTCATTCAAACATACTATTTCAAGTGCAAAGGTCTGAGATAATCCAGATGCACTCCTCACACAGTTTCTTTGTGCCATCCCAATGGGAATTCACAGAGAGGACTAAAACCTTGAACAGAACAAAAAGGAAGATAAAACTGATCATTGAACCTTTCCCACTTTCCTTATCCCAAAACTGTACCCTTGTGTCCACCATCTGTTTGACTTTTCCTTTTGTTTATTCCAATTTGTTAGTCCAATGTGAATTAAGCATTACATGTATAACAAGTTTGGAGATTTTTGGCTTGTCTCTGTGTAGGATCATCACCTTGGTTTAGCATTTTAATTGAGACATATGTAAGGTTTCTTCTTTACAAGCTGTCCAATAAATCTTCAGCAAGGAATTTAAAGCAAAACGACAGTAAGTAGTGCATGTACTAACCAAGGCAGTTGCAAGACGCAGAACGGCCAGAAGTGTTCTTGCTGAGGTGAAAGTTGTGTCTCTGTTGGTCCTGGCCTCCTTTCTCATTTCCACATAAGCACTGACAATGTAATCTGTAAGTGTCTCAGGAATCAGAGGTTGTTTTTCCTTGCATGCAGCTATATAACGCCTGTGGAGGAAAAAATTGTAATGACTTAATGTGAGAAAAAAGTGCACCTGCATTCAGTCCTGATGGGTTATGCAATCACACTGTTTTCAATTGTAAATGTATTGGAAAACCACTCCTTTCACCAATACACAAAGACCTTTGCAACACATGCCACTGTGTTAGACACTGTATGACAGCATTTTGAAACATTTTCTTTAATTCATTAAGCAAAAAAACTTGAACATTTTCAAAATTCTAAAATCAAGTGTTCTTTCAAAAGCTTTATTTTCAATGCTAGGAACATTTTTAGTTTTTATTAAAATCTTCAAAGGTACATGTACAAGGAGATTTTTTCAAACAAAACAGCATCAGTGTGAAGAGGAATTAGGAGAAACACTTTTGCATACCATACCTCATAAGGTTCATGTCCAAAGATGTAAACTGCATTGGAGGGTGTGAGCTGTGCTGATGGACATATGTAATGTGCTGTGCCAATCTGCAGAGTAAAAAAAGAAAAATTCAGCCAGATGATTCTAAGCATTAAGATCATGCATCTCTGATGAGTGCTTTGGAGGCATGCATTTATTATTTGTCAGTTTTCTAGCATGTGCTCTACGATTTATTATTTTCTCTGAGGTCTACTGATCTGCCTGAACTCAACTATGTAGTGTAATCATTTGGGTGAGGAAAGTTATGAAAAAACTGGGTTACAAGTAACTGTCACTGCCATTCGGAACAATAATTTTCAGGACTGAACACTCACCTGAATGATCACAATGCAAGATCAAATTTATGCAAAACACAATCATAGAGGTCAGTGAAGACCATCAGAGTGGACAACCTCTCACCTCAAGTCATTATCTCTGTCTGGTTTATCCTGAATCAGCCAAAGCAAGTCAAATCTTGATAACAGTGCTGCTGGGAGCTGAATATTCTGTTCTGCAGATTTCTTTGGATTATACCGTCCATATGCTGGATTGGCAGCAGCCAGAATAGACACTCGTGCATTCAGGCTTGTCATGATTCCAGCCTTTCAAAACAAGATGTTAACATGAACCATTAAATCAAAATAATATTTTTAAAAAAATTGTGAATACACAATGAGCCATCATGGTCTAAAAATATCACAAAATTTCCCCTGAAATAATTTTGCTGGCAGAATTATTGAAAAATACTTGTCAAAAAAAGCAAAAGATCATTTTCCTTCTTACCTTGGCAATGGAGACAGTCTGCTGTTCCATAACTTCATGGATTGCAGTTCTATCAGAATCCATCATCTTGTCAAATTCATCAATACAACAAACTCCCTTGTCTGCCAGCACTAGTGCACCTCCCTCTGAAATGATCAATATGAACTTTCATTGAAGAATACTAGTCAAGTAACCTGTGATCTGCATATTGTTCAGTCTCACATCATTCTTGTGTTCATTATTTGGCAATTTGCACATTCATAATAACAAGAAATTAAGTACTAGAGGTCAGGGTACTCCAGTCTGTTCCTAGTAACTTGGATTCAAGCTTGAGATATAGCTTTTTTTTTTTTTTAATTTGGCCAGTCTAATTTCATGTAATCTCACTGTGTTTCCCCACCATGCAGTATAAATTGGTAATGGGAATTATCAGGCAGGAAAACTGGGGGGCAAACCTGTGATAAACATGTTTCACAGCCATCAGGGATCCCTCTTGGTGGCTTTGTTCTATGGATGGTCATCTTTGATGCTGATGAGCCATTCGGCTTGTAGACTGTACGGACACAAAGTTACAAATGTATTACATACCGAGAATCATTTCTCCTGTCAGAGGATCTTTCATTACAGCCGCAGTAAGACCAACCCCTGAGCTTCCACGTCCTGTGGTGTACTGACCTGAATAAGAATAAATTCAACAGTATAATAAATAAAGTACTAATGGAAAAGTAATTGATGTAATGTCATTTTTCAGAGAGAAAGATAATAAGGTTAAAAACTCCAATAAGCAGGAGCTAAACAAGTTCAATAGTTCCCTTAGCAGATTCATTCTGAAGCTCAATTACTCACTGCGAGGTGCAAGCCTGTCAATGTATCCCAGCATTTGACTCTTTGCTACACCTGGGTCACCCATTAAAAGAATGTTGATATTTCCTAAAGGATGAAGAAAGATAATCATTTCCACTTAATCACTTGTTAAGAATACTTATTGACCACAATTTTGAAAAGAAACAAACTATACTGACACACAGCAAGAACAAGGAATGTACCTCTGATTTTCATCCCTTGGGGAGTACAATCTACACCTCCTACCAACAACAGAAGTAATGCCTTTTTGATGTCTTCATGGCCATAAATTTCAGGAGCAAGTGACGAGGCCAGCTTATCATAAAAGTCTGCTTCTGTAAAAAAAAAAAATCCTCTGTCAAGAATCACCCACTCATTGAGGAGCAGTGTCATCATTATAACCCTAATTTCCGTTGTTGTCATCGTCATCATCATTGAAAAATTGATAGGGACCTACACCCTTGTTTCATCATTAACACTTTCATTCCCACAAGTGAGCAGTCACTAATTTATCCTTTAAATATCAATATATTTGTCCAGCAAAGAGGGAGTGAGAGAGTTAATTAGCCAGTGTTTGCACATATTAATTGAAAGTGCTTAAATATAAATGTATTTATGTCCCAACTTGCACTCATGTTGATCTACATTATCCTTGATGAACAAACAAAAGAAAATACACTTTCTCAGTGCTGCTGTTCAATAATCATGATCTTGGTAGTGAGAGGGTTAATTAGCCAGTGTTACACATCTTAATCAAAAGTGCTTACATAATATATAGATTTAGCCAAGCCTCAAAGCAGAACTCGCATTTTTTTTTCCTCACATGTCTCAGGGGCACAACACCTTGCCCCAGCCAGGACTAGAACCCAGGTCGTTTGACTTGGAGCCAGTGTACTGACTACTGGACTACTGAACAAAGCTGTGGCATTGGCGTGCCTGTAGTAAAGTTGACCACGCATGTTAAAAGTAGCACCTTGTACGGTCATACAGTCATACATCCAAATTTTTTCAGCTTGATAGGTTACTACTATTTTGTATAATTATGGGGCTATGCTCTGCAAGCTCCGCTATAAATGTATTTATGTACTGCCTAGCACTCATGCTGATCTATGTTATCCTTGATGAACAAACAAAAGAAAATATATTTTCTCTGTGCTTCTGTTCAATAATCCTGATATAAAAGAAACAAACCTTCAGACAATGCCCTGATTTCTTCATCACTTAGTTCCTCATTTCCCAGTTCATCATCTTCTGTCTTGTTCATTTTTACAATTCTCTAAAGCAAAGAAAAGAAACAATGCAATCAATTTAACTTGTTCACATTTACCTAAAACTACATGTCTATATATACAAATCAGGAAAGATGTTAAAGAATTCTTATATGTGAGACTCCAAAATCAAACCCCAAACAGTTTTGAATTTCAAATCGATTGAAAAACGATAACTTTCCAGATAAGCAAATTTTTGGGAAACTTACATGAGCCTCTAGAAATGTTTCTGATAACAATCCCTGGGTAAGCTGCCTAAATCCAGTCTTCATCATAGGGAGGAACACTCCTGTAGCAGCGATGTGATCCCCAGGTACTGCAAGACGAGTTGTTTCACCTTTTGCTATGACTGTCATAGTCCTTGGAATGTTTCCCACAGGAACTTGATCACTGTGTTCTTGGATTTTTAGTTCTTGGAATTTAACAAACTTAGAGCCTCTTGTTTGAAGGTAAAGACGACCACCAGCCCTAAAAAGGAAAGATTCAGACGATTTTAAGCCTTGAAAACATCTCATTCTGTGTCAGAATATATTCATGTGAAGAATTAAAAAAAAACATATTCAGTCCTTATTGGGGTATGCTTTCCCTTTTGCCAAAGCAACTTTTGTAGCTTACCTGCCTACTTAATAATTCTCCCAAAATGCCAATCATGAAAGGAGAGGAAGATGTCAGATACATGTATTTTTTAATCCCTAAGTTAATTGTACTCGACAACAGCCAAGAAAATAATTATAATAACAATAAATATATTTGAAGTGATGTAAAGGTTGGAGATCAAATTTCAGAACTTACTTGTTAACCTTGCACTCCTCACTGGGGCACATCAGAAGCGGCATAAATGTCTGCGATGAAATCTGGAAAAATGAAACATCTCAGCCACGTGAGTGCAGACACGAGATATCTTAAAAACTCTCCTTAAAATTTTCACTCATGTCTGGGATCAAAATAAAGCAAATAGTGTACATACTGGCTGATAAGACTCCGCACCACATTGATCACAAGTGTATGTTGCTACTTCAACAACTGGTTTTACTTCTGTGCACCTTGTGACAATTCCCCGCACCACAACAAGTTTACCAATGTTGTCAGCTTTCACTTCACGCACAGCACTGGCCTTGTGTGTGCTTAGGTGCTTAAAATACACCTCACTAGAAACAAAAATTAACGAAAAAGGAAAATAAAAAGGTCAATAAAAAGTGTGACAATCTGGAAACCTTTATCCAAGGTAAGTCAATTTCAACATAATGAAACCCTACATGAGAAAAAGACTATCAACCCTTTACACCCTAACATCAGTATCTATATTCTCTGTGCTCTTTTCTATAAGTTTCCTTTCATACTGCTAAGGAGAATTCATTTAACAATCAAAGCTTCTCAGGTTGACAATTATCCTTCATATCCTCATGATCTTAATGAATGATTCAGGAGTAGTACTGTTGGGAGAAACTAGATGCTGGTCACTCTTAGGGTTTAGGAGGTTAAAACACAGGTAAAAAGAAGTATTTTGCTTGTTTTCCAAACCAAAGTTTGGGTCCCCCATCAAAACTTCCCACTAAGATCCACCCCCCTCTCCCATGTCAGAGACTTACTATCTCCTAAGAAGCTCTGGTGGATATTTGTTCCTTGGGTCTCTTGCCTCTGTATCATTTCTGTTCCGCTGCTCCAACAGAAGGCGATGTTCAATGTACACATCTAAGGCATCTTTCACTTGAACCTTAAAAGACACAAAATTATGACAATTGTCATAAAACTGTTCACAGAACTGCACTGTGTACTGTTCATCAAAAAAAATTGTGTCTAAATTATTTAAGTTTGTCATTTGAAAATCATCATTATTATATTTGTGATCCTTGTTCCTTTAAGGTTTATTTAATTGGTGTTATTTGTACTTAAGTACAATGTGGTGATCACAGCTATTTTAAACTTATTTTCCCTGATATGTTTGTTGCTTGGGGGATGTACATAGCTGCTCATTTGTTTAACTTATTAGTGAAAATATAACATGTATATGTACATGACTGTATCAGTAGTTTTTTTTAGCTTTGGCTCAACAACTTCTTCACCAATAATGCTGACAATGTGACTTCAGCTTTATTTCTGAACACCTGTCCTACACTGTACCTCTCTCTCCTTGTAGTCTGGCAACATTTCAAACACAGCATCCTCAAACAACTGTTTGTAACGACGTGCATTTTCCAAAATGTTTTCTGATAACTCAGGATCAATCTACGTGTAACACAAGAAAATGTTGTAAATAACGTTACTTCCTGAATTTCTCTTCATTCTACTAACACTTGTATAACCAGTACGAGGCCATCGTTATGCACACGATTACTATTGGGCCGGATTTACACGAACTATCTATACTCTGGATGCGTAAAGTAATAGCATAATCGTATTTAACCATTGCAAATAACCTACTGATAAATGTTCTGTCGCATGCAGACAAAAAAATATGCTCAAAAGCTGACCTAATTAATTAGGATTCGGATCAAAGTCACTCCGCAAAATCGATCAAACGAAGTGCCTTACCTCGGCGATATCATCAAGCTCAATCAAGAGTTCTACCTGTTCGCGATGGGCAATTTTAACCTTGAAAGAAAACATTATTTAGAAACTTTATTTGTGGAACTAAACAGGATAATCTAAAATCAACTTGCTCGACCATAAATATATTTCTTGTTCGTTGCGTGGACAACAAAGGCAATAAATTTCAAACCACTCAAGGGGAAGTTATCCACAGATTTCTACTCACAAGCTGTTCTCCGTATTTGAAGTGTTTTCCACCGTCTCCGTCGAGGTAAAACTCTGCGAGAAACCGCTTTGCTTTGTCTGCAACGAGATCGATGCGAAATAAAACACATGAAGCCAAACCGTAACCGTAATCACTGTAATTGCAACACAACAACCAAAAGAGATCAAAAATCGTTCGGTTACCTTTTTCTGCTTGATAATCAGGCATACTTGATGCAGAATTTAAACTCTGAAGCAAAAAGACGTGCTTTACTCGTTGCCTAACTGGAAGACTTGATCTGTTCGACTAAAGCGTCGTGGAACATGTGACGAATTTGGCGCGAAAACCTCAGAGCCTTGCTGCATTGTGGGCAGAATGAATTGGTTAGGGTGTCGTGTAAGCCAACATGTAATGTCTAAAAAGTGCAAGCAGGATATCGCTTATATTTATAGTTATGAAAGAAGATCAGTGTCGGTTAAACTTTTGTAATCTTCAAGAAAAATCGATTCCAGAAGTTAGATTGAGGAGTGATTTTGTAATTTGCACTTGGAAGGTAAGAAGTGCATTTCTTTTACGTACGAATGTGGTATGAAGAATTAAACGACGGCAAGATGTGAATTGATCGTGTACAAACAAGCAATGATCAGAAAATGCAGTAAGATGCAAAGATTGCCTCAACTTCTAGTTTGGTCATATCATGTTTCTAGATTCTCCAATCCCCAATACCTTCAAACGTCTCCCCCCACACCTACCCTACTTTTGCCTAATATATACGCCACTTTTAGACCCACAGTTCCTCTAGCCTAACCCTTTCCATCCAAAGATCAATATGCACATTCTCCATATTGTTCTCTATACATTTCCCAAGGTGCTGACAAGGAGAATTTGTTTAATAATTAAGAGCTTCTTTGGTTGATGATCATTTCCTTCATTCTCCTTACCTTAATGTGTGATTAAAGGGTGATATTGTGTGGAGAAATTAAATGCTAATCACTCTCAGAGATGACAGACTAACATTTAATTCGGTAACATTCTGCACAGCCCCATACTATTGTAAAACAAATATTTTTTCCTAATGGCAATGTATTGTTTTTGTCATTGTTTTCTGAATCCAAGAACTGAACACATAATGTAATATAGGGCTGTGTGGAAATTTTTACTTTATTTGAGACCTCAGAAGGAAAGAAGAATAATTTTGATGTGATGCCTTCACTTGATAATGTTACAGGAAGAGTGAAACTCATCTTATTGAAAAATTTATTTAGCAAAAATTTGATGAAACACATTTAGATAAAAAAAGTTTAAGTTCACTTTTCAAATATACTGTAACTTTCATATTTTGCACAGAATGGCGATGAACACAGATGGATTCAAATAGGTAGGTGGGTGATGGTCATTCATTTTTTTGTACCTGCTAACAAGTTGCTGGTTACAGTTATGGATGGAATGAAGGAAACATCTTCTGACTAAAGAAGCTTACACCATCAAAACTTGTTGCTCTCTATGTCAATTTATCAGCACCCCAGATAGAAAGACTTAAAGTGAGAGTAAAGGGTTTTTATGAAGAATGTCAATTTATGTCAATTTATCAGCACCCCAGATAGAAAGAATTACAGCAATAATAATGAGTCTTTCTGAAGAATGCAACATAATGACCTGCACCAAGGTCTCAGTTCCAAACCTTTTAACCTGTCATGGCATACACTAGCCAATGGTTTCCAATATCTCAGATATTGTGATATCTTCATTTTTAGTTAAAGAAGCATTTGGTGAATTTGTGTCTGATTGGAGCGCAGAGAGATTTGTTGAGAGGTGTGCAATTTATCATTTCTGGATGACTCATTCTGAAGTAATTAGGGTATGATAATATTGTAAAGAATCCTCTGGGAGGCACTGTCCTAAAATATGTCATCCCCCTTAAGAGCTATTGTCAAAATTTTCTTTAACAAAGATTTGCTTTGTCAGTAAAAAATTATTTGCAACATAAAAACTCAAAAACAATTTCCCAGTGTACAAACTCTGCTCTAACCAGGATTACCTTTTATCACAAGTTTGGCATCAAAAAGAACTGTTTATTAACCTCTCTGCATTTTACACCAAATTGCTTTTTTACTGCAATACTCTACAACTATAGAGCAGTAGGCACATACAGTCATAGACTGTCTTTTATTTTGTACAGGTATGCATCAAGTCCTCTGTTCAAGGAAGATGGCTTTTTCTTCATCAGACATAACAAGAGATATGTAGCCACAGCATTTGCCTGGCAAGACAAATTGAACTCATTGGAAGGACGTCTTCATTGGTTGGCAGTCTTGCCTGAGTATCACAGACAGGGCTTGGGAAGGGCTCTTGCATTGCGCGTTCTTCTTTACCATAAGGATCATGGGAAGGAATCAGTGAGTCTTATAACAGAGGTGTACAGACATTCTGCCCTTAAGCTTTACAAAGACATTGGATTTGTTTGTAGTGCTGAAGAGACCTGACAAAGCCACTGGCACAAATTGCCACTGCATTGGCAATGTAGGTTTTATGCTCTGCCACTGGCATGCACAAGGGAAGGGAAGTGAGATGCTGGTGCCTGTCTTCAAGCTGGGCTCTAGTCAGCCATATGGGCTAAATTCTGACTTCCAGGTTCTCTGAGCAAAGTGCACATTTCCATTTTTTTTTCAATTATGTTGATTCATTGCAGCGGGTACTATTTTGCATAAAACGTAATAACTTGACCATTAGACTTCCGTCAAGAAAGGACAAAGCTTGTAAGCTTCGGAAACAGTGAATTTTTATAGACCTTCTTGTTTTATGTAAATAGAACAAGTTTTTTATATCATATCCTCCACTTGTTGGTTAATTCATTTTATTTCTTGAAATGTTTGTTTGTCTATTTGATGTTTTACTTTTGTAGTAACAAAAATAACTTTTAGAGTTTTCTTTTTTTAAGTAATTCCTAAGTAACATGAGTTCAATGTGTAATTTCTGCATTTCAATGCAGGCCATATTGAAAAAAGAAGTCTGTAACTGAAAAATCTAGTCTACTTTACCTTCAAAGTTACCCTGAAGGGTTTTATATCTAAAATAATTTAGGAAAATTACACCTTGAGATCGAAATATACAAAATATATACCAATAAAAGTATCTTTGAAGTTCTGTATTACATAGTCTTTGTTACCAACAAGCTTTTGGTATCTTGAGCTGAAGATGAAGGCCACTAAATTACGAACTTTAAAACACAAGTTTTGAATAGTTTTACCGCTTTTAAATCATACGCATGGCGGAAAAGATATCATCACTTTCCGGTTTTTTTTCTGATGCTGTTCAATAAGGTAGCATAGAATCACGCATATGTCGTGAGTGATGCATGTAAATTATAATAGCAAACATACATGTGCTTAGTCGCCTTTTCGTCCTAACTGGAACAAATATCTAAAGGGTTACAATCATCAACTCAAATTCAACTGTAACTTATTTCAATTCAAATGTTCTCTGACTCTTTAACAGGAGCTGGTCTCAAAATAATTACAATGTACATGTAAACTGCCTGAATTGCGGGAAAACACGAGTGACCAAGTTGCGATTGATTTTATCTTACATCTGATCGGTAGATAGGTCAGTCCGAGTTTTCTAAAACAATGTCGGAACATCGTGAAGAGCCATCGGCGAACGTATCTTGGTTTACTATGGGTACTCCGTTGAAATTGCCTTCACTCCAACTTGACCCAGTAGACTACAATCACATGACTGTTAATAAAGAGCAGTCCCAGTTTTATGTATTTCTTCTTCAAAGCTCACATTCTTTTGCTCGCCCACTGTAACAGCTTTTCCATTAGACGAAATGTTCGCATCCTTGACATATTTCCCACTTCCTCTCTTTCTTGCCCTGGCATTTTTCTTGAGCTTTTTCAAAAACAGATGTAACATAAATGTCAAAAACGAAAATACCATTAAAAATCCCACAACGGCGACAGCAAGAACTAAACTTGATAATGGCTTCTTTTCTAATTCCTTGTCGCTACTAGGCTTGGATTGGTCTACAACAAAACAAAACAAGTATTTTAGATCATTTATGTGGATGCTAAAGACGATTGTTTTAGTGTCTCGCACCAAGAAACTGACGGAGAACTTCAGATCATTTAGGTTGGCGTACAGTTTCTTCAAATGGTTCTGGATGTTTCATCACTCGGTGTGCATTGTAATATCATGCAAGTAGTCCTGTGCTGTTCATGCGGAATGAGAAATGTTCAGCTTAATTCGCGCCGGTACCGTTTTACTTTCTTAGCCAGCTCTATCAATACGATCATTCTTAATTTATAGAAAATGAAAGTGGAGATTGTAATTCTGTGTTCCTAGAAATAGACTATTATTTTATATTATTTACTATAATTTAGTATAAATCTGTATCATTATATCACAAATGCTGAAATCTGGGTGGCTCCACTACTCGGTGTCTATTCTGTGATGAAAAGTGAGTGGAGAGAGGCCCCTAACAGTGTGCAGTTGTTAACAAATTAGAATAAAAACACGAACCTGCCCGGTTATTACATTTTGAACGACTAGTAGATTTATAATAAAATAACTAAAATATTCGTTTCCCGTTTCTATCTGTGATAGTATATTCGGGCGTCGCCCTTGATCAGCTATCACGCGATAGAAATCTTGCACTCGTAACCTAGTTGTTAAATATATTGATTATTGACATTAAATAATTAGTTCATACTTAGCGTGCGTATATCGAGCACGCGGGAAGTTTGGAGAGTACGAGAGAAGGGTAAGAGGTGCTCAAGGCGCAGCCGAGCGCAACTCTAGCTTCTTAACTTGCGCCCGCGATATGTTTTTATACCTGTTGTGCCTATCTTGCTCTCCATGTTTGAATCGATGTCAAATCCTTCGTCCACTTTGGAGATAACTGCAGGGTTTGTTCTAAAGATGCTGGGAGTTGTCTCTGAAGAGAAAATCAGTAAAAAGTGAACAGTTATTAAAGAAAGGAGTAGTATAGCGTAAACTCTTTTCTTAAAAAAATCCCTCAACTTCTAAGATCTAACCGCCAATCTTCTTGTTGATTGAAACTCAATTTCTTGACGGGTTGTTTATAGTTTTTATAATTCAGCGCGTTATCAGTACATCATCCTGCTGAAGATATATATTTTTTCGTACTCATGATCTATCAGATGGTTTTAAGTTATGTCTGGAACGCAAACGACGGAAGGATTTAAATTAAACCTTGACCTCTTAACCCGGATTTATCTTTTCAAACGCCCGTGCACGTGTATTAGCCTTCAATCTTGGTTTCTTCAATTGCGGTTTAAGCCGTTTTTTTTTTTTTTTTTTTTTTTTGTCGCGGATGCCAAAAGATTATAATCAACACCTTAACAAACATTGCGATTATCAAGCGATATCCAATCACCACAAGTCCTAATATCCCTGCATTAGAGGAGTGCGGTCCGTTTGCTAATCAAGAGTAGAGACGCGTTTCAATGTTGTTTGTGGAGGGAAAAAACGATTTGCAGTTTGTAAATTTTAAGAGAAGTTCACCGAAAATTATGGTAAATTTCTGTTGTAAGGGTGCACAAGTTCATTTTTTTGTACTAACCATCAGAATTTATTCGCGGACAGAAATCGACGAGGGGTACATTATTAATGATACCAGAAATTACTTATCGTCATTTTTCACAGCAGGAAGAGTTAAAATCAAACCGGTTTAACTGAATGATAAATTTGCATTCCGTTATTGAAAACATGTTGGGCTAACATAAGCGAAATCGGCTCATATCCGTTGGAAAAAGAGTTTTTATTAGCTATATTAATTAATTGCTTCGTGTGCACTGTTACGGATGATCGGCAAAAGGAGTCATATTTTCATCGAGACTATTCTCAGTAGAAGTATATTTTCAGCGCATTTGGGTTTCGAAGGTTGCACAGAAATGGATTTATACACCTTATTCGATGTTTAGGGGGGTAGGGACGAGGAATAATATGGCCAATGAGCTGAGATGTTAAACCATCGAATAAGGGATTTATTAATTCACTATGATTTTAGTTTCTGGTATTTTTGCTTCCAGTCTTCGAAGTTAATCCCAAGGCCTCATCTGCGCATCGCATCGATCGCATAAGGCGTGCGCGAAAGAGGAAAACAACCAAAACGAAACTATCGAATTAAAAAAATATCTGAAGCGCTGTTGCCCTGCTGTTCTGCAATGCAATACCGCAGCTGATTTTGCGCATCCCAGTGCCCTAATATGATACAATGGCATAGTTGTGGAATGATAATTAAAAAGATAACACTGCGGACTAAACTTTCAATGATCTGACACCAACCTAACACTTGTGTTCCAGTTGTATTAGGCCACGGTACAGGCCAACGAGAAAGCTTGCACAAACCATCTCCAGCAGGAATTTCAGGGTGATAAGGTATGCACTGTGGAAAGTCGATGTTATGTTTCTTAAATTCCTCTTCACAATCACGTCTGACTTCCTGGCACATAGATGGACAGGTGTGAAGGGTGGAACCATCATTAGTGACGCAGGGTGCAGTCTCAATGAAGCAGGCTAACCGTCTTAACTTGACTGAGCAACTTGAGTTTAGGACTGGGTCGAGATTGCTGAGAAAAGACTGGAGTCGATGTCTTGTGTTGTTTCTCAGTCCACTGACATTGTCTTTCAAACAAGCAGGCCGACTTGCGGTTTCACAACTTGGTAATAATGGTTCTATAAAGCAATAAAAAAAAAGACACCTTCGCTTTAGTATTCTAGTTTGATGTATTATTCAGTCGTTTTAGTTGTCACAATTCTCCAAATATCTGACGAAAAGGAATTTAACGAATTATTGGTAAAACTTGACCTGTTTCTCCTTGAAAAGTTCTTCAGTGGCAATATTTCAAAACATTTTAAATTTTACTTGACAAGTCGCTTTGACACGGTCCTGTATCCAAAGTCCTAACATGCCTTTTTTCGGAAATGGAGATTTGTCAAGCGAAAAGCTAATTGACTTAACACTTGCTATAGGAAACTGTTAAGAGCTACGGCAGAATTCCATTTTAATGGACTGCGGGTTAAAGAGAATTTACTTTCAGTCTTCGCCAGCAAGTCATCCTTGTCAAGCACCTCTAAATCTTACTTTTTGTCACTGATAGCTTAATTCTACAGCGAACAATTCATGCTATGCTTTTGTCACGTGTTGCCTTGCCGATGTGAATGTTGTTAGATTCAATATCTTGTAAGTGTGAAGTGGTACAACCCAAAAACCCTACACCTATCTTTAGTAAAAGGCTTGCTCTCGAAACTTCAGACTTTCAAAATAAATTGTGGTAATGACTTAACCCTTCTCAACTTCAAGTTGTTAATGACTATAGTATTCCGGAAATTCCGTCAGCCCGCCAACGCACCAAATAGTGTTTCAGGAAAAAATTTAATCGGATTTTTTACGACTTTTGTTTTTATGATTTTTAAAATCTCATGGAACACAATTTTTAAGCCACGAATAAGAAATAAGACAACTCTACAACAAAACATGCAACAACTCAGCATGCAGACATTTGAAATATCAACAGATTTCATTGCCAGCTATTGCTATTTTTGGCATGGAACTTCTTCAATATCAGACCCTCAATAGGGTACTTGATTTCGCTCTTTCTTAAACATGTGTAAATCAACTTCTTTAAGCTAAAGTTTGAACTTGTAAGACAGCGGTGGCTGAGGGTGGAGCAGACGTAAAATCATACAGCGATGTTCAAAGTCACAAACCTTCAAGACTGAGAAAAGGCGAGCTAAGTCTGTCAAACAATTAAAAGAAATAATTTTTAAAAAAAATTGAAATATGTCATAGTCTTGCGATCCTAAGTGCGATAAACACGTTAATTCTGCCGACGTTTTTTTCCTCACGAACGGAACTGAGAAAGGGGGATCGTTTTCATTTTCTAAGTCTTCGAGAACAAGTTTTGAATCAACGATTTATCCACAATCACTTTCTTGATTTTCGACGCGGTTTCGTGTGTTGAGCTGTTTTGTTCTCCAAAAACAAATATTAAACACTTAACCCGAAAGTCTGTATAACGTTTTATATTTTCACAGTTAGTTTTTTGTTTGCACTATATGTAAAAAGAGGTTGCCATGACTACTGTTGAACAGCGAAAATATTTTTTTTTCATCGTCACGACATTCCGGACTTAAATATACGACGACGAAGCAATTTCCGAGTGTACAAATTTTTGCATCTAGAGCTGCCATCAGTCTTAAGTTTGATCAAAAGATACCTTTTTTTATTTTTCTTTCATGTCAAAAAAATGCATGCATTTGATTTTTTTAACGTTTCCAGCTCACCTGTTGAATAGCTGGAGCACTTGTAATTAAAAATATTAAGCTAGCGTGGTTAGTTTTTTGATCGTGAGTGTCTCCAGAGGATTTATTGATTGGTTTAAACCTGTCAAACAGCGTTCGATGTTAACTGCTCACGTGAAATTATAAGACGCTGTTAATGGTATGAAAATAAGTTTAAGAGTCATATTTTGTTTAAGAGTGAATCTTTGTTGATTTTTTAATTTAACGAAACCCAGCGGTTGCTTTATCGCGTGTCCTCCGAAATGAATTTTGCTCAGCTGAGGTAGACTTAAATTAAATTACACTTGGTACTTTTTAGTAAATGAAACCATGGCTGAATTGTTTTAAAATACTTGGGAGTGAAAAAGATATATCATGATAAAAATATCTTTAGTTGACATTGGCGAATATTAATGAAGATGTTTAAAATACTGTCAAAGCAAAGATTTAAACGATTTGTAATTAATAAGTTAACATTTTTTTTTGCAGGAAAACATTGTTTGACAAAACGGTATGACTCATAATTGCAAAAATGCTACTTGGAATGTAGAAAATATTTTAAGCCAACAGTTGTCACTAAATTTCAGAGAACATATTTACCCTGCACCTAAGAAACATACCTTTTAATGAAGAGAGTGTGTAGCTAATAAACTTCTTACAACATTGCAACAAAATGTGGAGAATATCATCCAATTATTTTAGCTCACCTTTTTTATTTGGTCGAGGAACAAATCCAGAAGGTTTTAAACACTGCATAGATGCTTCTCTTTTAGAAGAGAGAAGTCTACAGTAGGCAACGTAACGTCTATACAGTCCACTGTCTTTCAATTCTTTGTGACAATCGTCCAAAAATTGATCACACACTTCTCTACAGGGGAGTATGGGGCCTTCAACGTCCTTGGAACACTTTGGAAGGTAACGAGAGCAAACGAACATCCTGGAATACGGAGAACAACTGTTGAAACGATCAGAAAAGTAGGTGACTTTTGATGAGACATAGTCTTGATAACTCTGTTCTCCAATTTGTGAAAAATTCGCTGTAGATTTGTAGCCAACGTTGGCGCATGCCGGAAGCTTAGTGAAGTCAATTTGTCGGCATTTGCCAGCGTGTGTCGAATCAAGAGTAAGAAAAAACGTACAGTAAAAAAATAGAAGTAAAAGAAACATGGTCGATAGGTTTCAACTTGACGAGGAACGAAAGTGATATAATCATTTTCAAGTCAGACTGCCATTATAAACGACGGCAGAGGTAATTTGATATTGAACACTAGACCAATACTAAAATATCTCTGCTTCTTCTCAATTGAGATACGTGACATCGGTCATGGGACAATGAGACTATGGGAAATGTATTGATCTCATCATGATCAGATTTCCAGCAGAAAGGGAATTTTAATATGAAAATAATAATCTTGAGTGGGATAGGCTGTAACAGCATTTCTACATCAAAGAAACTCGTGTGACTAAGACGCGTCTAGATTAAATCAATTCACTTTCTAAAAAAGAGGAAAACAATGATTTATGATGAGTCCTCAAAGTATACACCTCGACGTTAAAAAAAGAATTTGACCGATGGTCTGGTATAGGAATGACATCGCTCGTATCTAAAAATAAATCACTGAACAAACAAAAACATAAATTTTAAGTTGTTTCCCAGACTGTGGTAAGCCTTCGAGTGCTCTCCATTACCCTTTTGAAAAGTAACTCCAGAAACATTTTCATTTTCATAGACCGGACACTTCACACGAAAGGCTTCTTTCACCTTTTAAGTAACTTTCGCTCAAATGACTAGTCATCCGGGCGAGGCTTCCGGAAGCTCTTTGGCATATTGTAACTGAGGGAAAAAAATTCTCACGATACGAATCCTTCACGACTTCACCACTATCAGGTGTAGAGAAATTTACAAATAGACTTTACTTATGCAAAGTGGAACAAATCTGCCCGAAGGATTTAGTTCTGATTACCACGATGATCTCGGAAAGGTGAAGAGGTAAAGATAGTTGTTGAAGTTTTCTATTCCTTTCCCTCCCTGGAGTGACCAACATACTTTCGCGTACGAAGTTTATGAGAAGAAAGAAAATCATCAAATGGGGCACGTTGATTGATATGACATCAATTTCTCAGAACTGAGATTATACGAAAAGTATGAAAGAGAGTGATGAGAAAATGATTTTACGATCTTGGAAGCGAGAAAGTTGAAGGACGACACCATTTTTTGAATCTATTTTAGCGTCTTTGAGAATAACCTTAAAATAGCTTTAACCTTGAAGTGATCCTTTGATTAGGTACATAAACATCAAAGATATAAAATAAACCAAAACAGAGGAGAGTTGATGGCATATGACGAAAATTGACACAAATAGCGAAAGACACGAGAACCGGCGAAGTGACGAAATTTGGGCTAACTCTGACGAACCGCGATATGTTAACATCTAGTCGAAATATTTCTCCAAACCAATAGGATGATGTAATTGCCGTCGCACGAACGTAGACTGTTTTTACATCGATTAAGATCTACGCAAAGCGTTGCACACAAAATTCCCGGCCGTCCGGCATTCTTTCCGCTTGGACGGCGGGAGGGATGATAGGAAAATACACATTTCCTGGTCCTTCTGCCGCGATCAGGCTTATGGAATTTTCTGAAACTCTTCCCATTTCGTGTTGAAAACAAAAAATATAAATATATCTATAAATATTTATGTGTGTATACTTTTATTATAGACAGTGACCAATCCTTGCCTAAGAAATATTTGTCTGATCGATTGACTGAGAGACCAGACTGGTGGACAAGCATAACTCTGATTTCGGCTTTTTTTTCCTCTCAGTTCTACCTGAGCCTGCTTTATTGGCTTAAAAAAGAGAAGAAGGATATTTTATTTGCAAAACAGGTTTATTAGAAAGCAAAATACAAGAAAAAAAAAAAAACACGAGGAGACATAAATCTTGAGACACTTACGGGAGTAAAGATCCTTGACCTTAGCTTTGTGAAGGAGCAAGTAAGTGACTCTTTCTTTTTTCCTATTGCATGTCAATAATACAGAGACAGCCTAAGTATTCTCTCGAGCCAGAAGCTCATGCCAAAAGTACTAGACAATACTTAAGATTCTTGAGCTCAGAATATCGAAAAAATGGTTAGTACATTGCATAATACACGAAGAAAGAAAATTATAAGCAGTTCAGCCAAAGAAACTCAGTAAACGTGTGGACCTCTCAGCTTTCGTTTATTTTTTCTACGAGATAGGCTTTGCGAACCGAGCTGTTCTCTGTGAAGTAAACTGTAAGCTTTATGAGATGGCAGCACTGAAGATCGAGATAAAGACAGCCACGCATAATTCATAACTATTCCAGTTTTCTAAAGGTAGGCTTGCCACCATCGACTTAATTTTGTACGCAGCACTCGACGTCAAATTTTAGTTCCATTCGGTCTAGTTACGACGCAATCGTTGTCCGCAAATGCAGCAGTCTTTTCTCGTTGTTTCACCTGAGCAAGTTACCATAGAGCCAATCATGTAAATCGTAATAAACAGTGCCTCACATTTGTCTGTTTTAAGTTCTCGATCTTTGATAAGGATTTGTGTCATTTTTGGTGGCGGGAAACTATATTCAGCAGAGGAGGACTATAGAAAATAATAAGATAGCATAACACAACAGAGACAACGATAAGTCAAGAAAGACGAGGTATGGCAAAGGATGGAAAAGATTGACAGATTTTAAATGACTCAAAAAGTTTTTCCTTGGTAAGATAGAAAAACACAAGAGCCAGAGGTGATAATAAACCAAAAATATTAAAGGATGGCTGAGGATGGAGGAGATTAGAACAAATTTTAAATTATGAACTTGAAACTATTACGCTCGCCAAATTTTCTTATGATATATCATATGTTTTGTTAAAGGGCAGGAATTAAATAAAAGCTTAACCAGTGTCACAAGACGTTTGATGGAAGAAGAGCAATGACCTCTCTTAAACAAAGACTAAGAAAAATAAGAGCCTTGATTTCGCGTTATGCAGTAGGGTTATCAGGCTCGGTGTATGTTGATCTCTGCTGCACATAACCGCTTGTCCTCTGATGGTAACGCCTGCGCACAGCAACGGCAAGATAGATGAAGATCACTGCAAAGAGTGGCACCAAAACGAGGGCAGCAATGAGACCTGGGGGAAAGGACTGAGGCAATATCGTAGTGGTCCGTGAACCTGAAAGGGAAAGAACAAAGCTGGTTAAAATTTGAACCCCAAAGAACTCCAACAGCATGGACTGGACTGCTGGATAACGAAGACGACATTGATGCAAAAAGGATATTTAAATTTTACACTTTTACGTTAGATACTAGAGGATGACTAATATCTGCCAAGTGCCTTTTCTGTCGTCTGATTTTTAGTTTTCGACTGAAAATGAAAAAGCTTTAAAAAATTTCCGCCGGCGCCGCAGTTGACTCAACATTTATGATTCACGTTCAAAATGTGTTTGGCAGAGTATGAAAATAAATTGTCTTCCTGTATCACTTGGTTGACTGACTTGGTGTTGACCAACGTATTTTATAAACGGAAAAAATGACATGATCGTTATTCATAATATTGCGAGGTCTATATTTGTTGATAAAAAAGGAAGAAAAAGAGAAATCATGGAGGAAGTCCGTGAATATTGCCAGATTGCTTAAAATTTACGAAAGAAATGACCTAACTTTCTTTACACAAGTCGCTATTTTTGGCCGCATAAATTGTAAATAACAATTCCGTGTTAGTAAGGTTATGGGGGCGTCTGAACTGGCGCAGGAAATACGAAGAAAATTGTATTCTGGTAATATATAAATATCGACCAAAGATTTTTATATAGTGCACTGGTTAAGTAATGTAAAAAAAAAAAAACAGTGAGACCTCAAAGACTTCGTACGAATGACAAGTTTATGCACGCATCCAAAATTGGGAAGCAAAGAGAATGTTACTAGAGCACAGACACTAGGAGTTAAATTTAACTTTTAGAAAATCTTAAAAAAATAGCTATGATGCAGAAAAAACATGTCAATTGTGTCTTACGTAGATCGTTTAAACGAGCTGATATGAATAACACTTAAATTGTTGAAACTGGCGAAATCCAATATTCGAACTGCACGTGTTTGAGACATTCTACTGACAGATGATTTGGAATTTCACGTGCTTTAGGCACTAAAAAGGGTTTTGCATTGACGCGACTGGAAAATTGAATTTTTTTTCTATATTGTTCATATATTGTATGCTGGAAATTTAAACAGACATCATTGTAGTAAAAGTAAGGTCCCCTCCCAAGGCAAGGAATTATTACGTAAGAGTTCTTAATTGCAATGATTTTTTCTCGCTCTGATTTGCAAGAGCATTTTTTTTTTTTTTTTTTTAACAATTTTATTGGCATTCTACTGAGTTACAAAAGTAATAAACGAGAAGTTACACGTACAAAAAAAATTGCCAAAAGGGAGTAACGAACGGGACGTGAGTACCCATGCAAGGAAACTCCCTAAAACTTGTATGTACAGTAAACGAGCGTTTGTCAGAGAACGCTCTTTTTTAACCTTAACTCTCCGAAATTTCCTAAAGTGTCCTTTATGTGGTTCATGATTGACACAAGCGAGCGTCTTTCCAACCTTAAATGTGTCCAGTGTGTCAGCAATCATTTTGTGACGAGGCATAATTGGACAGGCTTTTCTTCAAAAATTACGAACAAAACATTACGCAAGGCGCGTTCATGTTGAAAGGATTTGTTAAATCATAACGAGACTGAATATCTTGCCGCGCTAATTAATGCTACGCAAATTTTATGTTCGGCACTAAAAAAAAATTCTTTTATTTTCCTGTGGGGAAGAGAGGGGGAGGGGGGGAGTTTCAAAGCCTCCCCACTAACCCCCCCCTTCCGCTACGTATGATGGTGTCTTAACGAATAGTTGTGTGCTAGTTATCTCACAACAAGCTAGCAATGACATCAACTCTTAATAACAACCTACAATGCAGTCTTCATTTAGCTGGTTAATAATGGTAATTGAACTGAGTGGAGTGTAATTTGGGCTGAAATCATATGCGTGATTTCAAATTGGAACGAGCGCGCAGCGCGAGTTCGATTTGAAATCACAAGTATGATTTCAGACCAAAATTGCACGATATGAGGTTCAATTACCATTTTATTACATTCATTTTGAAATCGCTCAAATATAGGACTTGGTCAGTTAAAATATTTTATTGATGCAATACTGAGCTGGTTTGAAATAAATTCATCCATTTCTAGGGGGAAAAAATAACAGTTTTGGAAACAAAAGTAGCAAAATTTGCCTCATGATACTCTTTGTCTCACACTTTACTGCAATTTGATTGGTTTCTTTAAACAAGCCTTGAAATCTGATTGGTTGTTTTGTTTTTTAGTGTAGCCTCCTCGTTGGTTGGGAAAAAGATGGTGCAATTGGTAAATAAATCGCACCAATTCGAGCCAATCAGATTGCAGGGACTACCAGTGATTTCAAAATGGGTGTAATAAAGATATTAATCAACATGAAGATTTGGTTGCTCTTTTCAAAGATACATGCTCCTTGACAGAGCTCCCCTATTTCCTCACCTGTTTCCCAATGTCTCGCACTTGGCCACCTGTTTAGCTTGCAAAAACCGTTGTCCGAATATCCCTCAGCCGGCTCAGCGCAGTAGGCTACCACACCCGGAATATCAGCAGCTCCTTGACAATTATCGAACAGGTAAACACATTCCGTTCTGCACAGCGTCTCCATCTTGTTTCTATTACATGGCGGTGTATACGATGCACAAGCCAGCTTCGCGAGAATTGTCTTACACTTCTCATTTGTGCTGGAGTTCATCATGCGTCCCATAGCCTCACTTTCTTTATCTTGGAAGGTTTTGTTCCGTTGTGTTTTTTCCGGTACAATAGTGTTCTCAAAGCTTTTACCGCAGTTTTCGTTTAGAACCTTTGCTTTACAAGACAAACCTGTGCGTATTACAAAAGAAGAAGGAAAATGATCACTTTTGTTGACTTTGACAACAAGAACATACACGGGAGGTGGTGCGGTTTTGGGAATGTGGAAATCGTGGAAGGCGTTGATTCTCTCCGTTTTCCTATTCACTTGTTGAATAGTTAGGGAAACTTTTTCCTTGAAGCAATTTCAGACAAAACGTTCTCCATTGAAAATGGAGACGGGGCATTTGTTTGTTTGTTTGTTTGTTTTTAATTTATTGTGATAAAACAACGGTTTTTTTCCTCACAGGAATAAATATGTTTTGAGCCCAACTCAGAGTCATTTTAGGCCGAGCCGCTAAGCGAGGGTTAGAATGACTCTGAAAAGGGCCAAAACATATATATGCTCAAGAATATAAACTGTACTACTAATACTACTATCAACACTTTGGAAGGCATTGAGAAAATAAAAACTGGCAAAAATTTCAACAAAACAGCCTGAACAATAACGCCAGTGTGCGAGCGGGTTAAAGTGTTCTAAAATTCATTATAGCTCGAAAAATGTATCACAATGACCGACAAAGTGATGACAGTTTTCAGCTTAGTCTCTTTTACTTTTTAATTGATAAAGAAGAGACCTTTCCGGTTTTTGTCACGGTCTCACCATTTCACCCTCGATATGGATCATTTTTCTTGGCGCTTTTGGTTTACAACTTATTTTCATTCCGGCTTTTAGCTTTAAAACGCGTTGATGGTAGTTTTGGTCAGTTTCCGGTTTCTGATAGACATCAGTGCCCCCCTTATTGCAAAATGAACACCCAGATTTTATCGGTATTTGGAATGCAAGCCTAAAATGTGGTCCCTAGTAGAACCCATTCCTTCTAGGTATTCGTAGTGAATAAGAAACAAAGAGAATTGTAAGGCCAACATCAGACTGTATTGTTGCATGACGGCAAAGTAATTTAGTGCTCAGAGAATTATGCAAATAGACTGTTTTCATTGTCATGACTTATGATAAAATGAAAGGAAACAACAAACTATATTTAGATATTCATGCATTGTAAAGGCTACTGGAATCCATTTTTCGTCGCCCGTTGTTCGTTGTTTGTCGTTCTTCGATCTCGAAGAAAGACGTAACGTTTCACAAAGAGCAATTTATAAACTACAAAACAGCAATTCCATGACTTCTATTCAATTCAACAACGACGTGTTTGCCTACCTGTAAAGGTTGATTTTGACGGCGTGAAATCCTTGGGTTTAAAACATCCAGGTTTTTCTGTCTTGTTCTGTAGAACACTGCATAGCGATTTCAACCAGTTCAATCCAGTGAAATCCATCTTCGTGCCACAGTCTTTGACAAATTCCCAACAAACTTCTTGGCAAGGAAGTAAGGGTCCCTTCTCGCTGCTATTGCATCTCGGTACATACAGTGAACACAGCATGAATGCTGTGTACTTTGAGCAGTCACCGAGTCTTTCCATGACGTTTTTTATTATCCCCGCATAGCTCCTGGCGTAATACTTATTCGCAAGACTTATGACCGTGTAACTGAAGCCTTCTTTCACACAAGCTGGGAATGCTGTCGCATTAACTTGACCACAATGTGATTTCGCCAAGATTGGGTCGCTCTGCTCCGTCTGTTGAGGTAGATTTGTGAAGAATACAATGAAAGATATGTATAAAACAACTTTCATATCCATCCTTGTTCACAAACGTTTTAAGACTGTCTTAATATGCCATTGGATTTTCATTAAAACTCATAACTTCGCATCATGTCGGACGGTTACTTTCATTACGCTCGAAGAATTTGCTAGCACAGCGTGACGCATTCCTCAAAATTGTTATTGACCTATTGAATGGATGAAAAGTAATTAGGATCGTGTGATGACAAAAGAAAATTTTTATTGCGTTAAATAGAGTGACAAGGGTTATAAGAATAAGGCGCGCCGCACACAAATGAGAAAACCGCAGCATTTTAAGACTTCTAAACCTAACGGGTAAGGGTTTAGCGTCGGGTTCATGCATATACGGCCGATTAAATAACGCCTGAAATGAAATTCAAAAGCCTTGAAGGGTACACATGACAACCACACTAAATGCTCCTGGTGAACGATGGAAGGTATCCAAACTTTTCTTAAAGAATCGCCTAAAATAAATTAAATTTAAAATTAACGTGTATTATGAGAAATTAAAACCACTGGTCACCTGATTAGGTAACTGTACAAATACCTCTCATAAAACCGTTGGATCCTCTCATTCATGTCACAGTGATGGGCTCCTAGCATGGTTATCATTTACTGCTGTACTGTCAAGGTTTTTCCAATCGAGTGTAAAACATCAAAACAAGTTAAGTATCAGTAAAACCTTGTCTCACATTCTGTATCTATTATCTAGCTTAGCCCTCAGATGTACAATGAGGGGATCGGTGAATGAACCTCCCCTCCAACCCCCCCCCCCCCCCCCCTTTTTCAACCTACATAAGAAGATTAAAGCCAACACCGGAAATTCACAACAGCTTTAATTCACATGTCAGTCATGCTCGCTGAGAATCTCGATGGTGGAGATCGGTGGCCCATGCGTCTCCAAAAACCCTCCTCAATCTCCTTCCAGCCGAGTCTTATTTGCTACCATCCTTTTTTTGTCACGCAACAAGATCTGATCAAGGAGAAGTTCCGTGACAAGCCCAAGTAAGGGCCTTGAACAGAATACACACATTTACAAGTTGGCCAAGGACATACTAACTGACAATAGGCAGACAGTTGTAGCAGTCAATCAGTCGGTCAGACAAAAAAGTTGAAGCAGATATGAATAATTACTTAATTTATTTCACTTTCTCCTTCCTCAGTACTGAAAAAAAATGTCAATACACCACAAAAAATAGAATTTAAAAAAACTCATAAGAATATTTGCGAGGCCAGCTCATTTTATAGTGCATCGAAAATTTCAATTATTTTTTTCTCTGAGTAGAAATCTTTTTACCCTTTTTTTTTCAATCACGAACCTTCTGTTTGATTTAATCTTTGTCATCATAATATCTAGTTCAAGAAAATTAAAGTCTTATTTGTCCATTCTTATCACTTGCTGGCTCAGTTCTCCTCTCGCATGGGTCATCTTTTTTTGATCTTTTATTTTTTCTAATCTTCCCAAAAGGACAATCATGAGCTAAAAATGACGCTTTTGATCAGTGCTTCCCTTGTCGTTGCGTCACTGATTCTAGCGGTTCAACTGAGCATGTGCAGCTCCTGGCCTGAAGGTGAACTGAAGGCCATCCAAACTTTACGCCGTGCAACACGAAACATTTGCGCATGCTCATGTTTTCAGTGCCACAGTAGTTTCCCATTCATTTGAGGGATGACGTTTGTACCCCAGTACCCAGCAAACCTGAGTATATCGACGTCGTTTAAGTAGCAAGAGGACAGCAGCAATTGCGATGATTGAAAGCACCACTACGACAGTTGAAACTATGATGGCGACAACTGGTAAGGAGTTCCCGGTGCGCTCGCGCAAAGGAACAGACCTTTCAACTGGTGAACCAAGGGTAAGTGGGGTACGTGAGGGCCTGGCTATCGTTAAACTGTGACTACGCGGCAACACTGAAATAGACGCAGATAAACAGAGTTCAGTTAAATGCCCAACAGTGTGGTAAAAGGGACATAGACAGAATGTTGCGGGGAGAGGAGTTATCCGTTCAATTTACTGAAATTGCGCTGGACTCCAAGTCGTGAGGTGCTAGCTATTTTCTTTATCTATCTGGTTCATAGTGCTATGTTCTTCTGTAAAGCACCTCCTCAATCCACCGGTGCTTCCCTCATCCAGGTATAGAACCGTAAAGGAAATCTAACGAGTTACTAGAGGAGGGGGGAGAGGAGTTGAGATGGATTAGCGTCCCACGGAGGGGAGAGGGACAGCCATAATGATTATGCCAGTCGCTTCGCGTTCGCGGAAACCGGAGGACGCACTCGTACCAGGAGATTGGTTTATAAAGAAAAACTTTGGCGAATTATTAATTATAGAAATAGTTGGGATTTGATGAGGCATGAGCCACAACTTACCTGTAGTATTTGGTTCCGATGGCCACCGCCCCGCCGTCGGCCATTTTGTCAGCTTACAAAATCCATCTAAATCACTCTTTTCAGTCGCCATTTGCTCACAGTAACTGTTTACCCCAAAGTGTTCTCTGTACAATTCTGGACATTCCTTTTGCATGCTTTCACAATCGGACTTGCAAACTGTTCGAAGAACAATTTCGGTCTCATCCTCCGGAAAACATGGCGGAGCAAACTCTGCACAGAAAATCTTTTGAAGTAGTGACGAACACAAAGAATGATTTCCAAAGTTACCCAGCCTTCTCTTGAGTACGATGTCGAGAATCCGCTGTGATGCCAGAGATTGGGTTGTATGATTATAACCAAGATGGGAACAGGAAGACATCGTCAAGCTGGAGCAGCTCTGTGTGAGAGGCTCTGCACAACAAAGAAGGAAAAGTTCCAGAAAATTTAAAAGAAAGTTAGACACTCGCACGTTTTAGATACTGGTGTGGTTGAAAGGGAGCAAAAGGGATGCGTGTGATCCCTTTGCTGTCATATAAAAGATTTATTTTAAAAATGCATAATAAAAACCTTGCCGCTCCAAAAGCCAGCGGGACGATCGTGTAAAAAAGACTAGTCGAAAACAGGTGGCTCATGGCAAAACATTGTCAACAGGGTTAGTTTCGATGGATGAGAATATAGCCACCCGTGTAAAAATATTTTTGTGGAAGCGAGTCAAAAGCCCTCCCCTAGAAACCCCTAAGCACTTGAACTACAATCGCGGCGAAATTGCCCAAGTTTAACGCGCATGCAAAGACTTCGTCACTAAACCTTAGCAACTGAGCGTCTTCAAATTTACCTCTCGTTACAGCCAAGGAAACGGAGATAGATTCACACATAATTTACAGGGAAAAATCCATTTAAATTATTATACTTGACAAAGTTGGTTGTCGTGCTCGGCCATGAACGTATCAAATAACCTACAGGGCTGGCACGGGACTTGCTCGTTGTTTGTCAAAGGTTATAGTCGCCCACTTATCTGTTCAACCAAGACTTTTTGCAGTCTGTTATTTTCGGAGGAAACAATTAGTATTTCGCGAGTTATCTCACTGGTAAAAATATCCTAGTAACAAGCAATTTAACTGTTTATAAAGCTGTAAGGTAATTTATCAACAAATAAACGTTTTGGATGCTGAAACAAAGAAACTCAAATAGAAGCCACTCCCAGGTGAAAATTTATTTTGGGTAGAATGTACACAACATTTTCGTTTAAGGTAAAAGGTCCGTTGTTCAATTAATTATTCTATCTGACTTACAAATTTCTACTTTTAAGCGAAGTAACCTCAATTGTTTTACAAGTGGGTGAGACTTCGCGAACAAACTGAATAAAATTATCGCCGGAGAAGAAATTCACATGTCCACCGCGAGATTTTTTGCTTCAAATTAAAACAAAACAGAAAAACATTTGTCAACCGATACAAACTTACACGTGGTCTTCATATCCAATTTCCTTTTACGGTTTCTTTCGAAAGCGATAAATGCAAATATTTTCCTTTGAAAAGTAACCGGCAATTGCAAATCTCTGATTAAGAACAATTCGTGCGAACGAAGACTCATTTTATCATGAATGTTTAAAAGGCCATAACCTTAAAATAGATTTTTACTTACTTGTGGCGTTCACGTTGAGTCGCGGCTTGTAATTTCCCGGCAGATAGCATTTTTTTTCGTTGTTGTTGTTCTCCGATGACGGCAGCAGACGGCAAAGTCCTTTAATCCATTCTAGTTTTTCGTATTCCACTTTTGTCTCACATTCTCTGGCAAAATCTTCGCAGACTCTTCTACATGGCAAAACAGGGCTATAGTTTTCTTCCTCGCATTTAGGGACATAAATAGCGCACATAATGGTATCCAAATATTGCGAGCAATGTCCAAACTGATGTACTTCCCGTTCCAGATTATGCGCGATGATGCTTTCGTGTAGCGTAGAATTACCGGGAAAATTGGCCGTGAAATTAAACCCCGCTACTTGAATACATCTTTGAAATAAATTCGGATTTAGTCGTTGGCATATTTGGCCGAAAATGACGGGCAAATACACCAAAAAGAGCGAAATTATCGCTCTTGGCAGCGCTGCATTCATCGCCGACCGTTGAGACAACCAAATATCAACACGTGTATATGAAGAGCGCTTTAAATATGTTGGCCCATGATTTTAAAACTCAGCGGAGTGATGAATTGACTGAGTCACGCTGACCGCAGGGATGGCTACATTGCCATGGAGATAATGTTGGACAAATCACCGAGGAGCACGTTGGTCAAGTGACTAAGCTCTCTGACATGACCGAGCCGCCTGGCCAAGTTTTTAAGGCTTGGTTACATCCAGGCAGGTGTTTATTCAGTTTAAGCACAGTATGAAAGCCACAGTTTTTGATCAGTGATTTGCATGTGATGGCTAGATCTTTCACGCTCTCGTGCAAAAATAAATTGTTATTAATCGACAATTGCCTGATGGCTGACAAAAGGCCTGGGTAGTCACGCCAGAGTGACAAGATTACGACGAGTTTCTACGGATTGATCTGACAAAACTGCAAGAATTTAGCTGTAAGCTTCGATGAAAACATCGCGCGAAATAAAATTAGTAATCAATGCCAGTGCACCCCTGAAGTCACGTATAATTTTCGACACAAAGAAGAATGACTGTCACGCTTCAAGAAATTTGAGAGTGCGGAACAACCCCTTTGACTTTCTGAATGGAAATAGTTATACAGATTTTTATAAATTGTGCTTCTGAAAGATATTAATTTGTAAAATATTATTAAAAGCGCTGTTAAATAATTAGAAGATCATATGGAAATTACAGTCCAGCGATGTATAAAAAAGGAAAAAAAAAAGAATTACCTTTATCTTAATCATCACACGTGTGAAGGTGTATAAAAGTGAACCTCATGACCTGTTTGTACCTTGAAGTAAAAGAGGTACCGGAGTGGACTTTACTTCTTTTGTGACCGATTCCAAAATTATAGTTTCATTCTGATACCGTTTCCTTGCGTTCACTGATGGAGTGTTCTTCATTCAAACTGCAAGAACGGTGGGACGACATTTAGATTGGGAGGAACAAAAAGCAGGTACTGATAGTAGGAACTTATTCCTTAACCCGAGGCCATTTTTTCCAATTCTCCTTCTTTTTTGAGCGTAACAAATTGATCCAAAGAGAAAGGACAAATTGAGGTGATCTTTAGTAAGCCACTCTAAGATTAAAAATAACGATAATTGATTATGTTAAGTTGAATCATGAACAATGATAATCTTATAATTTTTTAAGGTGTATTACAACCATAATCACATAGTTTTTAATTTGTTTCTTGTACTTTCCTTCGAATTCACGAATCTTAAACCTCTCATGGGCCAAGCTTCTGCCATACATTCGGTTGGCAACCGTAATTCTGCTTTCACTGTGGACTGGGGCACTTGTAACTTGAGTTTTTTCTATTGATATCCTTTTGGTCTCTAACCCTGAGCTTATCAGTGACAAAGAATGAAATACAGCCTGTGGCACTATCATTTCAAGGTCTTTCAAACGTTGTTATTTCAGTTTATCGAGTCTAATGTCTTAATCTTTATATTACAGTTATCAACCCGGTTAAAGTTAAACAGTCTGGCGTGCGTCATCATGACCCTGGCCCAAGGTAATTATGTTCACAATCATGCTAATTCAAGCTGTTTATAAGCGGAATTCAATTGGAAACAAACACTGATATCATGTTTTATGCAAAGAATTCCATCAGTAGACCACGACGCCATTTCTAGACTGAAGTTACTTAAAAAGAAGTTGGACTTTCCAGAGTAACACGATAGGTGAACCGAGCCAGCACCAAAAATGCCCCTGCTTGCTTTGAGCGTTATGCTCCTTTGCAGTTTGGATGCTGCTTTAAGTTCACCGGATCAGTGGCTCGCACAAATGAGGTATTCGCGATCAACAAGTGATTCAAAGTGTTACAGTTTTACCGATGGCCCCCTCAGTTTCTGCTCGAGGAGTGGTTACAACACTACGTTCAAATACCCAGAAGAATTGACGGATTCAATACTTAAAGGTGTCGCCATGTATGTCCAACAAGTGGTTTCGACTTTCGACAACTGTTCTATGGATGCCATTGTAGGAGAATCATTAATGTGCTCCTTCTTCATCCCACACTGTAAGGGCGGAAAACGAATTTACCCTTGCAAGCGGGTCTGCGGAGAGTTTTTGAAGAAATGCTTGCATATGATTCCTGCAAATTTTGCAGATTACCTCATCGCGATTTGTCATATGCTTCCAGATAAAAATGATGATCGGGAGTGTTTTGAGCCACCGAACTTCAAAACAAACGACAGTGTCAAAGGTTAGAGTAATTCAGAGAGTTAATCTAAATACTACTAGCGTCTTCATTAGGTTCGTTTAAAGTGAGAATTGAGTGCTCGCGCTAATTAGCTCGGTGGATATTCTGTGTGCACTTCAATATGTCGCTTAATTTCTAAGTTCTGAAAAACAACTCAACTTTTCACATGCATTTTCAAAATTTTATCTTTTCAAATTCAATAAACATACAAAGGTTTTAAAAGATGGCAAATTTGGAGCGTTGCAGGCGTAAAGTAGGTAAACTCTGCTAAAATCTTCCCCAAAATGTTAGAAAACAGTGGCACAAAACACTCGACTGACTTGGTAGGAAAACATCCGATCTCACGGGATATTCCATGCATGATCGCACAAACTGAATGCTCTTTTGTGATGTGTTTAGTGTTCATGACTTTTACGTAGATGTTTTCTGTTTGAAAGATATGCTTTGTTTGTGATCTGATTGGATTATTTGCATGCGGAATTTCAAAGCAAGTCCAAATTCCAGTTCCGGCTGTATGCAGATAGATGTCGTTACTTAACAGGGCTCTCGCTTCTTACCTGATCTAATTTACTGAAAATAATTCGTAGATCTGTGCTATGGCCAAACATGACACTTCGTAGGTACTGATTTTTTCCGATGTGTCGTAAGAGCAGATACATGCGCAGAGAAAGTTATATTTTTTTGAGCGAGATCCTTCATGATTACAACCACTCCAACCTTTTGCATCGATCAATTGAAAGCTTCAACAATCACCCCCACCCAACCCCCTCTGGGCAAACTTACAGGCATTTAACTTTTGAATTAAGGTTCGTTTAAATTTCCAAACCCTCCCCCCTCCCCCCAGGCGAAAATTGTGTTCGAGAGCTCCACCCAAGTACAATTTTTTTAATGGAACGATTCTTTGTGTGATCAACGAAAGTAGTAGAATTTACCAAAATTTTTTGTGCCATTGTTTGGTTTTGGTGTTGCGAATATTTATATCTGATTAATTTGCTTACGAAAGCGGATTCTTACCTTTTAACTCCCTGTAAATTCAACTGGTATAAATTCCCAACCTTACCCAGGCAAGGTTCAAACTCCCCACCCCCGGGGCACGACGACAGTCAAATGCTCATGTATACAGTGGATGGCTTAGAGCACGTTAGGGTTTCTATTTCGTAGTCGTTCCCATAACTGATACTTTAGATAAAGTGAGCAGGGAGGAATTGGAACAGACCCCCTCTCCCTTTAAACCTCGTAATTTCTCGAACCCTCCCTTTCCAATTCTCTCAGTTATATCCTTGGTAGAGACCACCTCACCTCCCAGGCTCCCCTGCGCTTCAAAAATAAAAAAAGCAGCAATCATTCTTAAAGAAATACCTTTACATTTTTATCACTATTTTTTTTAACAGGTCCCTTAGACCGGGGCTGTCAAGAACTGATTCTTCCAGCATGTAAGAATCTTGGTGTGTCCAACCACACTCTCTTATCAGTGGCGTTTCAGAAAACATTGTATGGGTTCCAATACAAAAAGCCTTACCTTGCAGGAAACGTGGACCCAGGATTTCCACCAAACGTGCAAGAAGTTTTAAAAAAGTATCCTAAGTGTCAGGAAAATATCAAAAAGCTTTATTGTGGAGAGCGTTTCCCACCATGTTTCAAAGAGGAGGGGAAAGGATTTTACTCCATTTGTAAATCGGTTTGCAGCGAAATTCTTAGAGACTGTCCGAACTTTTTCAGGTATCTATGTCTTCGTTGCTTTTTTTTGCAGGTGGTTGGCGATTTAAGAAGAATTTATCAGTTACGAGTGGGGCTATTTATGGTCTCTTCGGAGTAGCAGTTGGGGAATGTCATGTTATTATATCTCTGTGAAGATTACATCAATGTCATGAGCTTGTGACCCTTACCCGATATATGTCTAGCTAAGGAAACAGTCATAATTTATCGCCGGGGGGGTGGAGGATTTTGCAGTGAACGATGAATCTTAACTGATGCCCCCATAAGGCTCTGTATTATTGTTATGACCCTCCCCCCTCGTCATTGGCAGTTAATTGGTAGTCAGTTATCTGTAATTCCCCCCTTTCTACTCTGTTAGCAAAGACTGGTCCCCCTCCACTTGCCCTGAAAACCACGTGAACCCCCAAAATTCTCCACACACCCCCCTTCCTCCCAGGCGTTTTTCAATGATTGGTACCTAAAAAAAATCAAACAAAGTGTTCAGAGCTAGTATTAAATTTGGCTTATTGAACTGTGTAGAATTATATATTAGTAAGACTTGAATCAGTTTAGTCCTTTTGATTTATTTGGACATTCTTTGGTAGAGATGATTTGCCAGAAGCCGAGTTTTGTGCCATATTGGGAACAGGAAATACAAGTCATGGATACTGTAAGCGTACGGAGTGGCCGGCGCCATTTAGTTGGATACGCTATGTTTCAGGTCAGTTCCAAACATTTTAGGCTCTAAAGGCAGCAACTAAAGGGCAATATTTTATTCGATCATTTAATAGGTCAGTAGTTCGTTTGGAGGTCTAACTGTCTTGCACCAGTCAGGATTTTTAGTGATCTATCTGTGTGTCAAGATCAGTCTGTGAAACAAACGTTTTTTTTATAAGGTTACTTGGTCGGCTAGAAATATTTTTCGGTTGGTCCTAGTCAATTCGATTCATAGTCATAGGAAAGCGAACAAATATCTCTGTCCTATTTTCCAATTTCATTTGAATGTTTTCTGAAGTCGAACACCAGCAGATCACGACACTCGTTGGCTATGGTTCCTCATTCGGGTTGTGGCTTAGATTTGTATACGCTTGCTCAATCGGTTTCTTGGCTGGGTCAGACAGTAAGTCTTTTGGTATGTCAGTCAGTCAGTCAGTCAATCTGTTGGTCTGTCAGCCGGTCAGTCAGTTAGTCAGCCAGTCAGTCAGTTAGTCAGTCTGTTGGTCTGTCAGCCGGTCAGTCAGTTAGTCAGCCAGTCAGTCAGTCAGTCAGTCTGTTGGTCTGTCAGCCGGTCAGTCAGTTAGTCAGCCAGTCAGTCAGTTAGTCAGCCAGTCAGCCAGCCAGTCAGCCAGTCAATCAGTTAGTCAGTCAGTAAATCAGTCTGTCTGTCAGTCAGTCAGTAGTCAGTCCGCCAGCCAGCCAGCCAAACAGTCCATCAGCCAGCCAGTCAGGCAATCAACCAATGAGGTTAAAGGATTCTGTACCACGTGGTAAAAATTAGTGGCGTGACGGCGAGATCGCCCAAAGTTACTCCATATACTTCTGCGGCTCATTTTAGCATGATGATATAAAGAAAATGTAAAACTTTAACAAGATTTCTCCTTTATCATCATTTTTCAGAGAGGACATGGCAGTCCACGAAAGAAGCTCCAACTGAAAGCACCAAGTCAAAAGGTTCTAAAACATGGGTGATTGTGGTGGCTGTGTTAGCGGCATTTGTCGTTGTAGGAATGATCATATTCGTGGCCTTGTATATGAAGTGGCGACGCGGTCCTCTGACCTCTGGGTACAAGAAACAAGAAAATGATACGATGACTCTGGAGAATTCAGTTGACCTCTGAATGCCGACATCACCTCGAGTAATGCTTAGAGAACTTAGAAGTAATAAGAAGACTTTTCACGAATATCATAATGCACCCTTGTCCAAATATAAGAAATAATAAGAAGCAAGTAAGCAAATTTTGACGATTTTGAAATCTTCTGTAGCCGATTAGTGTTTTTGCAGAGAAATTACCGTAAAGACTCGCAGATAAGCCGCACCTACGATTTTGATCGCAAATTTTTGGAAAAAAGGTGCGGCTTATCTACAAGTCTTTACGGTATATCAATCTGTCAACTTAAAAAACTTGCCAATTTTAAAAATTAAACTTTTTTGTAAGACTAAACGATTCAACGCCGAAAAGGGAGCGTCACTCACGTGCTCTGATGGTACTAGGATGCTTCTTGTTAATTTTTCTCAAGAACTCGGCTGGAAAAGCAAGACAGGGATGACGAGATATTCATAGCGTGTAAGTAGGCCTCGTCACCAGCGCTGCGGGTCCCAGACACAAGCTTTTCCGCCCGCGGGAAGATTGAGACGAGTCGGGGAGAGGTTTTCCGGAGGTCCGGCACTTATTAATTTTTAGGAGTGCTAGACCCCTTTCAGACCTCCCTCTCTCTCTCTCGCCGGCTTGCAATGCTCAAGGCCTCTCACTAAAATTCTTGCAGGCGAAGAAACGCTCGCGCCGAAACGCTGAAAAAAGAGGGCCTGTCTGTTGGAAAAGTATTCAATAAATCAGTTATCCAGTTGTTATCCAACCCCTTGGAAGCAGACGAATAAACTAAACAGTAGTGTAGTGACTTCTGCATTGAAAAAAAAACATTGTTTGTCTCGCTCACTTGTCTGGTGAAGACCAATCTCAAGTTATATTTGATGTGGTCAATTGTGGCGATGAAAGCAAATACTCGTTTAAACAATATAATTAAGGTAATTTTATTTAAAAGAAAAAAACCTTAATGGACCCCCCTCTTATGATAAGAAATTGCATCGTTTATAATTTCATGTCTAAAGGATGATCCTACCAATTCATCCAACTTGACAAAAAAAATAAAAAATTCATCAGAATTATGAGCATGTGCTAATACGAGAAACCAATGATGGCCTTAAAATTACTCTAAAATATTAGCTCCTCATCAGTGTAATATTTTCAAGAGCTGCCAAAATGAGAAGTGAACCCTCTCCGTGTTCATGTTTTGAAATATTCTTGGGATTTTTGTTTAAGACGGTTTGAATTATGTTTCGCTGCACCTCAGCTTTCGCTTTCGCTCTGCTTTGTGCAATGGTTATCGCGTCTTCTGCCCATCCAATGAGCAATCACTGTGTCAGTCTTAAAGAGACCCGTTTTGAAATGTGTATGAGCGCCGGTTATGACAAAACTTTTCCATTCGAAAATGATTTTACGGAGGCGGAGCAACAAGAAGTAGCGAGGGAATTTACAGAGATACTAAAGTCTATGAAGAACTGTTCGCACGACGGTCTCGCTGAACTTATCGAGTGCTCTTTATTCGTTCCTAAGTGCAACATGTTGGGTGAGCCTGTGTACCCGTGTAGACAGGCTTGCGCTGAATACCTGAGGCGATGTGAGTATGAGTTATCCAAACACGCATTGGATTATCTAATCCCTTGGTGCCTCCTCCTGTCAAATGGTTCCGTTGGTCATGCTCCCTGTTTTCAACCTTCTAACTTCACAGCGAACGAAAGTGCACCTGGTAAGTGATCTACATGTACGACTTTTTTCCTATTCTTAATGGGCTTGAGCTTGTTGCGTGAAACTGTCGCATTATTTGCCAAATATGGAGGCGTTATAAATTATCCGGCCAGTTTCTAAACACTGGCCTTTAAGTGACACACGGGAGAAAATATTATTAACAACGATAATTCGCGACAATTCAACACGTATTAATAAGGTCTGATATACTGACAACATCAGCGCAAGCATTCGGATAGCTGTGCTGTCTGCGAACAGAATGAAAAATACCAAAAACTAATGATTTCAAAAGGTAAATTGTTTTTTAGCTGGGCGATAAGTACTTCAGCAGGTCATTCGTGGGAAGTTTATCAACATGCGTGCAAAACACGGGCTGAGATAAAATATCATATCCAGCTTTGTTGATTCCAGCCACACAGTTTAATATATGGAGTCAAGTATTTAACTGCGCACGAAGGTAACCTGAGGACTGTACTTACAGTAACCACCCTTAATATAATACTTCCATTTCTGGAAGATTGAAAGTTGAGTGTACGACTCTGTCTAACTATCTTATCTACAATGAATCAGTTTATGAGCCTTCGGCATTTGCCTATCGCCGTCGAAGCTTAACTGGTTCCCTCGCTGTCTCAGATTATTCAATCGTTACAAATTAAAATTATGTACATGCGTTGTTACTGTTTGAGGTGTCAGTTTCCTAGTGCATGAAGAAGTGATGTCCGACTCAACTCCCTTCGCCCTAATCATTTTTTGTTGGTTGGACGTATAAATGCTTCTCTTCACAAAATTTAACCAGACGCCTGTTGCAGAGAAGATCTCAATTCCACCGTCTTTCTTTTCTCAGGCCCGCTGGATCGAGGTTGCCAAGAGTTAATCTTCCCCGCATGTAAAAACATAGGTGCCTTCGATCACACTTTGATCTCCGTCTCTATGCAGAAGAAGTTATATTCATGGTTTTTTAAAAAGGAATATAACGCAAACGACACAGAAACAGAATTTCCTGGGGCCGTTCGAAAATTATTGGACCAATACCCCAAATGCCAGGAAAATATCAAGAAGTTGTTCTGTGGCGAACATTTCCCGCCGTGTTTTCCGGATGAAAGCCCACGGGTGTATAGTCTTTGTCAACCTCTCTGTGATCAAATTGCAACAGACTGCCCAGGATTCTTCAGGCAAGTCTGTAATGTTATTTTTTTTTCCAAGGTGAACCTGCGGGAGAGGGCAAAGATAGAGTTGGGGTGGGGAACATGTATGGTGCAGTGGTGAGATTCAGCGATCCTTCCCCCCTCCCTTCCCCCTCCCTTCCCCCCTCCCTTCCCCCCTCCGTTCCTTCCTCCCCCCCCTTCCCCCCTCCGTTCCTTCCTCCCCCCCCCCTTCCCACAGACGGTGTCAGCCAGAGTTCGATTCTTGAACCGGTTAAGATCAGATGTGAGCAAAGAGCAACGCATAAAAAATCCTGATTCGAACTGTAAAAAGAAAATGAGAAGAGCCAGTTCTTAAATCTAGTCACATGCTAAATCTAATTCATTCTTGTATCATCTATCATTTTACGATTTGCTTGTTGAATGCTTTAGCTCGAGAATAAGTAACTCTGGGAATATATTGTTCCACACATCATGTCGCAAGCACGAGATTAGCGGTCTTTAAAATTATTTACCGTACAAGAGAAAATAACGAGTCAAGAATAATCAAATTTGGATCAGTGCAATTGATTATCTTTCTGTGTGTGTGTGTGTGTGTGTGTGTGTGTGTGTGTGTCGCAGCCAGGACTTGATCGCCTCAGAGTACTGCAGCTCAAAGGCAAGAGCACATTCTATACATGGATACTGTCACACCACAGAATGGCCAGCTTCATTCGAATGGTTCCACCATGAAGGTAGGATTATTGAACCAAGCCGAAACAACCCACTGACTGACCAAGAGACTGACAAGAAAAATAACAGAGTGACTGAACAGCCAACAACAGCAAATCATCTCACAAGGCAATCATTCGGTCAATTGGTCGGTCAAACATAAAAAAATCAATCAATCCGTTTATCAGTCTCTCACTCACCCTTTTAGTCTTTAAACCAACCAGCCAGTCACTCAGTGTGTCAATCACTCTTTCTACTTGTCTGTTTATGCGTGGGTGCGTCTCTTTTCCTTTCCTATAAACTGATCTCAGTTTTCATAATCGATCATTTCTAGCTACAACAAAATCTCCGAGTCTAATTACTGAGAGCCATCAAGGAACCCAAGCGTGGAAGATTTTCATAGCCGTCTTCATTCCTGTACTAGTTGTGGGGCTCGTAGTAGCTGTGGCAATATGGATGAAGAAAAGAACTCATCGCAGTTTAGTAGCTTACATCAAACATTATGAAAAAGACGCTGATGATACCTTCCCCTTGGAAACATAACTGTTATGACATTTGGTTGAAGGGGGAATGGGAGGGCGGGGTGGTGTGGGAGGATGACTTGGAAATTATATACACTTCACGACGTTATCTTTGTTTTATGGTGCAAACGCACATGTAACAATTCTGGACATCAAGTTCACTGAAGGCGACCGATGTTAGCTGGGTGTAACAAGACATAATCAAAATTAAAAGTTGCCAAGAACACAGTGGACTTTCTCTGTGGTTGTGCTTTGAAATGTTCGGCTGAAACTGAAATTTTTTGAAGGAAACAGTTCATATTTCTCCGTACGTAAGTCAGCTTTAAAAACTAGAGAATTTTCTAGACCAAATTTTGCTAAAGTCCCATTTCCCATCCAACACTTTCTCCAAACCTATCCTCCTCCCATTTCCCAGTCCTACTGGCCTGGATCTTATTTTCTCACAGAAGAAAAATCCTCTTTCCTTTTCAACCTCCCAGACTCGTTTCGTATTTTAGAAAAGTACCAAGAGTTACGATTGTGTTTAATCAAAATATCTACTTTTGAACCCCTATGATACTGTTGATATTTGCATGTTTTTGTCTACAAAGCAATCGTTGAGGCTTTGGGAAAAACCGAGAACCAATTTGTTTAAATCAAAACTTGAACTAATGCCCTACTATTCCACGAAATCAGGATTTCATGAACAAGAATGTTCATACGCGCCAAGGAAGGTTTAAAAAATATCGTGCGATTACTTTAAATTAAAAGTTCACAAAGTTTCACGACACTCAAAATCCTCAAACCAAAATTATTTTCTTTATCTGATCCATTGTGCCCTTGTAGAGTTGTAAGATGCTTATGCTCGCACGCGAGGGAAAACTAGCCTTATATTTCAGGATATTTGTTTGGGCTAAATTGAAACATGACGGAGGTACATTTGGATAGAGGTATCGATGTAGGGAGATTTATTATCTTAAACAGGGCTTAGAGTCACCGTTTGTAAGATCAGTAGCCTACTACCAGCCCCCTATTCGCTCAAAGTCCACGAAATCACCTTCAACAAAGTGCAAACGAAACTAATTTTATCTTGCGGTGCCAGCTCTAGGAGAAAATTATTTCCCATCGCTCACTGGTGAGGTTGGATATTGTAAGGGCCAGCTACGCTTGGCAACTGAAAATAAATACGACGCAACAACTTCTTTGCGTCCAGATTCCTTGTAATCTTGTTCAGTATAATCACAACGAATGACAAATGAGGATCGATCCGGTGACGATTCGAAGTTATTGCTTCTCACACAGCCTAAAATCCTTCGCTAAAACAAACTCGGCAAAAACGGCCAAAAAAAAAACACTTCAAGTAACGCTCAAGCAAACTGCGCCCTAGGTATATTCTCAGCGGCGTTATAGATAGTATGTAAATGCAACGAATCATGCAGATATCGTGACCTACAGCAGTGAATATCAGCCATGTTGTTATCAAGTGACACCTCGCAGCAGGAATGCGATATTAAATTACGAAGCACAAACATTTTGACGTGAAGAAAGAACTGTAGCATCACGTATTATGCCTGTTCATTCGCCAGCATTGCCAGGCTGCTTTCTTATCAAGATCATAGTGCTGTTAATATGCAGCTTGAGTATTCTAACCGTCGTCTGTGATGAATCGATCGAAGGCAAATGTGTTAGCCTTGCGAATGGACATTTTGACTTCTGCACAAAAGGTGGATACAACAGTACGCTATCATTTCCCAAGGAATTCACAGCGAAGCGTCAAGCCGAAGTCGCTGGTTTTTTGACGTTCATGATAGAGGAGTGGAGAAATTGCTCAACTCTTAGTCTGGTCACAGCGATGGAATGTTCGTTCTTATTGCCCAAGTGTAGCTCGAAGGGAACGCGCGTCTATCCTTGCAGGCGAGTATGCGGAGAGCTTTTGAAGCAGTGTCAGAATGACACAAGTGACTACCGTGAGCTATACATGGACTTGCTTCTAGCTTTGTGTTTGATTCTACCAAATGAAACAGCGAGTAGTGAGAAATGCTTCGAGCCGCCTGGCTTCACTCCAAATAACAACATATCGAGTAAGTTTGTAGAGTCTGTTTGTTTATTTTATCCACCAAAATAAACCCAGTTCCAGGTGTTGAAAGCAACGGTGCATTAATGCCGGCGCAAAGCAACAGAATGGGTAAATAGTCCTCCTTCTTTTTTCCTCGCTTCACTACGCGTTTCGTATTTCATTTTAACCCCGAGAACAAGCTGTTTTGTTTTTTTTAACTTCCTCTCCGACGTAAAATATGCAGGAGGTGGATTGGTTCTGCTGATAACCTGACTGAGGGAGGGAGGAAAAGATATTGTCACGGAAAAAGCCTTGCAAATGTTGGCAAGTTCAAGGCGATGAATCCCGATGAAGACTGCTGTTATAAAACTCGAAGTACAATTATAAACAATTGTGTTTGCTTTACTTCACTTAAAGTTTCAAAGCTGACGTTTCGAGCGTTACCTCTCCGCTTATTCGCTCTGACGAAATGCTAACGCTCGAAACGTTAGCTTTATGAATTTTTACGGTGGCCAATTTACGTTATCAACTCAGTTGATATAAAACCAAATTATCTTAGTTCTGATGGATCGCTGATCGTCCTTTGTCATTGTTTCGTTTTTGGCCTAACGAAAGTCAGTCGGTATGTACTCTAAAAGCTGTTTGTTTAACTTTTTCGTTTTTCTTTGCTTTGACTGTAGGTCCTCTTGATCGCGGCTGTCAAAACTTGATCTTTCCCGCCTGCAAAAACCTGGGTTTTTACAATCATACCATATTTGCGGAGTCAGTTCAGAAGAAGTTTTACAAGATCTTCTACAACAAGACATATGGCGACGGGCAAGATTTAGATCAAGATTTTCCCTTTTTTGTGAGTAAACAGGCGGCAAAGTTTCCGGATTGCTCAACAGACATCAAAAAGTTATTCTGTGGAGAGCTGTTCCCTCCATGTTTTCCAGAGGAAGGGAGTCCCAAATTAAAAACCTTGTGCAGATCGGTTTGTGATGATATTCAAAGGAAATGTCCAGATTATTTCAGGTAAGCGTATATCTTATAAGTGTTGAAGAAGTACAGGAAAGGCGTTCCCCTAAAGTTTGGAGCGCTGAGCTTTTTATGGGGAGATCCGAGTTAAGGCGACGGCATTCTAAAAGTGGTGTGTTCCTGGATGACACAGTTGGATGACATTGTCTCACATCAGCCAAGAATATAAATGATAACTGGCGAACTGTTTGAAATATCCCCAAACAAAACCTCCCCCCCCCCCCCCACACACACACACACACACCCACACCACACACACACACACACACACACACACACACACACACACACACACACACACACACACACACACACACACACACACACACACACACACACACACACACACACACACACACACCGGCGTTAAATCATGTCTAGTCCCGTAGGGTTTTTTTTTTCCAAGGTAATGCTTAATCGCAATTGCGTCCGTGCTATTGTTTCAGTGACAATTTCATGGGTGCAGAAATATGTGCCTTCCTAGCACCGGGTAACACGAGTCATGGATTTTGTGATCGCACAGACTGGCCTGAACCATTTTCGTGGCTGAGGTATTATAAAGAAGGTGAGCCTTTATTCAACATTTACACCTTAACATCAGTATGCATTTTCTACATACTGTTCTCTACGTATATCCCATTTAATTAATAATTAAAACCTTCTTAAGTTAGTGATCTTTTACTTCATCCCGGTGTGTTATTCAGGGGTGATAGTGTAGAGGACAAATTAGATGCTAAACACTCTTAGGGGTTCAAGGGTTTTCCTGAGTTTTGCTCTTTTGGCTTCTGAAATATTGTGCTAATCAAATTTAATCAAACCCTTTGTTGTGGTAAGGTTTATATCAAGAGGAACCTGGATATTAGTTATGTAACAGAGTAAACAATACTTTCTTTGTTGAAGAATGTACCTTCAATATCAAGCTTGCGTGATTTGAGGTTTTGTATCCGCTTTGAGAAATCAAGCGACAAGAGGCTTGATTCGAAATTTCGCCTTTTCTTTGGTCGAGCACACGAAAGACTAAATACTGGAACAAAAAAGCCAATGCTTTGTAAGCTTCTCGGGACATAAAATCATATTTTCATTTTTCATGGTTTCATTACCACTCCCTGAACAAATAAAAACTCGTCAAAATTGCGACGATTTCTGTGAAATTCTATGTCGCATAGCATATTGGCAATAATTTATCATTATTAAACTCTTTCACTCTTAGGAGTGACCAAGAGGTCATTTTCCTAACAACATGGAACGCAGGTGCACCAGCTTTTCGACTTGTTTTAGGATCTGGAAGCGTACTAACTAAGTGCTTTAACGTTCACGTTATGAGATTTATACATGCTGTTTCTTTGTTGTTTAAGAACTCGACAGTATGTCGTAAAGAAAGCTCAATTTTTTTTTTCAACATTTTCAAGAGTCATATCGCTTAGGTGAAAAGAAAAAAACAATGATTCAACGCCAAATTCTCAGATCTGATATGCTAAGCAATGAATAATAGACAGTGGGGAGAGTTACTATTTAGATTTTGGGAGCAAAGGGCTAATCAAAGAATAGATCGTTTTACAGAACCCAGCACAGAACCACCATCAGTGGAACATACAGATGAAGGACCCAAAGGGTGGGTCGTTGCCGTGGCTGTCCTGACAACCCTCATTATTGTTGCACTCGGACTGGCGGCGCTCATCTGGTGGAAGTGGCGCGGAGTTACTCCTGCTAGCTGGCTAGGTTACAAAAGACAACAAGATTTCACAACCGAAGAGTAGGAATAAATTGTTTAAGGATCTCATTTTCTTTTTTTTGCAACATCAAAGTCTATTAAAATTACTTGCTGGAAAAATATAGACTCCTGGAATAGTTTCGTGTGTCAGGGGCAGATTCAGAGAGTTCCCCGGTCTCATTTTCAGACTAGCTTTTGCTTTGTGATGTTAGTTCTTTTTATTTATGTTTTATATCTGTTATAAGTTTTTAATGAGGTTTGATCAAAATGTTCCAGTTTATTCTTTCTAAAACGGCCTCGATCTTATCTAACTCCTCAACGCTGTGTAAGAAATGCTCGTGTTTATGTGTTTATTACACCGTATTATTGGCCGATCCATCATTGTAATAAACATGACACTTCCCCCTAGGCGCTCTATCAATCTACTGAACATGACACCTCCCCCTGGGATAAACCACCGTTTTATCGATGTATCTACCATGTTACCTCCCCCTAAGATAAACTGCCGCTCTATTAATGTAATTACCATGTTACCTCCCCTTGGGATAAACCGCCGCTCTATCGATGTACTGAACATGACACCTCCCCCTGGGATAAACCGCCGCTCTATCGATGTACTGAACCGAACAATCAAGCTGCGACTTTCTTTTTCCATCAGGGCTTGGTTTGACTTTTATGAAGCGGGACATCACCAAAAATGTCTTTCACTACAAGTGTTTTATTTGAGAAGTGATCTCGTTTGACATTTAATTTAGTTTAAGTCTAAAACTTCAAGATTTGACGACACAGACATCCTTTCGTAATTTCTCATTAAGTATAATACTATCCGAACTAAGGAATGATTTTAATCACAGCGTGTATTGCAAAACCAACAAATGTAAGATACCAAATTGCTCTCAAGAAAACCAACAAAACTAACCACAAAACAGAGTAGGAAAAAAAACCTTCTATCTGGGGGGAACTACGAATAACTAATCCATTTTTGCTTCCTCATTCCTCTTTTACGAAAACTAATTCTTGCTGTACCTAGTCAAACTGATGTAAACCTAGGGAATTAATTTCCTTCTGCTTCAAGCTGTCACGAAGACCATTTTAACTTGCCTATGTATTCATGAAATACCATGTTCTTTTGGTGGAATCAACAGCATCAAAAAACGTGATGACTGCAAGATCAGAAAAGACTCGCATCTCAGTCGTTAAGTTTCTTACAGCTCGTCCATATCCACCATAAGACTGTGCATGTATTGGCTTTTAACTCGACGGTGCCTTCTGAAGCAAACAGCACCAGCTGCAATGGCAATAGTGAGAGCGATCACACCAACCACAATACCCGCAATAGTTCCTCCTGACATTTTGCCATCTTTACTCGCGCTCACTTTCGGGGACGAACCTGCCAAATAACAGACAGATACGTCAAATATCAGGTTTGTTTTGTGACTGCTTACTGATAATTGCCTGGAGGCTCGAAGGATTTTGGATAGGTCGCAAAAAGATTTTAAGCTTGCAGTTGTGATTTTCATGATTCCCCCCCCCCAACCATGGCGCTCATGTTTCATATGGTCCCCGCCCCCCTATTTACTCTGATAGTGACAATTGATCCCCATCCGCTTCCCAGGAATCTTCCGACCCCCCCCCTCCCCCCCCCCCCAAAAAAAATAGTAAATGGTCTTTTATGAAGAAGACCTTTCAAGGGAAAGTTTACGCTGCAGGCTATGACGCAATCATCTCAAAGTACACACACATGCTTCTCTTTTAAACTGCGATTCAATTAATTCCGAGGATGACATGACAAAAGTCTCCCTGATCGGGTCTTACCTTTTTCGGTTCCTTTGGTTCTTGATGTGGGCGTAGTAATAGGCGAAGGCATGGTTACATTTGTCGTCGAAGCCGACGTCTTGTCCGTGGTTGGTGGCGAAGATGTGGTTTTCTCAGTGCTAGACAGAGGTGTGCTGGATTTATTAGTAGGAGGTGCAGGCGTGGTTTGCTTTGTCGTCGAAGCCGACGTCTTCTTTGTGGTTGGTGGCGAAGATGTGGTTTTCTCAGTGCTAGACAGAGGTGTGCTGGATTTATTAGTAGGAGATGCAGGCGTGGTTACCTTTGTCGTCGAAGCCGACGTCTTGTCCGTGGTTGGTGGCGAAGATGTGGTTTTCTCAGTGCTAGACAGAGGTGTGCTGGATTTATTAGTAGGAGATGCAGGCGTGGTTACCTTTGTCGTCGAAGCCGACGTCTTGTCCGTGGTTGGTGGCGAAGATGTGGTTTTCTCAGTGCTAGACAGAGGTGTGCTGGATTTATTAATAGGAGATGCAGGCGTGGTTACCTTTGTCGTCGAAGCCGACGTCTTGTCCGTGGTTGGTGGCGAAGATGTGGTTTCCTCAGTACTAGGCACAGGTGAGCTGGGTTTATTTGTAGGAGATGCAGACGTGGTTACCTTGGTCGATGGTGAAGGTTTGGCAGCCTTAGTGCTAAGTGCTGCCGGTATGGTTTCATTAGTAGAAGTTGCAGGCGTGGTTGCCTTACCCGATGGTGAAGGTATGGGTGCCTCAGTGGTGGACGCAGGCGACACGGTTTTGGAGGTCAACGTTTCAGGCGTGGTTACCTCGATCGTTGATGTTGGCGCAATTATCATAATCGATGGTGAAGAGGTATTTCCACTGATTCCAGATGTAACACCGGTGGGTCCTGTAGCAGAAGGTGCAGGCGTAGACATTTTTTTTGTTGACTGGTGCGCGGTAGTGGCAGCTATTGGTGAGGACGTAAGGGCATGAGTTGACCATTTAAGCGTGTTTAAAATTCGTGACGTTTGATGCATGACTAGTTGAGTTGTTTTGGTTTCTGATGCGGTTAGCGCCGTTGGATTCTTCTGTTGTGGCGCTAAAAGATACAGACATAAACAAAGACGTTAAAACTATTAACTACTTGCTTTTAGAAAAAATAGGTCTTGGAAGTTAAAAAATCCGTAAAATACCTTTCTTATTAAGAGACATCCACAAACCGCTGGGATAATAAACATTATCCGGCCAAGTCTTGAGTTGGCACAACTCTTGTCTACTCGTGGTTGCATTCGGCAAAGCTGAGCAGTATTTCTGGTTTTTGAAGACTTTAATAAACTGTGAACGTGACTCGTTAAATGCATCATTGCACAAAGACCTACAGGGAACTTGTAATTTACCGCTGTTTTGTTTATCGCATGGCGGCGCTATCTCCATGCAGATAATTTTTCGAAGCTTTGCTGAGTTGTTATCGACTTGATTGAAGATAGTACTTGACTCCACCAACTTCTGATATTTAGTCGTAACAGATGTAGAATTATAGCCCGTATTCTGACATTTTTTCAAAACAAGCTTGTGACATGTGATATCTGAAAAATGAATATACATAAAGAACACAACAAAAGTTCAAATAACTTTATATTTTGAGGTCTTCTTTTGAGTGACGCTTAAGCATATACTTTTGGGCAAAAAGAAACTGTCTGCAATCAAACTTTAAAAATATATTTTAGAAAAAATTTATAGTAATTTCAGTTCAGTTAGAAAGCAAACAGCGAAAGGGAAAAATTTTATTATTTATTATTTTGCATACGGGAATAGGAGGACACCTGCAAAATTAAAAATACCTTCTTATCATGGCTTCGATTTTTGAAGCCGCGCCAAATGTTGAGCGTAGAATCATCGATGCATGACAATCGCATGTTTTTAGCGTGATCCTCGAGATTATGCACAATTGTTGATATTGCAATCAGTTTTGTGTAACGTTCAGCGGTAACAAATACCACGGTTGAAAGGAAATTGTTTAAATATTCAAATCTCCTTGTAACCCGCCAGGCATAATTGTATTGCATATCGAACCTTGGCCCGCATACACTACCGTGAAATTTTCGTTTACTTACCAGAATTATCCGTGCCACTGTCGTTAGAATGGGTTGAATGTGACGTACATCGGGTCGACGGAAGAACCCCGCAAAGGCCGCGGAATAATGCTTTTAATCCATCGTTTTCGCTTGACACGTTCCTACAGTCAGAGAGAAACTTCTTGCACGTACTTTTGCAAGGTAGCTTCGTCGATTGGCAAATTGGAAGATAAAGCGGACAAGTCATGAGATTAGTCAACGAAGAGCAGTTAAACCTCTTCTGCAAGTTGAAAATAAGACTTGCAACTTCTCCTTGTCTGCCAGAATCAAATGCGGAAGAATTGTAATAACCCGCCTGTACGCAGCTATTGAACAAAGTTGTGTTGAGCGGCTGACATATTCCACCAGAAGCAAAGTCGAGGAGTAGGGTCTCCAAAGAAACGAGTAATAAACCAGCGAGAATCCACATTGTCAACTTTTTTAGCGACACATTGACAATATGAGTTCCCACTCCACTCGACAATAAGGAAACGTTCGCTATGTGCGTGAGTAAGAATCCGCTGACTCATGAATTTGCTTGACAGGCACGCATAAATATCGAAATGAGTTGCGAGACCCACCAATCTCTATTATCAAATCGGAAATTCATGCAAAGGCCGAGCTTCGCTCGGGTAAATGGAGCAACTGATCATTTAACTAAGTGTTAATGTGACTTCCGCCTGATCTTTTTTAAGAATGAAAAATAATATATTGGCCTTATTAACCCCTCTAACAGCAATATATCGCGGTTGAAATAACACAAGTTTCCAGACTTGGGTCTTTATTAGGACAACGCGCAGTCTCTCAATTCATTATGGATATCAAGCAAATTAGTCGAGCCTCAAGAACATGAATAAAGAAATAAATTTACGCTTGAATGAAATAAATTACATTTTGACTAGCGCCTGTGATAAACAAGAAAATAAATTATCTTCTGATAGACGCGGTGTCAAATTCCGTCGAAGCCTGTTTTTTTTTAGACTTCTTGTCGGCCAACTTCTTTAATTGCAGTTCACCTGCTTAGATAATTTCTTTTCTTGCCTACAATAGATGTCGGTAGTGAACAAAACCTTTGTACGTTTGACTCCATAAATTGTATATATTTCTTAAACAAGATGGCGATATCATCAAATTTACGGTATTCATTTACGGTATTCAATTCTGGTATTTTAAAATTTTTCTATCCAGAGCAAAACGCTGGCTTCACACACGATGTTGGAGAGGAAGTTAGGTAATCACAAACAGCTGTTAGCAATTAGGCAATCGTAAGCTCAGTTATCGCGTTTGTTAACCTCCCTCGTTGCGAAAGTCCAAAAGTTTAAAAGTTCCGCAATCAAACTCACGACTAAGAAGCATGACTTTCACGTGCGCTTCGTGTCCTCCTGCGAGGGATGACGTAGTAAAAAGCACGTGACTTTTCGGCTGTTCAGACAACAAAGACTCAACTGTATTTATGAATTCAATTTCAGGCCAGCTTTTGGCTATATGTTAATGAATTAATCCCGATGAAATGATGAATAGAAGAAACTGACTACAAAAGTCAACTGAGCAATTTAATATTCGGTCAACCTTAGCAGGGGTGCATGCAAATGTTTTTCTGCATTGCCAATATCTAAAAAGTTTAATTAATTTGTCTTCAATGTAAGCCTCAAATATTAGTTTCCGGAAACTTTTATTAAGTTCAAGTAATCTGTTCACCTTTGATGTGGTCGATCCGTCATGCCATTTTTATTGAATACTTTGTAAATTTGACTATTATAGTTTAGAAGTACACATTTCCCCCGAGCTTCGATTTTAATAAGATATTAGGACTGATTTTAATTCAGCTGTCTTCTAGCGAAAGTGTTACTCTGACTGGTACACAAATAAATACCCCAATAAACCGCGATAAAATTTTTACGGAAGGTAATATTGCGGCCTTCCGCACCTCCATATTGTTGCGTTTTAACGTTACAAAATTAATACTTTTAAATAGTTTTGGACGATGACTTTGTCTCCTCTGAACTCTTAATCAAAACGAGGACTTTCGAAAACGACATCGAAAGCCTTGGGAGGAAGTTTCGTAATTGCCTTGGTCTGATGTGAATTAGTCAAAACAAAGGTAAAAACTGAGACCTCTGCGGGAGTTGTATTGTGAAAAGCAGCCTGCTTTTCAAATGAAGATAGAGAATTTAGAACGCCCATCGAAGTAAAAGGTATCTATTTTTCACTGAGATTTACAGTAAGTACATCTAATTCAGGGACCGCGCGGCAAATTTTTGAGTGGTGGGGGGGGGGTGCTATTTTTGGCTCCGTTATTTTTGTTAAATTATTTTTTGTTAAATTTACTTTATTTTTGCAAAAAAGTGAGGGGGCTAAAGCTCCCCCCCAGCCCCTCCCTCTGTGCGGTCCCTGTAATTTCAAAGAGAGGCCACAGAGGGAGAGGTCCATAGGGAAGAAGACTGCCGATCGATTGCACTTCGACAAGTACAATTCTCAAGATTTAACATCGCGGACAGACCATTTACATGTTCGTTAATGTTTTCGAGCTCTTGAATGAAATAACTGAAGAGCAGGCTTAAAAGTTTTTTCCTAAATTTATTTCACCATTTTCTTATATTGGTAAAATATTACGTTTATGATGGCTCACTTAATTAATGAACGTGCGTGTTCGTGGAGAAGTGAATCTGTGAGACCAAAGTAAGTTTAACTTACCCTTAACAAGACGTTTTATTTACCAATGGCAAGAGTAGAAGTCAATCTTTTCTTGCTAATGGTAAACAACAAACCCTATCCCACTGGAACCCACACAAATGATGTGACCGTTTGCATATTTGATTTTCGAGAAATCTAGGGTATAATCGTTTCCGAGGGTAGAGACGGCGAACTCTAGCGATTTGAAGGCGGTTACCTAAAGTTACATTCGCTCTGACGAAGGCTTAACGCTCGGACCATCAGCTCTAGAAACTCAACGGTGCACAATTTACACTATCAACTAATAAAACCGTATAATCTTGTAAAACCCCTCACCGACGCAGCACTACAGATTCTTTAGAACCTACCCCCTTTGTGCATTCCAGGTAAATTGAGTACGTTACTTTTCACGTAAAAAGAGAATATTCGTTGCAATTTAGTTCGAATTTATGAAGCTTTTCGAAATTCCCATGCAATTCCTATAAATCTATAAATACAAACAGTCCCACAGTTTGCACAGGGTCCCTGTTTCTATTACAATATTCTCTAGTCATTTGAGTGATTTACTTTCAACGGTTCAGTCCCAGTAAGCTTGCCAAAGTTTTAAAGGCGATGTGCCTCATTAGTCTACAAAGACTATGGGCCTGTTTACATGGAGGTGGGGGACTTCGGGTAGGTGAGGTAACCCGACTAGGTGGGGTAACCCGCCTGTCCATATGATTTCTTATTTCATTTTGATCGCGTTTACATGATAGATGGGGTGACTCGCCTAGGCGGGTTACCCGGTCTGCCAGGTGGGGCAGACAATTTGCCATGTAAACGTGTCAAGGTGGGGTAACCCGCCTAGCCGGGGTCGCGTTCACGGCAAAAAGCTCAAAAGCGAAACGTGTGTTTTAAAACTTTGTACATTTCCTAGCCGTCTCATGGCAGAAATCACCAGAAAACGCAACGGACACACAAGGAGTGTAAAATGTTCACATTTCGGAATATTTAGCGTTGTAAATCGACCATATTTGGTTTCCCAAACTATTCTGTATATAACGTAAGTCAAATGCCGCATTCACACCAAAGCTTAAACATGTTTAAAAGTTGTTTTGTTAAACACAGTTTAATTTTTTTTTTCTTTTTAGAAACTATTTAACCGAATATTTTTGACTTAAAATATAGCACATTGGAAATGCAAGTTAGCAAGTACTTGAATCCAATGGAAAATCAAGTTTTTCAGTGCTCTGTTTATAATTTTCATTCAATGAAAACCAGTTTAACAAAACATGTTTTGCTGGTGTGAATGGGGTAAAAGGTTTCTCGCGAAACCAAATACCGCGTAACACAACGCGTGACGCTTTCATAAATACATATGTGTACGAGAATTGATCTTTCGTCTTTTTCGAGATGTGAGCTTGGGACGCCTCTGCTCAAACTCCTTAATTGCATGCGCAACAACACCCCACGGCACCCCGGGGTTGTAAGACTGCATGTAAACGCGTTTTATTTTTCGACCACGGCTAGGCGGGTTACCTCACCTACCTGGGGTCCCCCACCTCCATGTAAACAGGCCCTACGATAATGTTATGCTTCGAACCTTGTTAAGGCCCGGTCTTATCAGGTTAGAGAAAGAGTTAAAAAGCGAATTAAATCTACTGTCGGTTGTATACGGCGACAATTTTCATTAAATAACTTTTACGACCCTCCATGTTCTTATGTACTACTGACTTCCCTCAGTAAATGCCTGGTATATCTAAGTAAACTTTCTTGGCCTCGTTTTTAAAACGAAATCATTTGAACATACGTGTACGAAGCTAAGAAAACTGATCCATGCATATAGAAGAAAAGCTTTCAGTCCCATCAGCTATATGAAAGAGGTTTTATAAAGAACATTAAGAAATATCAAGTAAAAATTTCAAATTCGTCTGCTTTGCCCTCCGAGTAGAGTATTTGTTTCTGATAGTCAAATTGACGACTTCTTCGTTTCTTCCTGTAAAACAAAACCCCTACAATTCCTATCGCAATTACAAGAAGCACAATGAAAGTTGCAATAAGCCCGATTGCTACTTTGTTTGTTTTAGAGTCCTCGTCCTTGATTGATTTTCTTGCGTGGATCCCGGGAAGTTGTTTTTCTGAGTGGGAGATGAAAAAAAGAAGAAAAAAATTTTGAAATTAGCAATTTGGAATCTCGTAAGACTTAAAGATAGGCAAGAAGAACCTTCAATCAGAGGGCGGTGGGCACTTTCGGGACCGAATAATTACTTCTCCAGCTGCATAGAATCGAGAGATTTTAAGCCACTGTGATTGGCAAACCTGACATAACACGACGCGGTTCAACGTCGGAGACGCACAAGGAGGTCAATCATAAGATTTTACAACACCGTGACTAGTTGTCAAGAGAGATTCGATCAAATCTCCATAAAAAGCAATCCGCTATATGAGTCGTTGGGGAGATTCTGCTTCTCTCTTTCTATCCCCCGGAAACATATATGTTCATCAACGCTGACCAATGTAGGTGACTCCCCTAAAATCAGTCAGTAAGATTTAAGAGGCAAGGGAGAAAAGTGTCTTGCCCAACACCGTAACACCATGACTTGTCCGGGGTTGGTACCAGTACTAGTGAGCCAGGCCAATCGTTAAGCCCAGTCATGATAATTGATGATAGCCGTTCAACTATCGTGCGTGTTTGAACACGATTTGTCATGCACTATCATCAACTATCGTCAACTATTATGTAGTTTGGACATGTACAAATTCGACATAATAGTTGATAATAGTTTTTGCGGCCTTTTGAACGAGCGGATCATAATGAATGATAGTTTTTCGGTCAACAGTTTTGCCGAAAACGAGCTTAAACCGAAATGGCAAATGGTAAAACGACTACACTAGCCGTCAAAATGTCGCAGAATATCACGTAATTCATTCTCATCATCTTCTGG